AAAATTTGTAGAATATAGAGTAACATGTAGAATACATATTCCAAATTTTGTAGAACACCAACCAAACCTGAGTTCTAATTTTTTTAGAAGATATATATATTCTAAAATTTTCAGAACAAGTGCAATGCGAAGAATTTGTAATCTACAATTTTTAGAACATGTAGAGTGTGCAGAATTCATAATTTAAAATATTTAGAATACAGAAGATGTATTCTAAATATTGCAGAATGATTTTTTCAATATCAAAATCAACATACTTTCATCCAAAACTCTTTTGTTTAACATTAAATCTTATTAATCTTTAATTGTTGATATGCTTTAATTTAAAAATTAATTAAAAATTAATTTTATTTATTTAAAAGGGTAATTTAGGTATAACTGACAATTTACCGCAGAAAGCCTAAATGGACAAATTTTTAAAAAAACATCCTTTAAAATCAAAACCCCCATTATAATTTATGACATGGGATCTTATTACAAATCTAAAATCAATAAAACAAAAATTTGAGTTTAGGTAAATTAAAAATTAGTTATCTATATACAAAAACGTATTTCCATATCTTAATAAAAAGTGACGTTAGTACGTTACTACCCATTAAAACAACAAAGTGTGTAAAGAATTGGATTCTGCCGTATAAGGAACATGGTTGCATTGATACATATATATTCCATTTACAGGACAGTACGGGCCAGTTGCGGAACTAGATGTGATTAGGCATCTTACTTATACTACAATATGTGTCGTTGGTACGTGAACCACATCGATTCAAAATGATGATAACCTTGTATTGTGATATAGGAATAATGACTCTTCATATCAAAATTGGGCCACCAATAAATTTAATCATTTCAGAAGAGAAAATGCAAAACTATGGCTTTAAAGTTGTAAGAAAAGTTTTGGGACACCACGTGGCTGCTTCACTATCAAAACCATCTGCTTGGCCATGAGCTTAGCTTGACATTCCAAAATTCGTAGAATTGGGAATAAAGCTCAATCTTTCTTAGATTTTGATTCTTGACATCGTAAGTTCCGATTTCATTCATGAAGATAAGGCTAAAACAGAGCCACAGAGTTTCCTTGTTTTCTCAAGTGGTCATTAAAAGAATATTTCAATTCTTGAGATATTAATATTATACGATATCGATTTTTCGCAAACATACAAGAATCGAAAGAAGGAACCAAAAACTTTGTATAGTGTATCTAAAACTATGTAAAAGTGTTGAGGCTTGAGAAAAACATTTTGTGAAGAGTTTACCTCATCAACTTAGTAATTGTCAAGCAAACTCCAAACCTTGGCTTTAACCCAACCAGTTTGACCATTTCGACTGGCATCTCCCAAGGCAACTCCCACACCTTGGCTTGGTCAAGTTTTGGCTTTAACTTTTGTGAGGAAGTTTAACAACAAGAAAAAACTATGTATGCTAAATTTGATATCAGAAAACAGAAATGCTAAGTGAAGTGAACTTGGATCTATAATAAGGACAATTTTCTTTTTGTCGTTACCTTTTAACTAAATTTAAAACAAGCTCTGGTTCAGTTTATCTTATTTTTCAATTCAGTTTTGTAAAGATTGGCTTTAAAAAAAGGGGGAGAAAAAAAGTTAACATGATTCGTCCGTATCAAATATTCCTCAAGAGATTTTGTTTTTTTGTACGTTCTACCAAATTGGTTGATAGTTTTATTCTTTACCTGCAAGAGTCAAAGAATCAAAAAGCTGTGAATCGATCATATCATCATATTCTTTCAGATATTATTTTAAATATGTTCTTTATTTCACTATTTGTTTGAGATACTATTATTTTGTGGTAAAGTTGATTCTCTTAGAAAAAAGGCTACGTAATATAAAAGCTTGCGTACTTTAGAAAGCAATATATAAAGGACCTTATACACTCTTCATTCCATCAAACAAAGAAACACACATTCACTTCCTACCTTCAACCAAAACTCATCACAATTTCTCTACTAGTTATCTAGTTTTCCCAAACACTAATGGCGAATCTACAGAAGATGATCTCTGACAAGTCGGTAGTGATCTTTAGCAAGAACTCTTGCTGCATGTCTCACACAATCAAGACTCTTTTCTTCGACTTTGGCGTGAACCCGACGATCTATGAACTAGACGAGATCAACAGAGGGAAGGAGATAGAACAAGCATTGGCTCAGCTTGGGTGCAGCCCGACCGTGCCAGTGGTTTTCATAGGAGGGCAGCTTGTTGGTGGAGCCAATCAAGTCATGAGTCTCCATCTCAATCGTTCTCTCCTTCCAATGCTTAAGCGCGCTGGAGCATTATGGCTCTGACTTCAAACTAAATGAGAGTGCAATAATGTACTTATACACTGAAGAAACTAATTAAATTGAATTAACTAAAAAACATTCACAAGAATGTATGTATGAGTTAATGCAATGTCTATCTAAATTTTGAAAAGATAGATTATGCTCACCTATTTTGTAATAAAATCAGCTATCCTTAAATTTATCATTTTCACATGTTTATATATTTTGCCGACATCTATAATAGAAAGAATTGGGTATACAGTATATGAATAATATTTATGCATATATAACATGTTCCAATATATAACGGTAGAAACATAATAAATATTGTACATTAATTTAGTTTACATCTGAATACCAATGTTTCTAATAATTGGCATAATAAATGCATAAAAACTTGAATAACAAATTAATGGAAATAGATGATATTAATTATCTTGCCTACAAATATAAGTATGCAGTCAACAATAGCACTTTATAATGTTGTTGCCAAAAACATTAGTCTCATCTCTTTACAAATAAATAAGTCAAACTTTAAATATTAGTTGGCATTACTATCTTACCTAAAATCACTGATTAAACCTTCTGAGTCATGGCTATAAATAAGAGTATCAATGTATCATTATATACATACTACCCATTTAGAAAACAAAGCAAAAAAAAAGAATGGCTTCCAAGCCTTGTGGTGTCTGTAAGATCTTGAAAATAACTTGTGAACCAACTTGCGTATGCAAACCACATTTCCCATCAGGCAGTACAAGAATTCAAGATGTTCATCAAATCTTCGGAGCCGTGAACGTCCACAAGATCCTCAATAGCCTTGGTGCTGCAGAACGTGAGATTGCTGCCAACTCTTTGTGCTATGCGGCTGAGGCTCGTAGACGTGATCCTATTCATGGTGTTCATGGCATGATACTACACTACCAAAGTATTCTCAATGATCTTGAAAAAGATATCATAGCTGCAATGAATACGCTTGCAACTACCGTGGGATCCGATCAAGTGCCAAAATATTTTGATATTCCAATTCCAAATGATTTCCTTGCTACACCAGCTTCTTTGGATTCTTATATTGAGAAAATAAAGAGTCTAACCACAGTTGAAAAGAATCAACTTATGCAATTCTGGAAGAGAGCCGATGGTGCATCATCATCTGCTGGGCCATCTACTGCTTTAGGTGAGAAGTATCAGTGATACTCAAAAGATTTACCTCCATTACCTGAAAACCAAAACCAATAATAATTTTAATCAAATGTCTTTTGTTCCCCTTTGTCTTTAAACTCCAATTTCCATTATAAGCGTCTCTATCTGTATCCTTTGTTTCTTACCATTTCGTCCTAAATCTATGTAATCCGCTTAATAATATCAATGGTGTTTAATCTATCATGATATTGTGTTTAATTCCTTATACTTGCATTAGATAATAATCAAAACACATGGTAAGCTCTTTTATATGGATCCACTGGTAGAATTGTTGTTGAATCACTTATTTAAAAAAAATTATGCTGTGTATTTTATATGAATCACGTATTTGACATACTTAAGCTGTGTTCCCTGGAGAGAGAAAAAAGCAAAACACACAAAAACACAAGATAAGTAGAAGCTGAAAACAAATAGTGAAAACCATAAAGTCATTGAACTACAAATATTGAGAGTACAAAAGAGAAACTTACACTATTGTGGGTAACGTAACCAAGTTCATCATAACCTCGGACCCCTTCAAATTGTTTGTAAAAGAGATCTCGCTGTCTATTACATTCGGGTTCGTCCAAGAATAGGCCATAGTAGATTAGCTTTCCACGAAAATTGAAGGAAATCAAATGTCTAGGCACACTCTCTTCTTCATCTTCTTCTTCTTCATATTCATCAGTGGCTTTGGCTTCTTTAACACTGGAGAATCAATCGCCGTCTCATCGGACCGGAGTGTATCGCCGTCGCCAGCCATCGGCTTAACCTAGATATCTTATTTTGTTACTTTTATATATTACAAAGGGAACTATTTTACTTTTGTTTCTTTAAGCCATTAGTGGGCTTTCGATATTGTATTTTTCTAACCCAAATAATAAAATAAGACCTAACATACTAATAAAAGTGTCAAAATACAGTAAAAAACTTATATACCAAGATCATGAAAATTTATTAATTTATAAATATATTAAAATTATCGATAAATTAATTTATAAAGAATTTTTTTTCAACAAAAATAATATTTAATTGTGACATGAGTATCATCATCCCAACAACTGATGCCACCACTAACGAAACATAATCTAAAAAGGAAAGAAAACTCAAAAACAATATAAACGTATAGTTCGATAACTCATCGATAAAATAATTAGTTTTCCTATACACGATGTACGGGTTTTAAAATTGTATTTTCATATCGTATTAGAAAGAGACGTTAATTACTACTAAAGCATTAAAACCCAAAAGCAATATATCTATGTACGAAAACGTGTTTCCACATCGTAATAGCAAACAGACGTTACTAGTACTAGTAACCGTTAAAACAACAAAGTGTGTAAAGAATTGGATTCTGCCATATAAGGAACATGGTTGCATTGATACATACAGAATATTCAATTTACAGGACAGTACGGGCCAGTTGCGGAACTAGATGTGATTAGGCATCTTACTTATACTACAATGTGTCGTTGGAACGTAACGTGAACCACATCGATTGAAAATGATGATAAGATAACCTTGTATTGTGATATAGGAATAATGACTCTTCATATCAAAGTTGGGCCACCAATAAACTTAGCCATTTAAGAAGAGAAAATGCAAAACTATGGCTTTAAAGTTTAATAAAAATTTTGGGACACCACGTGGCTGCTTCACTATCAAAACCACAAGCTTGAAATTCCAAAATTATATAAAGCTCAATCTTTCTTAGATTTTGATTCTTGACATCGTAAGCTCCGATTCCATTGATAAAGATAAGGCTAAAATGAAACCACAGTGTTCCCCTTGTTTTCACAAGTGGTCATTAAAAGAATATTTCAATCCTTGAGATCATAATATCATACGATCTCGATTTTTCTCAAATATACAAGAATCAAAAGAAGGAACCCAAAACTTGGTATCTAAAACTATGTTAAAATGCTGAGGCTTGATCAACTTAGTAATTGTCTTTTTTTCTCTTTTTCTTTTCTGTTAAAGGGCATTCTATTTAAATTGCAAATGTAAAAAAAAAGTACAGGGCTATGACTTATAATTAAAGGTCATAGAGATCAAAGAAGTAATTTGAAATAAGAATGCCTAAGCATACAATTAAATAGGATATAGGAAGATGAGATGATGCAAAAGGTCACTTGAAATCTACAGTCACCCTCGGCCTCCACGACCACGGTTTTGACGTTTCCTAAGTCCTAACAGTAGTCCATTGCATTTCTTGAAAATGTTTAGTTGGTTTGGTTGGCTTTTCTCCTATAGATCTCCGATCTATTTCATCAATATTCATAACCTGAACACACTCATCAACTTAGTAATTGTCACGGTGGTGCCGACCATTTTGACTTAAATCTCCCAACCAAAATTTCCACACCTTAGCTTGGTTAAGTTTTGGTTTTAAGTTTTGTGAGGAAGTGTGATAATAAGATTTGAGAACATTTATGCTAAGTGAAGTGAAGTTAAGACAGTTTGGTTTTTTTTTTTGGTCGTTACCATTTAATTAAATTAAAAACAAGCTTTGGTTCAGTTTATCTTATTTTTCAATTCAATTTTGTCCGGCTTTAAGAAAAAAGTTCAATGCATTTTAAGCCGAAATATAAACATAACATGATTCGTCAGTATCAAATATTCCTCAAGAGATTTTGTTGTATGTACGTTTATTCTTTAGCTGCAAGAGGCAAAGAATCAAGAAGCCGTGAACCGATTATATCCTCATATCCTTTCAGATATTCTTACAAAATTGTTCTTTATTTCACTATTTATATTTGAGATATTATTTTGTGCTAAAGTTTATTCTCTTTGGAAGAACTAGGCTACGTAATATGAAAGCTTACATACTTTGGAAAGCTATATATATATTAATGACCTTATACACTCTTCACTCCATCAAACACAGCAACTCCAGTTCACTTCCTATCAAGCTGCTTTTAAATATCCCATATAACACTATAATGGCGAATCTACAAAAGATGATCTCTGAGAAGTCGGTAGTGATCTTTAGCAAGAACTCTTGCTGCATGTCTCACACAATCAAGACTCTCTTCTTCGACTTTGGCGTGAATCCTACGATCTATGAACTAGACGAGATCAACAGAGGGAAAGAGATAGAGCAAGCATTGGCTCAGCTCGGGTGCAGCCCGACCGTGCCAGTGGTGTTCATAGGAGGGCAGCTTGTTGGTGGAGCCAATCAAGTCATGAGTCTCCATCTCAATCGTTCTCTCCTTCCAATGCTAAAGCGTGCTGGAGCATTATGGCTTTGACTTCAATAAATGTACTGAAGAAACTAACTAAAGTCATGAATTAACTTAAAAATATACACAAGAATGTATGTATGAGTAAGTTAATGCTGTGTCTATCTAACTTTTGAAAAGATAGACTATGCGGTTACATATTTTGTTTTATAATAAAATCAGCTATCGTTAAATTTTATGTTGATACTAGCACAAATAAAATACAATACACTACTAACGATTAAAACTTGGCATAATTAATGCACAAGAATTTGAAAAAAAAAAATCATGCCAATTGCCAAAGGATGATATTATCTTGCCATTGTTTTTGGTTCAAAGGAAGATATTATCTTGCAAAAAAATAAAAGAATGTAGTCAACTATGACACTTAATGTTTAATAGTTTTATTGCCAAAAAAAACATTAGTCTCATATGAGTTGAACATTACTATCCTACCTAAATCAGTGATTTAACCTTCTGAGTCATGGCTATAAAACTCCAACTAATAGTACCATTATATACATCCTTCAGATTTAGAACATTTTTATTTCTTTTATGATATTTAATCTTTCTACAATTTCGATCTGAGGTACTACATGATCTCGATTTAATCTATTCATTTTTTATATTTATATTTATGTAGAATTTAATTCATCAAAAGTGAATTTTAATCAAGATCCAAGGTTTTTTCTTCTTCTTATGTTTAGGTTGATATATTAATTCATATCATTGTTTTCAGGGCAAAGGGAGAAACCAAAACAAAAAAAAGAATGGCTTCTAACCGTTGTGCTGTTTGCAAGATCTTGAATGTTACTTGTGAACCAACTTGCATATGCAAACCACATTTCCCATCGAACAGTACAAGATTTCAAGATGTTCATCAAATCTTTGGTGCCGAGAACGTCCTCAAGATCCTCAACAGTCTTGGAGAAGTAGAACGTGAGATTGCTGCCAACTGCTTGTGCTACGCGGCTGAGGCTCGTAGACGTGATCCGGTTTCTGGTGTTTATGGCATGAAACTACACTATGAAAGTATTCTCAACGATGTTGAGCAAGAGATCAAATCTGCATTGAATGAGCTTGAAACTAACTTGGGACCTGATCAAGTGCCAAAATATTTTGATATTCCAATTCCAGATGATTTCCTTAATACAACAGCTTCTTTGGATTCTTATATTGAGAAAATCAAGAACCTAACCACAGTTGAAAAGAATAACCTTTTGCAATTCTGGAAGAGAGAAAATCAAAAGATGGGTGATGATCATAGAGTTGATGGTGCATCAACATCTGCTGGGCCATCTACTGCTTTAGGTGAGAAGCATCAGTGATACTCAAAATATACCTCCATTACCTGAAAACCAAAACCAATAATACTTTATTTTGTTTGCTTTTGTTCCTCCATTACCTGTTCTCATTCTCTCTGTTTCGTCATAAATCTATGTAATTCGCTTAATAATATCTATGGTGTTTGGTCTATCGTGATCTTGTGTTTAGTTCCTTTGACTTGCATTAGATATAATAACCAAAAATACATGATAAGCTCTTTTATATCGATCCAGTGCTAGATTTGTTGCTGAATACATGAAATAAAAGTTATTTTGAAAAATATATGAATAATAATTTTGGATTAAATTAGGAAGAGTGATTGCAGCTTGAAGCTGCCTCGATCAGAATGATCCGTATGCACCAAAGGTTACAATTTAGATTCTGGTAATTAATTTTGTAGGACAAGAAGCAACCGAAGGTGAAATACATATGTTACAACAAGAAAACCAGAAGAGCAGTATACCTCTAGTAAACTTCATGATTGTGTAGGCTTAACCTTATCAACAAAGATCTCTTCATGAAAATTGTTGACCTTTGCTTGGTAAGATTTTGGCACTTGAATTGATGAGTTAAGATCAGGCCAAAAATGTTATATGAAAGTTATGCCCCCTGCAGGGTATTAGAATTGCACTCACGTATTTGACATATTCATCAGTGGCTTTGGCTTCCTCTATCTTTGGCTTCTTCTGCACTGGAGAATCAATCGCCGTCGCCAGGCATTGGCTTAACCTAGATACCTTATTTTGTTACTTTTATTATTACAAAGGGAACTATTTTACTTTTGTTTCTTTAAGCCATTAGTGGGCTTTCGATATTGTATCTTTCTAACCCAATTAATAAAACAAGACCTAACATACTAATAAAAGTGTCAAATACAGTAAAAATGTTATGTATTAAGAATTTAAAATCATGAAAATCTATTAATTTAGAAATGTATTAAAATTATATTTAATCGTGACAATCAATATGAAAAAGAAAACTACAAACGGATGTTTCTTGAAAACGAAGTTCTTTGGATATTATCCCAACATCCGATGCCACCATTAACGGAACAGAATCTAAAACATGAAAACTCTCAATGGCAATATAAACGTATAGTTATCGGCAAAACAAATAGCTTTCCTCTACACGATGTACAAGTTTTAAAATTGTATTCCACATCGTATTAGAAAGTGGTGTTACTAATACTACTAACCATTAAAACAACAAAGTGTGTAAAGAATTTATGCCTTATAAGGAACATGGTTGCATTGATACATTATATACAGTATATTCAATTTAGAGGACAGTACGGGCCAGTTTCGGAACTAGATGTGATTAGGCATCTTACTTATACTACAATGTCTCGTTAGTAGTACGTGAAGCACATCGATTGAAAATGATGATAAATTTGTATTGTGATATAGGAATAACGACTCTTCATATCAAAATTGGGCCACCAGTATATTTAATCATTATAACAAGAAAAAATGCAAAACTATGGCTTTAATGTTGAATAAAAATTTAGGGACACCACGTGGCTGCTTCACTATCAAAACCATCTGCTTGGCCACGAGCTTGAAATTCCAAAATTATAAAAACTCAATCTTTCTTAGATTTTGATTCTTGACATCGTAAGTCCCGATTCTATTGATGAAGATAAGGCTAAAATGAAACCACAGTGTTTCCCTTGTTTTCACAAGTGGTCATTAAAAGAATATTTCAATTCTTGAGATCATAATATCATACGATCTCGATTTTTCTCAAATATACAAGAATCGAATGAAGAAACGTCCGAAAACTTGGTATCTCACTTTTCAATTCAGATTTGTCTAGATCGGCTTCAAGAAAAAGTTCAATGAATTTTAAGCCGAAATATAAACATAACATGATTCTTCAGTATCAAATATTCCACAAGAGATTTTTGTTGTATGGTACGTTTACCGAATTGGTTGATAGTTTTATTCTTTAGCTGCAAGAGGCAAAGAATCAAGAAGCTGTGAACAGATCATATTCTTTCAGATATGATTTAATATATGTTCTTTTGTCACTATTTATATTTGAGATATTATTTTGTGCTAAAGTTTATTCTCTTGGGAAAAAAGGCTACGTAATATGAAAGCTTACGTACTTTGGAAAGATATATATATAATGAGCTTATACACTCTTCATTCCATCAAACACAACAACTCCAATTCACTTCCTATCTCCAAGTTCGCATCCCATTTTTCTTCTTTACAAGTTGCTTCTCAATCATCCCATATAACACTATAATGGAGAATCTACAAAAGATGATCTCTGAGAAGTCGGTAGTGATCTTTAGCAAGAACTCTTGCTGCATGTCTCACACAATCAAGACTCTCTTCTTCGACTTTGGCGTGAACCCGACGATCTATGAACTAGACGAGATCAACAGAGGGAAAGAGGTAGAGCAAGCATTGGCTCAGCTCGGGTGCAGCCCGACCGTGCCGGTGGTTTTCATAGGAGGACAGCTCGTTGGTGGAGCCAATCAAGTCATGAGTCTCCATCTCAATCGTTCTCTCCTTCCAATGCTTAAGCGTGCTGGAGCATTGTGGCTTTGACTTCAATAAATGTACTGAAGAAACTAACTAAAGCCATGAATTAACTAAAAAATATACACAAGAATTAATGTATGTATGAGTTAATGCTGTGTCTATCTAAGTTTTGAAAAGATAGACTATGCGGTTACCTATTTTGTAAAGTGTGGGTATTGTTTATAATAAAATCAGCTATCGTTAAATTTATCCTTTTCGCATGTTTTACTCATGCCAACATTATCCAAATTATATTTGGTTATAAAATTGAATATTGATCTTGGGATGGATCAAATCTTTTTTTTTTTATTAAATTGGTAAAATGTATTTTTTTAAATACCTATAGTGGTACAATGAAATAGTATAGTACTTGGTGATTAATCATGTGTCTATAAGCTTATGCGAGGGTTCTGCGCTTGACAAGAAATATAGTACTTGGTGAAACATATGTGTCTAGCTAACATCGTTGCATTGTTAATTTGTTACATATATATATTCCATGCTCTAGGACGGTACGGGCTAGTTACGGAATAAGATCATGTGATTAGGCATCTTACATATACTAATACTAGAATGTGTCGTCAGTACGTGAATCACATCGACTGAAAATGATGATAACCTTGTATTGTGATATAAGAATAATGACTCTTCAGATCAGAATAGGGCCACCATTACATTTTAATAATTTCAAAAAGAAAATGCAAAACTATGACTTTAAAGTTCAATAAATATTTTGAGACACCATGCCACTATCAAGTTCATCTGCTTGGCCACAAGCTTGACATTCCAAAATTCGTAGAATTTGGAATAAAGCTCAATCTTTCTTAGATTTTCATTCATGAAGATAAGGCTAAAACAGAACCACACAGAGTTTCCTTGTTTTCTCAAGTGGTCATAAAGAGAATATTTCAATTCTTGAGATAATATCACACGATTGCGAGTTTTCGCAAATATAGAATAATCGAAAGAGGGATCTGAAAACTTTGCGACTCTGAAGAGTGTATCGATCTTATCAATTTAATAACTGACACGACTTTATCCCGACCATTGCGACTGAAATGTCCCTAGCAAACTTCCACATCTTGCATGGCTTGGTCATGATTTCTGAGAACAGTTATACTAAGTGAAGGGAAGGTTGATCGATCTTTAGGACAGTTTTCTTTTTATTTTTTATTTTTTATTTACCTTTTAATTAAATAAAAAACAAGCTTCAGTTTCGTCTCAACTGGCTTATATATTGTCTCAACTGGCTTATATATTTTTCTATAAAAAAAATAAAAAAATATTAATTACATTTTAAGCTGAAACAAAATCTATATCTTTATTTGTTGTTGCATTTGTCTAGCTATTTATATTAGACTACTACAAATTATTCAGATTTGGACTTCTCTAAATTTTAACTGTGAGAAAATTTAATATACGGCCGAGATATACACATAACATGATTCGTCCGTATCATATATTTCTCAAGAGATTTTGTTTTTTGTACGTTTTACCGAATTAGTTGATTGTTGTTTTATTCTTTAGCTGATCTTTAATCTTATATTACGGCTCAATTAACTAGTACTTGTATTAAAAAAAAACTGCATTTCCTATAATAAGAGAAGAAAAAATAATGCAACTCATGTTATATTCCTTCTTGTAATCAATGTTCATTGTTTTTGTTATGCAGTGAGATCAAAGACAAATGATATTAACAAGAGAAGAAATAATAATGCAACTCATGTTCCACTTGGCTATTCGTGGATGTGGCTTAATATTTGTGGATATAGCGTCGTATTTTAAAAAAATCGTGGCTTTTTTTTTTTAAATCACCTTATAGTCACGAATTTTCGCGAATGTGTGAATGAATACAAAATAGAGTAGTTACAAAATGAATCGAATATATAAAAATGATTGGGTTCTATCGTTGGCCTAAGTTGATAAGGCAAAAAGTATGAAGGTTTATCTAAAAGAAATCAAACATTTTACACCCAAAAAAAAATTAAAAAAAATAATCAAAATTTGCAACTTGCAAGGCAAAAAGAAGGACTAGTTTGCGAATTCTCTAAGTTAAGGATACTTACGTACACAGCAAAATAAAAAAAGGGGTGAAAATTCTAGGGTTTCGACTTTGGACCATGCCTGGTGTTGACGATTCCAAGGTGCGGTTGAGAGATCCGGCGGAGATCGAATCTCCAGAACGGAAGATAGAGACAAAATCAGAAGATCGTCCACCAAATTCCTTCTACTTCGGCGGTAAACTACTCCGCGTAGGCGAACCCAACGATGAGGAATGTTTTAGACAGGCCAAACTCTTTTCCAAACAGTTTGGTGATAGCGAGGTATTTTCATATTTATATGCTAATCCAAAAATTTCTGGATTTACAAGTTCATTGGTTGGATTGTTTCGGATTTAGGTTCATAGAGAGAGGTCATTGATTTACTTGTTGAATACACAACTGGGAAAGTTTAGTCGTATCCTCGTTTAGTTTTAGTATGCTGTTTGGTTTCTCCTCCTTTCTTCTTTGGTAATATAAATTGTATTTTTGTGTTTACAGGGTTTTGATGTGGACTGGGACAGTTTTGACTACGTGTTCTCTGTCGTCAATTTCTACTGGCAACCACAACTTGATGATAGGATGACCAATGACGAGCTGCTCAAACAACTCATACGAGCAGCCATTGAAGAATACGATGATGATAACGTCAGCTTCTTTCTTTAATTACTTTCTAATGGTTCTTTATCTGTTCTTCTACTTAATGATCTTTTGTGTTGTTGTTCTTTTGCAGGGAACAGAGCTTGAGCTTATCGATTATGTAGGTGCCAATATGGCACCGTGCAAGGGTATTATGTATTACATAACATTTAGGGCCAAAGATGTTTCCTCAACTAATCCAGAGCTTTACCAAGCCAAGGTGCGCAAGTTTTGTGATGATATCGCCGTCAAATTGGTTAGGGAAAAGCCTCACAAAGAAATTTCATGAGGTAGTTATTTTATCACTATTAGCTTAAAACTAGTTATATGACTGACTTAAAATCATCTTCATCATACTATTTGTTTCGGGTTTCCTTTATTTAAATTGGGTTTGGTGATGCATGCAGGACAGTTTATATTGTGTTATGTGCTTCAAATGGGACAGCTCTTGAGAATAATTTGTGGTGGCTTTTTTAATAATGTTATATGTACTTTGTGTTGTAATATCACAGCTCTTGGTCGTTAACTACTTTGTCTTGTATGACATGTCTTTGCCAAAATCCAACCAAACTTGCTTCTACTTTAACTGCTATCATTTTATCTCATGGTCTGTCAATTGTTGTTAAAATCATTACTTCACTTCTATCTCGTACGTGTTTGGGAGGTCTTTTTGTATTTTCATTTACTGGGATCTGGACGACTAAACACAAAACCTTTTCATGTAAACTAAATCATAGTATCATACTGCACTAGAATAGTGTTATTTGTGATAATGGGGTATATATACTAGTAACCACATTTGTATATTCTTATCAGTCTTTTGTTTTCATAAGGATCTTCAATAAAATGATTCCACAGAAATCAACTATAAAAAATGTATATAAACTTAGAATCGATAATTGTAATACAGAACATGGGGAATACATGAAAAAGAGTAGGAAAATGTTTAGAAACAATGTTTTTGTGTCTTCTCTCTCGCATAAACATGTTTAAAAAAAGCATGTCAAATCATCTAATTTCACTTGCAAATCAGTGTGAGGGAACAAATAAAGATTAAACAGAGCAAATCATCTGCTTTCACTTGCAAAACAGTCCTCAAGTTTAACCAGGTTTTAAGAATAAGCAAACAAGTCAAGAAAGCTTTGCATGCATTCAACGAGAAACCAAAGAAGACCAACGTTGCTAAATAAAAGATGGTAGGAAATGTTAAATTACAATGGTTGGTCATTCATTCCCCCTTTTATACATGTTGGAGAGGAGACGTTGAAGGTTAGAAACAGGAAAATTCTGATGCCATCTAGTGGCGGGGCCGGGTTCAGCACGATACTCAATTTGTTGATACAAAAGAGGCATATAAGAGTGTCACAACTCACAACTACCTTTGCCATGGTGTTGGGATTAGGGATATAAGACTATGATATAAAATTTTATTCTTGTTAAAACACATGAATGAGGTGTTACTATTTATGAAAATTACCCTAGAAATTATTGTCTTCCTCGTCCACCATTTCTCAAAAGTCAAAACATATGAGTATTTATTCCATTAATTTTATGTTTTTAATTTGAGTACCGAGTAGTGTGAACCTAACATTAAAACGATGCCGCATTATTGATATGCATTAAAGTATGAAAATCAAAGTAAACACAACACAATCGAATTGAGTATTTTGACCCAATGAAGAAACGGTTAATCCAAAATGTCAGTTTAGCCCCTGCAGCAACTTCTCCCTTTCCTCTTCTTCACCTAAAACCGAAAGCTTTCTTGTTGCATAAGCTTTCAGAATCTACCAATCCTATTCTCACGAATCTACTACATACACTCACTCTGAAACTTGGGTTCGCTAGTGACACGTTTACTGTGAATCACCTCCTTATTAGCTATGTTAAGCTCAGAGAAGTCGACACTGCACGCAAGGTGTTCGGTGAAATGCGTGAACCAAATGTCGTTTCCTGGACTTCGGTTATTTCTGGGTTTAACGACATGGGTCAACCTCAAACTGCTTTGTCTATGTTTCAGGAGATGCATGAAGATAGGTCTGTGCCTCCTAATGAGTACACGTTTGCTAGTGTCTTTAAAGCATGCTCTGCTTTGGCTGAATCAAGAATCGGGAAATGCATCCATGCCCGTCTTGAAATTTCCGGGCTCAGAAGCAATACTGTGGTGAGTTCATCTCTTGTTGACATGTATGGGAAATGCAACGATGTGGAAACGGCTAGACGGGTTTTCGACTCGATGATTGGTTGTGGCAGAAATGTTGTTTCTTGGACCTCCATGATCACTACTTATGCGCAGAACGCCCGTGGCCATGAAGCTATTGAGCTGTTTAGATCATTCAATGCTGTTTCGACATCGGATAGGCCGAATCAGTTTATGCTGGCTAGTGTAATTAGCGCTTCCTCTAGTTTAGGTAGGCTGCAATGGGGAAAAGTTGCTCACGGGTTAGTCACTCGAGGTGGTTATGAATCGAACAATGTGGTTGCTACCTCGCTTCTAGATATGTACTCGAAATGCGGGTCTTTAAGCTGTGCGGAGAAAATATTCTTGAATATTCGTTGTCATACTGTTATAACTTACACATCTATGATCATGGCAAAGGCAAAGCATGGATTTGGAGAAGCAGCGGTCAAACTCTTCGATGAAATGGTAGGAAAGAGAATAAAGCCTAACTATGTAACATTACTCGGTGTGTTACACGCTTGTAGCCATTCGGGTCTGGTTAACGAAGGCCTAGAATTCTTGAATTCCATGGCTGAGAAGCATGGCGTGATTCCTGATCCGAGGCATTACACTTGTGTGGTTGATATGCTTGGAAGATCTGGCCGTGTTGATGAAGCTTACGACTTGGCAAAAACAATAGAAGTTGGAGCAGAGCAAGGAGCGCTCTTGTGGGGAGCTCTTCTTTCAGCTGGTAGGTTACATGGAAGAATTGAGATTGTTAGTGAAGCGAGCAAGCGGTTAATTCAGTCGGATCAGCAAGTGACAAGTGCATATATTGCATTATCCAATGCTTATGCTGTGGCTGGAGGATGGGAAGATTCGGAATCTCTTCGACTAGAGATGAAGCGTAGTGGGAATGTGAAAGAACGAGCTTGTAGCTGGATTGAGAGTAAGGAGTCAGTCTATGTTTTCCATGCTGGGGATCTGTCTTGTGACGAAAGCGGTGAGATTGAGAGGTTTTTGAAAGATATGGAGAAGCAAATGAAGGAAAGAGGACACAGAGGAAGTAGTAGTAGTAGTATGATCACAAGTTCGTCGGTTTTTATTGATGTTGATGAGGAAGCTAAAGAGGAAATGGTGAATTTGCATTGTGAGAGATTGGCTTTAGCCTATGGATTGCTTCACTTGCCTGCGGGATCAACGATTCGGATTATGAATAATTTGAGGATGTGTAGAGATTGTCATGAGGCTTTCAAGGTGATCAGTGAGATTGTGCAGAGAGAAATTGTAGTTAGAGATGTAAATAGGTTTCATTGTTTTAAGAATGGATCTTGCACTTGTCGTGATTTTTGGTGATTTTTTTAACTAATGTAGATTGATCTTTTGTTCTGACATATTCCTGACTCATTCTTAGTAAAAAGTAAAAACATTGATGTACCTAGAGGCGGGTTTAAAGGAGATCACTTAGATGCGGTTTAAAGGAGATCATTGTGGTAGTAGAAAGTGATCAATGATCCATGATCCACCCGTTATTATTTTATCAAAGAAAAATAGGTTTTGTCTTTTGAAAGAAAAAAAAACAAATGAAAAATAGGGTTTAGGTTATGTGCAGGGGATGGCCACAGTTCTGATTTCTGATTTTGATAGGTGTATGGAGGTACTCATTAGAATCAAATAGGTCTGCATACAATTCACCAATAGGCAGTAAACATGTGTCACTCTGAGGTTACTGTATGGACAAATACGAAGGAAGAAGGATGTTTAGACCATCCTTATCCAAGATATCTTAAAACTAATATTTGTGTAAGAAAGTATCTCAAGATACCATGGATAAAGATGTCCTTAGAGCATCCTCAATGCTAGGTTTTAAAAAAAAAATCTTGTGATTTGTTTATTAATTTATTTGTAAAAAGTGATGTTAAGAAATGTAACTAAGTTTTTATGTTTTATTGCAGAATCATTGATGGGTTCTTAAGTAGTGGATATTAGGATTAAAAAATAAAAATAAAAAAGTTAAAAAATTAACAATTTAATTTTTGAAAAGTTAATAATTATTAGAAAATAAAAACTAAAAATATAGATGAGATACAATTTATTGCATAAATAACATAAGCACAAAGCACAATTAATTTAAAAGTGATTTGTATAATGTTTTGTTTATATGTGCTCGACCGATTGGATGCTAGAGAGAGAGAGAGAATTATTTTTTTTTCATAACACCCAATCAAACCTTGCCACGTATGCGCCTCTTACACCCAATTTTTGATCTTATATAAGATACGATCCTTAGGTAATTATGTGTATTTTGATTTATATTTAAATGCTAATACACTAAGGATTACCATAAGGATTGACCATTGAGGATGGTCTTACCAGCGTGACGAGAAAGAAACATATAAGTCAGGAAATTAGTAATATATGTAAAAACAAAAAAAGAAGGAAGAGTCTACGTCCGTACAAGGTGAGATGCTCCCAGACACGTTCCCCTAGGAAACTCTTTCTTGGTTTTGCTTTTTCTTTTCCGCCGTTCCAAACCTTTGTTCCACCGTCTAAAGGCTTTTTGCCACCGCAACAACTTTTCTCGGTCACCCTTTGTAAATGCATTCTAGTACTTGAAGATGAATGATGTTTATTTTAATTTTTTTCATTAAATGTGAATACAGAATACTACTTTGATTTAATTTGACCACATGTTGATTTGGTTGAAAATATATGGCACAAATTTGGCGTATCTCAAATTTCAACTAAACGTTTTATAAAGTCATCTCTATATTTTGTATGTTTTAAGTTTTATTTATTTCTATATTTTGTATGTTTTAAATTTTATGTATCTCTATATTTTGTATGTTTTAAATTTTATGTAATGCATTTTAATTTTGAATTTTAATAAAATTTCTTTTGTACCAATTAATTTTAAATTGCTTTTAAAATTTATTTTACTTAAAACTCATAACTTATTATTTATAAAAAAAATATTTATTTTGGTGAACCCCTTTTAAAGTTCACCAATGGACCCCCAATAATTTAATTATTTCTAACAAGTTCTTAACTTCACTTTAATCATCATTTATTAGTAAAAAGATTGTTAACAACTCCACTAATAATATTACCGTTGAAGATGGTCTTAAGGATATTGGAGATGGTCTTAAGGATGATGAGAAGAAGAAAGGAAAACAGATAAAAGTATCCGACAGTGGAGACGTAAGACACCTGTTCAATATCATTTGATTTACAAACATATTCTTAATAATACACAAATAATTACACTTGTTGGTTTATTTTTAACTAATTTACGGTTTAATTAGGATATCATTCGTTGGGATTGGAAAAGATACGGAGGAATCGTAAGTTAACACGTACTCAGGCAAGGAGACGAATGTATGTTGCAAATTCGTTAAATGTGTTTTATTATAATTCTGTTAATAATGTTTTTATTAACAAAAATATAACTGTTACAGAAGAACAAGACATAATTTTGAAGAAGAACAAGACATAATTTTGAAGAAGACCAGAGACATTTTAATTCTCTCATCATCTTTTTTGAATGGCTGCATGGATATATAAATTGATCATTCTTGTGTTGGCTTTAGTCTGAACTGACTGACCAGGATCTCATCCATAAACTTTCTCACCTTTGCTTAGTAAAGTTTTGGCTCAGGATTTGGTGAGGAAACATCTTGTGCCCAGAATGTTATATAAAACAAAAAACCTTGCACTCCCTGAACATTTGCACTCACATACTTAACGAACTTGAGATTTGTTCCCTGCAAAAAAGCAGAAGAAACGATTAGAAAGAACTAAAGCTGAGAGAAAACTAACAAGAGGAAGCTCTTTTCTTCTAATAGATTCTTCGTTTTCTTCTCTGATGGCCGTTTTTATGCACAGATCTAGCACTTCCTGATTGGTAAGTCGAGTTGACAAAGATGATGCCGATTCGAATTTGATGGCAGGGAATTTGAAGTACAATTTATCCCAATCTACATCGTAACCCTGTCGAATTGCATATACGTATATAAATACAAGATTATACATCATCGAATTGAAGACCAAATTGGTGGATTGACCCAAATCCAAATCCAACTAAGATAAATCGAATCAACAAATATGATTCACATCGGCATAATAATAAACTCTAAATTATTACCTCGCTCTTTACAAATTGCTCCTCAAACAGATCTTCCTGTCTAATATACTCAGGATCCTTCCAGTTTCCTTTGCGTAGAATTCGCATCTTTGATTTGACGACCTCTGTTTCCGCCTTCGCATCCTCCGCATCTATCTTCGGCTTCTTCAGCGGTGGAGAAACCAACTCCGTCCGATCTTCAAACTTGGTGGTATCCTCATCACCAGCCTCCTTCGAAACCCTAGACATCTTTTTTTTCTTTTTACTTATGTCGAGGAGATGATAAGATAACAAGACTATCAATATTTATAATTTAAAGGGAATTTTGCAAATTCAAAAGTTTAAAATTAATTAGGAGTTTTTTTTATAAATTTTTTTACCTTCTCCAATGATAGAACATAATTCAAAATTTGTGTTTAATTAATTTGGTTAATTAGAGGTTTTTGATTTTAACTTCTTAAAAATTTATGGTCTTTTGGTTAAAAAAAATTATGTGTTTTGGTTCTTAAAAACTTAATCAATGACGTGATTCCTGATACGAGGCATTACACTTGTGTTGTTGATATGCTTGGAAGATCGTTAATGAATGGGATTATGACTTGGCAAAAACAATAGAAGTTGGAGCAGAGCAAGGGGCGCTCTTGTAGGGAGCTCTTCTTTCAGCTGGTAGGTTACATAGAGATTATGAATAATTTGAGCATGTGTAGAGATTGCCATGAGGCTTTCAAGCTGATCAGTGAGATAATGCAAAGAGAAATTGTAGTTAGGGATGTATATAGGTTTCAATTTTTTTTTAACAACGGATCTTCTACTTGTCGTGATTTTTGGTGAAATTTTTACAATTAGTTTGTTCTGACATATTTCGATTCATTTATAGTGGAAACATTGTTGTAGAGGCAGTTCTCAAAGGAATGAGCATTGAGCAATGAAGCATAATACTACGATTTAACTAAAGAATTGAGCAGCAATGCAATTTTGACTTGAGATGAAATAAGGCAGGAGAGAACAAAAAGAACACACAGCCAAAACTGAAGCTAAGCCTGTTTACACAAAACAGAAGGCCAGAGGAAGTGTTTCTAGTCTACGAAACTACTGCATTTAGGAATGGCGAAGTAAGAGCATCCAAACATCCCATAGAGGAATATCAAAACAGAAGAGCAACTTTCTTAGGTTCATCATATGCAGCCGAATAGAGATAACTAAGTAAATATACAAACAGCAATCCCAGAGAACCAATGAAATGTAACATCCACACAGCAAAAATAGCTTCAGGTTGCTAGTTACTACTTTGTTGGGTTCAACACGAACACCACAACAGCTATAGCATGGTTAACTACGCTACACATAACATGTCGATATGAAACTTAAACTTGGGGTATGAATTTCTAAAACTAAAATCACACAATGCTATATGCAAAGATAGGATGTTCCCCGGAAAAATAATACAGTATATGGTATAGCTGCTGTAAACGTGAATTCATTGATGATGTCAGCTAACAAAATTTTGGAAGGTTTCGTTGTTAAGCTAGAAACCAAAGAAGTTGTGTAACGTAATAATCTATCATAAGTGTTCCGAAAGAACCACTATGCTGATCATTTGGTCGGTGAAAAGCTACTCAGCAGAAATAAAGGGGTACATACCTGACAATAGCTGCACATGATCTTGTTATATCACCGCAAAAAAAATGTATGTTTCAATTCCAGTAATACTTTGAACAGAACTGAAACAGGATTAGAGGGGTATAGAGCAGTGTCTTGTCACAACTCTTATCACTACCCAATCTTTCAAATGACTATATCTAAGAATCCTACTACTCTACTGTAAATATTCTTTAGTCTTGAATACCCAGACACCAAAAAGAAGTAAGACCTGAAACAGGACCCTGCGGGTTACTGCAAAGTGCAAACTTAGAGCTTATGTCCTCTTTTCCAAGTCTTCCTTTTCTAATCTATTCAAGGGTAATCAACCTCGAACACTATGCTAATTAATAAGACTTTCCTATGGAAGTTCATGAAACAAAGGTAATCTAGATCCATGCTCTTCTGGGTATCTCTTCTTTCTAAAACACTATTCTATTCTTTATAGGACCAGAGCCTATGTACAAAACCGATTCAACACTTTGGGCCATCGAATCTTGATGAATTCAGAGCATCCATGGCAACCTCAATCATCTTTATAAGCGCTTCCACATCATGGAAACTGAAATCAATAACTTTCTTGATAGCAGAGATACAGTCTTCATGCTTTGTTTCCTCTAAGGTGATAGTGACTGCTTTAAAAGCATTTTGAGATTTTGCCGAGGCTTCCATTGCCAGATTCATGCTTTCTGTCTGCATTAGATAAATATAATATATCAGCTTGGTTTGGAAGATAGATGAGAAAGACATGCACAACTCAGGCAACAGAAGGATCTTAGTTGTCCATAATCGACACAACTCCATGTTTCAATTCGGCAAACATCAATTGAAGTACTGTAAAATGCTTGTATCACATGTTGCGTCAAAGATGTATAGGGAATGCATAAATAAAGAAATTGATCTCTGACTATTTTATCTTTCCCAACCAACTTAAAGGCCAGGAAAAGTTGAAATTTCAAAACTCAAACAGCAGAGGTAAGAGACAACCCAGCTTGCTTTATGAAATGTATAATGCCAATAATTGATGAACGTGGGATAACTTACAAAGTCCAATAGCGGAACAAAATTTAGCTGGCTTCTAGCAACAGGGAGAAGGTTTCCAGCAACATGGGACAGACCTCTTTTCGTGTTAGCAGACTTATCAATCACCCCTTGATGATTAAAACTATCGACATCAGATGCAGATGACGATGGTGATTCACCTGTAGAAACAATTATATGAACTTCCAGATATTAAAGCCATAAAAATCTCTATACTATGAAAGGTGGACATACTAAGCCAAAATAATAGGGATACATGAGATAAATATCTTAACTATGTGACCGAAAAAAAAAAACTACTGAGGACTATTTTAGACAACTATTATTCTGGCTTAACCACATTAAAAAGATAACTTCGAGAAAAAAATGTTCACTCACTGATACGATCATAGATGCAGAAATCCAATATTACCTTGAGGAGTCATCTGTACCATCTTTTGCAATTCATTCCATTCTCCACTCAGACCTAAACTTCTGCCGTACACTAGCCTCATGTAAGCCACTTCTGAGCATTTATAGGCCAAAACAGCTGCAGCCATTTCTTGGCTTGTTTCATATCGATGGGCACAGCTTCTGTGACAAACAAGCAGAGTTTTCAATGACCACAAATTCATAAGAGATTTTCCTCAGTTATAAGGAAATACAAAAAAAAAGAGCAAGCAAAAACATTCACTTACTCTGAAAGTTTTGCAGCAGTCTGGTAAGCTTCAACATGGCTTATCGTCACACCTTCCACATTATCAGTACTGCACATTTCCAAAAGTGAAGCTCCAAAGAGAAACCTCAGAGCCGCTTTAAATTTGGTCTCCTTGTATTCATAATCAAATCCAGAGCTCTGAAATCATTAAGATAGAAAGACAACCAAATTAATAGCCAACACAAAACTAGCAGAAGAAAGACAGCATTAATTCATACTAATGTTCCATCATTTGTTTCATTTTTTATTTAAAGCAGCTTCATACTACATTATACGTAGCACAAAAATCTGACCTTCAAACAATCAGCCAGCTTTTTCAGCTTTTCAGCCTCTTGAAGTATATCATTCGCAGCATAGCGGGATCTATCCATTGGCTCATGAGCAATATCATCAATTTTTTTTACCCCAGCTCTATTTTCAAGGACCGTTTTCATAGTTGTGCACGGTAAATCACCAAACTTTGGGTTCTGTTTGCATACTTCTGGTTTTGGCTGTTTCTTGTTTTTAGGATGAGTTGTCGACAATATTTCACAATTGGCTTCATGAGATAGGGGTTTTTTAGCATTATCAATTCTACTCCCAGCAACACCATACTTCATGTTTTGTTTTTTCCGAGATATACTCTCTCCAGCTGATGCAAAATTTGTCGGGCATGAAGACCTTGCTGGAGAAGAAGAGAAAGAAGAAACTGATCCCACAGGAGATGCTTTTACTTCTTCCACATACATTCTTCCACTTTTATGTGATCCTACAATTTTTGAAGAGCTTGATGTTTCTACCCCAGAAATCTGCCCACTTCCACCAGAGAGATGTCTACATGAGGCATCAGTATACCGGTGTTCTTGAGAGCCATCAGCCTGAAACAATTCATTTCTTTGGCATGCTAAAGATTCTTGGACTGAAATCTTATTTATTGTCGCCTTGACCATTGATGGCTCTTTTTCATCACCATCTACAAACATTTTTACATTGTTCCCATCATTACCCTGCTTGGAACCCATCAACCTTATTTTCCTCACAGGAGAATTGATTCTGCCATGAGCTTTTGTACACAAGGAACCACTAGCAGTTGGCAGTTGACATTTGCGATCAGGTTTGTTTTTAGATGCGAGTAATCTTTTCTTTGTGGCTTGCTCTACATCCAAAGTGTACAGATCATTGTCAGGACGCTTTGTCTTTCTCTCTGCTGGAGTCCATTCCAGATCTTGATTCCAATGTATTTCTTCTACTTTAAAATCTCTGGCGAGTTTGTTGCCAACATTAGTCGTGAAATGCTTGGAACCATCACTATCTTGTTTGTCACCCTCCTTTTTCTTCTTGGTCTTTATCTGAAAATCAGTACCTACAATAAGAACAAGTTATTTTGACGAAAAAAGAAGCCCCAGTGAAGTGAAAATGTACTCTAGCTGATGGCGAAACCGACCTGCTGATCGCCACTTTGTTTTCTGGTCAACCTTATCCTGAACAAAATCGTGCGACACACCAAAGTCAGTGACTATCTGAGTAGCATTAGGTTTTTCTCCTGGAAGCTTCAAATTTTTTATTTTGAAAACATGTGGGCTACTTTTCATAGGCTTTGCAGCATCAACCAGGATACTGCTAGAAAGTCCTTCAGATAAGTCTTTCATGCCAGACTTCTTATCAATTGAATTTGGCAATGAACCAGAAGTTAATGGTGGGTAGCTTTTATCAGAATTACTAGCATCAGAGAGGAGTTTAACACCAGTCTCAGGACAATGAGGCTCACTAGCAAGAAAGGAATTAATAGCCATTATTGTCTCGTTCGCGCTGACACCACAATGGTTCATTCCAGGCCTACAAAAGAATATTAGGGAGGATGGTAAGGAGATGTGATAATATTATAATCTGAAGGTTCTGCACGAGGTTGAAATGCAGAAAGTAAGTCGAAGCGTTGTGAAAACAAATTTTTATCTTTAATGCTTGACCCAGTCATTCTAGGGAACAAGACCTAACATGATTTAAAAGACTCCAACCATAAAGAACTATGAACTAAACTATGAAACTTCTTTCAAGCTAACCATGATAGCGACAAAAAGGTTTCGTGCTTGAATCAAGAAAAGAGCAAAAGATACAAACCATAATAGTAGATATATTCAAAAGCAAGGAAAAATGGAATAGAAATACTTACAGCCACGTTTGCATGCTACACAACCACTTATCAGGCAGCTTCTCAGAGTAACCAAGGGGGAGTAGCCGCCATGTCTGACAACTATCACATTGCACCCAATTGTCAAGGTCAAGACTGGTGGAAGAAGGTGCAACCGCAAAATCAAACCCAACTTCCATACTTTTGGGACCTATAAATGCAGCATCTTTGAAAGGCATCTTTGATAAAATTTTATCACCAGAACTATATTTGCTACTTTTCTGTTGCAACTTTCTCAAACATGTCTTTTTCTCCTTCACAGCATGCACCCCAACAACCTTTATTTTGTTTGATCTAGTAAATGCAAGTCTGGGATCACTTTCACCATCTTTTTTTATACCTTCCTGCAAGTTACATTTTGCTGTAAGCCCATCAGTAGTAGAACCTGCCGCACCTAAACCACAAGTTGACTTCTCCCTGGCCAACTGACCAGCGGAAAAAACTTTTTGCCTTTTCATATCACCAATCGATGAAGTCTCATTCCAAGTGGTAGCATTAAAGCAGTCAGTTTTCCTTCTCCTTCCACTTGGAGTTTCCTCACAAAGTAAAACATCCGAAAACTTGTTATTTGTCTGAATAGAAGGTTCCTTTCCTGTCCTAAGCACAGGTTGCTTGTCTGATAAAGTATCTTGCTTTTCCTTCTGTTTCAGAAGAAGCAGACTATCAGGAAGGGGCGACATCAGTAGATCCTCTGGGACAGGAATGGCAGTCATTTCCTGTTTCATGAAGTTAAGAATAAGTTGGGATTAATACCGAACCATTTAATCCACACACAAGGAACCGACAGAATGTCATATATGATCTACCTGTAGAATGCGGGAAGGAGATTCACTTGTCTTCTCCATAGATGTATGTAATAGCATTCTGCTACTAGAATCATGCCCGTTTTGAGAAGGTGAATTTGGAAAACCATTCTTGAGACCAAGATCCTTGGAAAGCATGACCTTCTGGGATAAGATTTCAGAACCCATTTTGATCCGAACCCTAATCGGCTTATGATCAGGCATATCATTGCCCGGTATTCCTTCATTTCCTTTCTTTATAGGAACCTTTCCAGGAGCATGAGCCATAAGTGATCCTGAAGTTTGAATGTTCTGAGGATCCTGATTACTTCCTAGTTTAGAAGATGTAGTAGGCAGTGACGTAAACTTCTGGACCACATTCTGAGCAAACAATAATTCATCAGCACTCATAATTAAGCTACTTATAATACCAAGAAAACATCACTTAAAGATCCAGATTCCTTCAAACCTTGGACTTAAAAGAATTCATAATAGAGAATACAGAAACAACAAAGTTTTTCCAATACCATATATTTAAATCTTCAAATCGAAGTGAGAATGTTGTTCTCATACCTTCCCATGTAAATTATTAGAGAATCTTTGGACGGCATGATTCCCTGGGGAACTCCATTGACATGATGGTACATCCAGCGAACGTTTGTAAGTGGGCAAAAATGATCCATAGTCACAGATCTTTGGACCTGACCAAAACACATCATTCTTTCAATGACATTTCATCTCAATATACTTTCTCACTAAGACTATAGTTAATATTACTTACCAAACAGGTTCAGGGCACCCATTTCGAAATCTTTTTGGAAGTGGCCAAGTACATTCCGTACCTTCTTGTCCTTCGATACACAAAGCAACAAAACTTGGTTTTTAACAATGCAGAACACATATATAACAAAGCCAAGTGACATCGTTCAAAAAGTTAATAAATTCCAACAGAATATTAATCCCACGCAAAGAAGAAGACCTTTAGCAAAAAAAAAGATACAAAAACAGAGAAGAAATACATATAAAACATACTACATTCCCCATAAAGAAGGCATACAAGCGAGATTGCTACAAAAGACACCTAGCTCTTCACACTGGAACTCAAAACTCAAGAACAAACAAGATACATAGCATTTGCAATATCTTTAAAAAAAGCTATATCTAACTGAACTTAATCGGCATTGGCCTTATAAACACATAATGCTATTCAATTAGTCTCAAAACACTTCCAGTACTACCTTGATAACTTTCAGAACTTAATAGTTTAACCCCCATAAGCAAAAACCAAAACATCATTAACCAAAAGACCTTCAACTTTCGAAGTTGACAAAAAAACCCAACATTGTAATTACCTTCTCAATTCCATACACATAACACCACAGAAAGAACAATTGTAATTGAAAAAAAGATAAAAATCACAAACAAGATGCTCACAATGTAGGAGAGATCAACGTCAAGATCAACAACGGCTTCATCAGAAGAACAATTCATCTCTCCTTCTTCAAGTTCATAATCCTCTCCCATCTTCTAAAACAACAAACACCCTTAACATAACCCAATTCCAAACCCTAATTCCTACTACTGCTTCCTAAAACCCCCCAACACAACACACACTAAACTCAGCCGCCACCAAAACCGTCTCGAAAATCCAACATTGCCCAGAATCTCAAAACAACACACACACCAAAACCAAACCAAAACAATAAAAAAAAACGCGAAACAGTCACAGTAATCCCTTAAAATCCCTTAAAATTTTGTGTTCAATCTCCAACCCAAACGGACCAAGTTTTGATTGTTCAAAAAAAACGCGAAATTAGTCGGTTAATCCAGTTTATTAAAAGACTCGAAATCACGATCAAAGTTGGAAAGTACGATACGATCAGTGAGTCGAGTCGTGATTCGAGTCAAAGGCGACGAAGTGCGGCTACGAGGTTTACGGAAAGGTTTGGTTCGGCGGCAAGTAGCTTTGTAGCGTCTCCGAGTTTTTATTTTTATTTTTTTGGCAGACAAAGACGCAATGGTTTACAAAAGAGTGTTTAGTTTTTTTTGGAGGGTTCTTCTTTTGGTTAATCATTAATTAATTAATTAATTAAAAACACTTTTAAAGTTTTGTAATTTTTCTTTGATTCGTCTCTTTCATTTAAAAGCTTGGGATATTTTTTTACACTTTTCTCCTTCTGTTTCTGAGATTGTATCGGATATTACTTATCATTTTGAAATGAGTTTGGATCCCCTCACCCATTTGGAGAAAGAGATATTATTCGTGAGACGATTTGGAACTGTCTTTCTTTTTTTGTCATCAAACTTTATAATATGCGGACTGGAACGAACTATGCGCACCAAAAAATCTGTTTTTACATTCAAATTTCTAAACTTGAAACGGTTAAAATTTCAAAATAATTAACAAAAAAGGAAAATTTGAAAAAAAAAAAAAAAAAGGAGAGTATTAACAAGAAAAAGTATAACATCAACTAATATTTTTATTTTCTAAATTGTGGAAAATTATTTCTAAGATATGATGATTTAATTGATAAAACCTAATTTACACATGTTAACGGTAAATTTTTTGGGATTTTGGGCCTGTTCGGGAGATAATCGCTGCGATTACAGCCAGCAATCAAAAAGTTGCTTTACATCTCTTTCATCTCTCCTTCACCTCTTTTACATCTTTCTTAAAATCTGTTTGTTGCGATTATAATTTTAAAAATTTGGAATCGCTGGATTCAACTGCGACAAAACCCAACCCTTTAATTTGATGTTGCGATTATTGTTGTGCTTTTCTGTTACAGATCTATAATTCCAAATCAAATCACCATTGTTAGATATTTACAGATCTGGGTTTTCTCTTCTATAAGGTACAACCCAGTATTAAATTTTAAATTAATACATGACTATAATTGCAAAACATGAAAACTTCAATAAATTAATAATGTTGTGAACGTGAAAATTTATTAATTTAGAGAGGTAATAATTTATTAGTAAATTAATAATTTGGTAATTTTATATATTTCAAAATGTGATTTAACTGTTATAATCAAAATTATTTAGATAGATTACATATATACATGTCTTGAAAGATGAACACCAAAAAAAATCGAACAATAAAAATATTAGAAATGAATTCTAGAAGAATGTGGCACTGCTTCGGCTATATACAAATGTGTTTTTATATAGTAAAACTTATTAACTCTAATTTTAATAACATTTTTTTAAAAAAATTGAAGTAATTAATTTTAGAAGTTAATTATAGTACGTAAAGTTTATTTTCTAAGGAATGTAGGTTTCTCAATATGTACTCAACTAAAAGAATCGTAGTGTTGTTGATCTAAAGTATTAATAGCCCATTGTAGCCACGTCTAGTAGTACAATTAGACAAATCGTCTCAATATGAACAGACAGCTTTATGGATGATATTGATCATCAAGGTTGTGTTTGTAGTTAATTATGCATTAACTACGTTTAAAATTGTCAAAGACTAGTTGTAATTAGGTTGTTGCTAATTCTTGCAGACCGGTCCCAAGCCTCATCAATACTAGGGAGAATTGGGATATTAATTCCATATATATATTCTTTGTTTCCACACATTTAATTCTTAGCTATTTTAATTATCTTTCATTTGATTTTGGTATATGCTTCTTAGCTATATCAGCCTCACAAAATATAGTATATGAATGGGACTAATATAATTTTGTTACTATCCATATCGATCGTTAATAAATTGAAAATCATGGAATATATCAACTTTGGAAAACTAAAACATTGCAAAGAAACGAACATTGAAACATTGGTGATCGAGATCATTTGATCTGTCATATATGATTTTAAAATGATTTACAGATAATATATATACTTTTTAAAACACGATTCTTGGCCGAGAGGGACCAACCACATACTCGTGTAAAATCGACGTTACATCCGAATAAGAAAAGTTTAAAGGTAAAGAAAACAGCGGGAAAATGTGGCGGGACAACATTAAAAACACGATTTTAGTGAGTCATTCAAAGCATTTAATCATTTATTGTAACTTTTAAATATATTCGATGTGCCAAACGATATTTACAGAGACTGTATTATACTTAGAAAATACTCACATACATTGTGTATGGAAAAGAGTATCTACGATATTATTGATCGACAGAAAAAAAAGGGGTATCTACACTAATAGATTAAATACTATTTTTTTTACCATAAAAAAAACACACCAGATTTTCAGGAAATTACAAAATTTACCCAAAATTTAATTTACGCATCGTCGCATCCCTTGTACTATAAATTAAATGAGGAGCCTACGAAACATGCATTGGTTAATTGATTATACACTACTCACAATATACAAACACAAAGAAGAAGAAGAAAGAAGAAGAAAGAAGAAGAAGAAAGAAGAAGAAGAAGAAGAAGAAGAAGAAGAAGAAGAAGAAGAAGAAGAGAGACCAAAAGATGAAAGGTGTTGTGATTTTATTGGTTTCATGTCTCCTTTTCTCCCTTCTCTCAACAAACCTTGGCCAAGGTATGATCATAATGCTCATATATAGTTTCAAATGTAAACCACCAACAACGTTCAATATATAGAATCTTATTAACTAATGACTGAAGATGTGTTTGCTTAAAAATGTACTCATCGTTCGTCAGAGTTAAAGTGGTGCCCATCAAGGGAAGTGTTCAGAGGCTCGTGCACTGACAGAGGAAGTCCAAGCTACACATGTTTTCTAGATTTTTTGGGATCCAAGAGTGCAAGTGCTATGCCTAAGAATTGCAAATGCACTCCTCTTGCTCACAACCGTCGTCAATGCGACTGTTTTATCATTTGCACTGAATAATTTAAGTTACTATTATTAAGGAAAGAGTATCATCATACCACCTATGATTACTCAAATCTCATATATTCCTCTAATATGTATTAATTATATTATTCTATGTAATCCTTTTAATTATGTCATTTGATTATGTTATGTGCTTTATATATAAGTTGTATCATCATTCAATAATACAATAACAATACATTTCTATAACTATTTCGGTTTCTTGATTTATAGTTAGAGTTTGGATTTTGTTTTTTGTTTTTTGTTTTACCTTCAATAATGTTATTTTGATTGAGGTTTCTCTTTGTAACTCAAGTCTAATAAGAGATAAGAGTCTCAGCTGAGGAATACAATTATTTCTGAGTATTATATGTATCGCTAAATTTGGATTTTATATCAATGAAATTTAAGTGCATATTCTATTTAATTTATATATATTGGTTCACTCTTATAGTCTTATAAGCTAATCATATATTAAAATAAAAGAATTAGATGTGATATTATTTTTTTGTCAATATTGGACCACAACATACCGGTCCACTAGCGAAATCCCTACAAACTTAGGGAGCGGGACTCGATATATGAATAAAAGATATATGAACTATGATATATATATAATCATGAATAAAAGAGATATGAGTTATGATGGTAGAAAAAAAATCTGTGAACTAACAAAAGGGGAAGGGCTTAACACCTTAAAAAAGCTTTCCCAATTTTAATCATTAGACTATTTCAGTGGTAAAGAGGGGGATAGATTACATTCTATTAGAATGAAATGACATACCATAGAACAAAGTGAGGGGATAGATTACATTTTTTTTTTTTTTTGGTCAAAGGATAGATTATATTCTATTAGAATGAAATGACATACCATAGAACAAAGTGAGGGGATAGATTACATTCTTTTCTTTTCTTTTTTTTTGGTCAAAGGATAGATTACATTCTATTAGACTGAAATTACATACCATAAAACAAAGTGATTTACCATTGACTATTTCACTATTCAACAAAAATGACAAAAAAATAACTGTTGGTCAAGTTTTTCGTTTTATTTCCAAAAAACATAAGATGCAAAAATGGCTATATATATATCAATCTGCAACTGAAACCATAACATACACAATCTCTAAAGAAAGAAAACGAAATCTAGTCAAAAGAAGAACAAAAGATGAAGGTTGCTGCAATATTTTTGGCTTCTTGTGTCCTTTTCTCTCTTCTCCCAATCCACTCGTCACAAGGTAACAATATATTTGTATCATAATATTATATATATATATATATATATATAATTGATTCATATTTACTAATAGATTTTTTTTTATATTTTTTTGTGACCTTAAAAAAAAAAGAAACAGAAGAATCAGTTGTTCCACCAAAACCAATTAATCAACCAGCGTATCATCGTGCTAAACAAATCTTCAATGGATCATGCACAGACAGAGGCAGTCCAAAAACCACTTGTTTCCTCGACTTCTTGGGTTCACGAAGTGCAAGTGAGATGCCTAGAAACTGCACTTGCACTCCTCTCCCTAAGAACAAACGTCTTTGTGAATGTGACGTTATTGAACAATGGTTGTAATTAACAACACACCTACTATAATATCTTGTAATTTTTACTTTTATTCGCATATTTTTAATCATAATCAAAAATTCGAAAAAGATGTCACATCTTTCATCCTAGGTCATTTCTCACAACCGCTCCGTTTTACAACAGAAATTCAGCTACACAAATAACAAGGTTTGAAAAGATCAAACATAAATTGACTAGAATGTGCATGTACAACCTTGTCGCAAGCATACAAATACTTTTCTCTTGACCAATAATGTCATCATACGTTCAGTTTTCGAAATTACATATTTTGCAGCTTTGTTAGTTTGAGCAAATGGTTGATATATTAGATTGTATGATATTGAGAGATAGTGTGCTCACGAGATTCATACCTCGGGATAAAAAGGTTAGATGACTAAAAAATCAATGAACTACATACATATAGATACACTCATGGACCATTTCCACAAGAAACGTGTAAGTGAAGCTCAAAGTTCTTAATTTTTTCTTAGTATGAACCCGTCACATTCACATCACGCGTCACCAAAAACATACCATTTTTATAAGAGACTGTGGATTTAATCCAAAGAGATCCTTAATCAAGACATTTGACTTCACACCAACATCCTTGTCTCCAAAAACAGTCCCAACTCCAATCAATTTCACAACATCTAGAAAATATTGTAATGTACAACTCAAGAAACAAGATGTAACTTATTGTGTTATGTTTCAGTTCAAATTTTCGTAATCTTCCAAATTGCCTCGAGTAGTTTCGGCTTGTAGAAATAATAAACTAACAAGGTTTTGGTTAGATGATCATAAACTATTTGGTTTTCTTTTGGAACAGCTCTAAAATACGTAAAGTTGAATTGCATTGGTTTTCTCTTTCGTTAGCTCAACTATACTTTTCTACACTATCTATTTTTAGTTCATAAGTGTATGTGTTTCAATTTGAACTTAATTAATTAAGGCCACACACAATTTTGACCCTAAAAAAAAGTTAAGGCCATACAAAAAAAAATTATAATAATAATAACAATAATATCAACCACACAAAATCACTATAGATACAGTAGTACAGTACTGCACTTTGTACTCTCCAAAGAAAAATATTTATAATATCACTCAAAATATACCTTAGAGAAAAAAAAAAGATGAATCATTTTATGATTTTGATGTTTGTTATTGGGATGTTTTTTGGGATGAATGTAGTAGCATTTGATATGTTCCCATGTCCGTATAACGAAATAATAATTGAGAACAGTCTTGGTCCCGGTCGCGTTCTCCAGTACCATTGTTTCTCCCGAGACGACAATATAGCCGTCGCAAATTTACAATTCAAAGAGACGAAAAGTATCAAATTCGGGGACAAGATAACTAAAAGGACAATATGGAAGTGTCGTTTGAAACATGGGTTGAACATGCGATATAGTAGTCCAGAATTTATAGCATACAGGATGGGCAGTGTTCGTCGATGTGGTCAGACGCGTTACTACTATGCCAAAACCGATGGAATTTACCTAAACAAGAATCAAAGTCGTCCACCGCCAATATTCAAACATGCATGGAATAAAACTAAATAATGTTTCTGATGCATGACATTTAATGGTATTTTTTCACTAATTACCCGAACGGGCCCCCGAACGCCCAGGGCTAGTCTACACTATCTTGATATAACACATCTTCTCGAATAATCAGATATATAAAGTTGTATACATTACATTATCTAGATATAAATATATTATTTACAATTTACAATAACGAATCTTACGCAAAAGAAACGAAACATGGAAAACATTTTGAAAATTTTCAGTATTATAAACATGTTTTCTTTAATAAAAGTTTCATTTTGAAAAATATATCAAAAGTTCAAAAAACATATTTGTGCCACGCACGTATCTTAAACTGAGTCAATGTTGTCCAAATATTTCGGGCCAATTTGCAATAGACCTATTTTTTTGCGGCATACTAATCTTTGGTGAATTGTCGCATTTTACGGTATCAATGACAAACAGAATACGTACATCTTTGTTCATCGTATTTATGTAGCTGGCTTATATGGTTTTTTGAGGTCACGAGTTGGGTTCTTTATATTAACTTTGTAACCGTCAGGGAGACATTTTGTTCGATGATGGCAATCTATAATAGTGTCCGAAAGTTCATATGTAAATCAAATTTGTGTACACCAAGACTATAATTCCCAAAAGAAATAACATGTCTTTGTCGAGTGGTTTCCCACTAGCATACATAAGACGAATTCCACACAAAAACAAGTAAACTGATTCAACATTAGATAGCAAATATTATACTATATACAACTTCTCTTTGTTAACTATACTTTTACATTGTTTTAAGATAACCTGATTAGAACTAAATCCGGTGGAGAAGAGCCAATAATAAAGAACTAAATCCGGGGGAGAAGAGCGAATAATAACATGCTTCAAATGTGAAGACAAGAAAATAATGCCAAAGGGGACCAAAAAAAAAATTAAACAAGAAAAGTGAATATATATATATATATGATGAAAAGAGTGATGGTTTAAGGCAAAATTGAAATGAAGGAATTGAAATTAACTTATATTGAGTTTCAATCTAATTAAAAAAGAAGAACACAAAAAAAATTAAAGAAAAAAATTCTTACAAATTAAGAAGTAAAGATGGATATCTGATACATTTAAAATTATGAATAACAATCAACAAAATCTTTTAATTTTGCATGCACTAAATGTAACTCGGATGCGACACATTATGCTTCTTCTCAATCAATCCACAAGGATTGTTGCCTATTGGTATCCATGCGGTTTTTGTATCCGGTAGTTACTTAGGTAGCGGCTGCATACGCAGTGGTCGAAGTTGCGACTGTTTTGGTGAAAGTTGCAGTTGCGATTTCGACTTCCTTGGTGAATATTGTTGGTATCCATGTGATTGATATGTTGGTGGCATATATATTGGTACTAAACCGTTGCTTGGTCCAGAATTAGAACCTGGTTGAACAGCCACGTAACTCGAGGTCACCTGAATCTGATCCGATGACGCGTATGACTGAGGCGAGACTGGTACATACATAATATATGGCTGGCGTGGCGTGGATGATGGTGGGATTGTAACTTGTTCTGCAAGAAACCTATACGTGAAACTCACGACACCTTTTTTTCCATAAGGACCAGTCAAAGCGTGAGTCTCTAACTTCATACCGTTAGCATCACCACTACTGGTCAAGGGATAAGGTGGGTTTGAGCTCAATAACTGTTGCATGGGAAGTCTCACAAATCCAATTTCCTTATCACCGAGGAAAGGCCGGTGGCTCATTAGTTCCACAAGGAGCATCAAACGCCCTTCTTGAGCTAACTTCTCATCAATAGAAAACTTAATCATTTGGTTCCACTTTGGGTTTGTATAAGCGGAGAAGGCGACAGGGGTATTGATCCTATCCTTAACTTTTCTGTCCTTAAGTATAGCAACCGAAGCGTATACGTCCATGGACGAGAAGGCGTTGACATCTTCGATGTTCTTGGCGGAGTTGATCACGAGCTCTAGGATCATTTTCGTCGTCGAGGATTGAAACCGAGGGGAAAATACGAGAGGCTGACCTAGTGATGCTGGATCAAGGTTCCGGTAAACGGGTTTACCAATGGATGGGGAATAATCCGGTGAGGGAGGATCAAATTCCTCAACCGGCACAGGTTTAAACCGGTATGAAAGGCTTAATGTTGCTTTGATACTTTCTTCTGTGGCTTTGATAGGGCAAGCCATTGACTTCATCTTGTTGATGTTACCTTTAGCAAACGGTGGGATCGGATTTGAGGCAAGAAGCTCCTGAACCGAGAGGTTGACTTCTCCCAAATAAAGGTCATTATCACCTTGTAGCCAATAGCTAAATAGCTTGACCGTAATAGTCAATAGGCCTTCGTTGGCTTCTCTCTCATTGACGGAGAACTTTACGGTGTGATTCCACGTTGGGTTGGAGCCACCGTCGTAATCAATGGGAGTTTTGGCCGCTTGTTTTTGTTCGGTCGTGCCGCGGTTGATTGAAACGACAGCGTACACGTCCGTTTTGTCCGTGGCATCAGTATGGTTGATGTCACTAGCTGATACAATTTTGAGCTCAAGAGTTGGATTCTCCATGGCTGTTTGCAACTCTGGCGAAGACATTTCCAAGAGAGTATTGTATCGTTTTGTTCTATCTTGGCAAATGTGTAGACTTAGATATTATATACAGTTTATGTGTGGACATTTTCTTAGGTTGCAAAATTATTGAAAAATAACATGGTTGTCATTAGGCGAGTCATCTTTTGTTTATTATATACATCATACTGACCTTTTCATAAATTTGATATGATGATACACGCAAGAAAAAATCTTATCAAATACTTTTATTATTTGGTTCAAATTCTAGTAATTCAACATCATTTGTAATTCTACATCAAATCTTAGAATATAGACTGTAAGATTCAAGTTTAATCTTTTTCTCATTCACCTAAAAACTTTGCTTCTCACGTCAAACCTATCTATACTATTTCAAGTTACATATTTATAATTTGTTAAAATAACATAGATACTCACGGCTAAAAGAAAGAAAAAACAACTAAAATAGCTAAATCAACTTGGTCAAACAGGATTATGTACGGAACAATCAATATATCCGATTTAACGCAAGTCAACGCTTTTTGATAATTCCCTAGTCAATGCATACACGTACTATAGTGACATTGTTTTGTTTTGTAACTTTTGTTGTTCAAAATCGGATTTAGTGTTACTAATTACCAAAAAATTGATGCTATAACACTTACGGTTCATGGTGCTCACGTAATAAACAGTTGATCCATTTTATAAACCGAGAATAGCTTGCATAAATTAAAATATCTATGTACCAAATAGCTAGAGTGAAAGGGCACATAGACAAAAATAAATTGAACAACATTCAAAATATCTAAGCAGGCATATAAGACACCACAGCTTTTTACTGCTACGTAGACAACATGGGCAAGTAGTTTCCATGGAAGAGTTGTCTTATTGCTCTAAGCTAATAATTTATTCTCCTCAAATGCAAATTGCTTCTTATTTACATGTGGTTCCATAGATATAAGTACTTATTTTCGGTTTATTTGAATATCCAGAGAAAATAAATATCCGTAGGCTACACTTTTCCAGAGATTTGTCTGAAACCATTTTATAAACGTGAGATTTATTCTAAGTTATAGAAAAAAAAAAAAAAAAAAGGATAGACAACATATATATTCTTACAATAAAAAAAAAATAAAAAAAAAAAGGCCATGAAGTTCAATCGACAGTGAAGTTCCAATATTGCTAAACATGTGGAATTGACATTGGTACATGTCTATCTTTGAATTGGATACATGTTGTCTATCAAATCCAGTTAATCCAAGACGTGAGAAAAAGAAACATATAGTAACAAAGAGTCAAAGACTATACCAAGTCCGAGTGGTTTCCCACTATCGAACACAACATCAGTCACAACTTGTATGCATTGTAAGACAGGTTCCACATAAATAAAAAGAAAGATTTGTAAAATTATATGTAAATGTATGCAATATATTTTGATAAATTCGGGTTTTAACATATGTTTCTAACACAAAACCAATTGACAAATAAGTAGATTGACCTTAACCCTATATATATTACTTGATATATTTTCCAATAATCGAGGTGAGACTTTATTTCATATCACCCTCTCACGCTCAGCCTACCTGTAACGTGAATATTTGCGGGAACAACATAGGTGACCCAACAATTGGGTGGCTCTAATACCATGACAGATTCAGGCTTTAACATGGTTTTTAACACAAAATCAATTGACAATGAGTAAATTGATCAATAATCCTTGATATATTTTCTAATTACCAATATGAAACTTTACTCCATATCAATATTATATGTAAGATTTGGTATTAATAATATATACAAAACATAATTGAGAATTCCAAGACATAATCTTCATTATATATATTTCATTTTTTTGTTGTAGCTTCAACGGTTTTGATATTATGTATATACGTTCATATATGGTGTATATACCCTAACCATCATTTAAGATGATTTTTGTCTCCAAGTTAGTTTTACTTGAAAAAGCAAATATAAATGAATTTTCCACACATTTTTATCACCAAGTTATCTAATTCTTACTATAAGATACTCTTGAGTCGTGAAGTTGTAATTTTGCAATCGTAAAGCCTATGTTGCAGTCTTCCAGAACTTTCTTGATTCCTATATCCTAGACAATAGACTCGTGACGTTGCGACAACGAAAAGAAAAAATGTTGAATTTGGTAGACAAAGTAATGTGTGAAAAGAAAACATATATTAGTTTACAAAAACGTTATAATTCTTTTTTTTGTCATCTTATATTTTTTTTTCAATTATATACGTGGAAGTATTATTTGTACATTAAAGATGAGAAGATTGAGTTGAGATTCAAGACAGTGTATAAATGATATGGACGAATCCAACACGATCCTTATGATCATACAAGGTTCAAAGGTTTTGTCGGATTCAAGGCACATGACTCTATATAGTTCATCTGATCTAATATTTATTTCGTTTTTTTATTTTTACATTGCATTTATTTACATTTATATCATACTATCAAATACTGATAGTGTGTGTATTTCAAAGTTTTTTACCTTTTTTCTTTTGTTTTTTAATGCCTATTACTTATAAAGTTGAGGACTTGGGAGCGTGTATGTAAATTTGTAATAAGGTACCTTCACGAGTTCATCATATAGAGAGGAGAAGGAAAATTCTTACTTTTATTTTTGGTTTAAATGTTTAGAAGAGGAGAAAAAAATTGTTTAGAGAAAACAGGAAAAACAAAAACAAAAATACAAAGAAAAGAGAACAAATTAAAAGAGTTTGGGCCGTTAGACAAAATTTCTTCCATCCAAAAGCCCATCTTCCAATCCAAGATTTCAATCTCCTTCAGCTGTTGGTTGTTACGGCCAGCTTTCCTATCCATACCTCGTCGGTGACAGCGGTGGTGACGGTGTAGCTGATGTCAAAGCGAGTAGTTCAGACCCTTCCGATGATAGCGGTGCGCAGATGTAAGGATGATTGAATTGCTCAAATGTTATAAAGGAACCATCGCTCGATTCAACTGCAGAAAAGTGTCTCGAATGAGACGGTGGCTCAGGCAGCAAAGGAAACTCAATTGAAAATTCTGGTGAAGCCGAAGGTGGATGCTCAACTTGTGACTGAGTACGAGAAGTTGGTGTTTCTACCAAATTCTGGTTAACAGTCACGAGTAAATCTGATTTAAACCGGTACGAGAAAGTTAAAACTCCTGACTCTTTCCCCGACCGAGTTCTCACCAGATACCTCACCAATTTCATCTCCTCATCGTTACTTTCACCGCTAATTGGCGGTGTGATCGAATTGAAAAGCTCGAGTAACGGAATGCTAACTTTTCCGATTTCTTTATTACCTAGGATCCGGCGAGAAATTAATCTCATGACAAGTGTCAAACTATCATTAAGGAATAACCTCTTGTTGAAAGAAAAGTTGACAGCTTGATTCCAAACTGGGTTGGACCCAGCAGAGCGATCGACGGCGGTTTTCACCTTTTGTTTCTTTCGAGTATTTTCGCCATGAATGCTGATTTTGGCAAAAACGTCCATCTTTGTTAGAAGATTGACATTCAGAAGGTTAGTTGCACAATGAATTTTGAGATCTAGATTTAGATTAGCCATATCTGTAGTGAGAGCTTAATGAGCTCAACAAGTTCAGCTTATAATGTAAAAGAAAACAGTAGATAAAAACTAAATGGAGAAAATTTTATATTAAGATGGAAAGAAAAGATTTAGAAATTACAATACTGGAAAATTAAGATATATAATGCATCTTAATGAAATATTAAAAACTGATAACCCATTTTTGTCCATAAATATACAACTTGATGTAGTATATGAAGTAAGATATATTAGTATTGGAAGTATCCGAAAATGAAATAGGTGGTATGAGGAAATTTTTTATTAGTTTCAAAGAAACATTTTATTAAAAGTATACTCTAATTTTGTTGATTTTATATTATGCAGAATTTTATAAAAAGTAATGCAATCCAACTTAAATGATTTACTGTTCAAAATTTATAAATTGGAAGCTAAATTTAAAGCTACTACAATAGAACTAAAAAAAGATCGAATACCCATGGTATTCATTGGATTTCCTCAGGTTCACCCACAAAACCCAAAACCCATCCAGATTTTTTAAGTTCAAATTCGGGTTTTTTAACTACAATATCCCTACACATATGTGATATGTGTTTTGGTATCTTGTGTGGTTACACTCTTACAAGGAGCAATGATATCGTACACTTGGACCGCTTAGTCATAGGATTAGTCATTTCTCTCTTTCTCTTTAGTCCTTTTGGTAACAAGTTTATAGGTTTGATGTATTGTGGTGATGGTGCTTGGGTCAACTAAGAACCTTGAGATTTGGTTGGGTAATCTTAAAGCTAAGATTTGGTAAGAAAAACTCTTATATAAGAGCCATTTCTTAACAAAACTTAATATATAAAAGCCATCTCTTAAGACCATCAATAATGAGGTGGTAGTTTTGTTTTTCCATTTATATATAGTGCAACATCTAAATAATGTAAGCTGCTAATCTTATACTTCTCCTAGCTCTTGGCCGGTAATATATAATATAGATGTTACGTACATCATATTCCTTGGACGTTGCGTAGATTGTATGATCTCATTAATTTTGATATACCATAAGAGACTTCTAGGAAAATGGTTAATTATATTCTATTGTTCCACTAACTTATAGAAAATTTCATCATCATACCAATAATTTCGATATTCACATGCATATATGGTGCATGGAGCAGTAACGTGCTACGAACTTGAGACGTTGGACATTGTCTCTACATGTGAGAGGATGTTCAAGCGCAAGTATTACCAAGTTTGTGACTTCTTCGTAAAATCCACTTCCATAAAATCCTCAGCTCTGTGAAGTTGTGTAAATTTGCAAGCAATCCATAACGCTCCAGCAAAGTGGATATGGGCTTTATATTTTACATGTTGGTGACCCAGGTGGGTTTGGCTTGTAAATTGTTTTCTTAATTTATAACTCCCTAAACTGTATGTGTATATACTATATAGGCTTTTCAGATCATTTCAAGGTGCAACACAAAAGGTTTTGTTAACTACAATATGTATTTTTCAATTGACTCAAATGAATATGGTCAGTATGAAGTCAACTACTGAACTTAATTCAAAGAGCAAAACGTAGCAAAATTTTGTTTACTCTAAATATTTTATTAATATCAAGCAACATTTTAAAAACACAAATCTTCTTTTTTTTTGTCTGGCAATCTTCCTTTTATAATGAAAGCCCTAAAAAGGGCATATTACAAATACATGATACAAAGTCTTTTGAAAGCCCAATTTTAAAACACAAATACATAAAGATGACACATAAGAGACAAACACAAAATCTTAAAACGTAATATTACTGATGAACAATATTTTTTTGAAAAATACTTGGGTGAACCAATCTTGTTCACCCTCTCTTAATTAGCCAATCAAAATACAACAATATGCCACGTCATTTTTATTCAAAAAAAGTAAATCAAAATTAAAATAATTAAAATAAAGCAAATTATGGAAACAAAAAATCTGTAGGATTTTTATTAAGAAAATATATTTCGGTTTGTGTTTATAAAATAGTGGTTAGAGTTTAGATTTTGTAATAAAACAAAATTATATTTCGGTTTGCGTTGAAAAATTAGTGATTAGGTTTAGATTTTGTAATTAAACGAAATTATATTTTGGTTTGGGTTGACAATATATTGGTTGGAGTTTAGATTTTGTAATTAAACGAAATTATATTTTGGTTTGGATTGACAAAATAGTGGTTAGTGTGTTATAATTAAAACAATACGTGATGTCATATTATAAACATGCAAAAAGTTCATGTTATTAAACCCAAAAAAGTGTTCATGTAAAGTTTGGGTTTTAATTTACGCTCTTTAGTCTCTTATTAAACCCAAAAAAATAAAAAATAGATAAAAAAAAAAAAAAAGAGTAAATTTTTTTAGGATGATTTCTAAACATGCAAAAAGTTCATGTACGAAAGTTGGAAATAAAAATGTAGATGGGAAAAATGCGGTAACCCTTTGTCATGTAAACTCTTGCTTAGTTGAGAAAGAAAAATATCATAAGAACATGATACACACAAATCTCTAGAGTCTAGAGATGGCTATAATTATATCTTGTACGTCCTTCAGGGAGAACATCGGCTAAGGCCTCAAGGCCCTCAACAAGATTATTCCTTTTAATACAACGAGTTCGCCTCTGTTTAATTCTAAGTACCAGATCATTCGGATTGATAAGGAAGCCTTGCTTAACGAGTTTGATTGATTAAGGTGTCTATGCGTTTTTACTTGACAACGTTTGTCATATGGTCGTATCGAGGACATTTGATGTCTTTAATGTATTTAATTGTTATTTTTAAACGTAATTGTAATACTTAGTAGTTGAGTATAAGATAATTTTGAGAAGTATGTGTAATTTTGAGAAGTTTGAAGTAGATGAAAATAAAAATCTGGTATCTAAAAAAGAATGGTAATGATAATTAATGGGTTGCAGTATTTTTCGGATAATTTTTCCTTGTGATTTCAACATATTAGGATGCGTATCTTTATATCTTTCTGTAACATATTTTTATTTTTTTTGGTGACATTCAAGTTACTAAATGGACTTTGGTAAAGACTCTTTTTGGTAAGCAAGTTTTCCCTAAATTCTCTCTCTCTTTTTTTTTTTAATAACTCATGCCACTAAAGATTTTTTTAAAATGAAAAACAAAACAAAATATAGAAGACACATTAACGTTGATGAGTTCTTGTCCATAGGGGAAAGAAATTTTCCAAAGAAAACAAGTAAGGAAAAAAAATTAAAAATCATAACAATTTGCCACATCAGATACAATATCTCCCATCATCATTCCTCCCAAAAGGCCAGCTCCCAATCCAATGCCAAGGCCAATCTCCTTTCGATGTTGATACGGTGGACTTGCGTCTCCATATCCCTGTGACGGCAGCGCATAACCATACGGTCCATATTTTTGGTGGCTTGATGGTGGTGGTGGCGCATATAACGCGTGATTGTTAGCTTGATCGGCTTCCTCTGTCATCACAGCACCGTAAGATATTGGAAGAGGATCGTTGCTCGATTTGGCCACAAAAGGATGTTTTAGAATATACGGCGGCTGAGGCAGCTTAGGAAACTCAATCGGCATTTCTAGTGGAGCTGAAGGTTGACGTGCGATTTGAGGCAGTGGTGGATAAATTGCTGCGTTTACCGGCGGCTCAACAGGAACTACCTGATTAAAAATCGCTAGCGAATCTGGTTTAAACCGGTATAAGAAAGTTAAAGAACCTGACCGTTTACCTGACGAAGTTCTAACTTGATATGTCATCAGTTTCATGCCTTGATTATTACCATCACTATTAATTGAATTTAAAAGTTCAAGTAATGGGACATTAACTCTTCCGATTTCTTTGTTGCCCAGGATTCGACGAGAGATCAGTCTTATGACAAGTGTCAAATGACCGCCAGAGGCTGATTTCTCATCTACATAAAATTTGACCGGATGATTCCAAATTGGATTAGATCCACCAGAGCGATCGACATTGGTTTTTGCCTTCTGATTCTTTCGGATATTTTCGCCATGAATGGTGATGTTGGCGTACACGTCCATCTTTGTTATGAGATTGACATTCACAAGGTTGCTTGCGGAGTTAATTTTAAGCTCTAGTGTTAGATTTGCCATGACTGAAGCGAGAGGGTTAAGATCAACTTTGCAAGTGTAGATTATAATGTAAAAGAAAAACAGTAAGATAAATTAAATATAGTAAATAATATAATATTAAACATTATGTAAATGGAAACAAAAGAATTAGTCATCAAAAACCAGAACTTAATAAATGCAATGCAACTATTAATAGTTGAAAACCCATTTTTTATCAGAGGTATTTAATTGTCTTTATTACATTTAGTAGGAATACCTAGCTATATTAAAAGCATTAGAATATGACTCATGAGACATGGGAGGAAATATTAGTTTCAAGGAACTTTTTTTATCTTAATGTGTCAAAAGAAGAAAATCCTATTTATGAATTAATTGAGTAAATTTAGAAATTTGATACAGCTAGATATTGAAATCAATAATGAAAATTGATGAATTTTAGTTTTTATCTGCTTAAATTTGCTAAAATCAATGAAGGTGATTGGTTGGGCTGTAAAGTATTTTTTATAGCTTTTAAGCCTATTACGACAAATGTCTTATTTAAAACCTACAAATTTTACCTCCTTGATTTTCATGTTTATCATCAATACAATAAAACTAGAAGAAGTTTTTCTCATATGATGCCACCTCATCATTTTGATGTAATATAGAGTTGACACCTAATTAAAATTAACATCCAATAAGATCATTTCAATTAATACAATTCATTGTTTTTAGCCAATTTTTGTATTTTTTGTTCCATGTCATTTTTCCCTTAAAAAGTTTATCTCAACCCATTAATATTGTTTTATTGTTTGTAAAAAGAAGTGGGCTTACTAATTATTCATATATCAATAAAATCTTTGACTTATTATTATTCTTTCACGATGACATTACAATATTGTAGATCATAACAAATTAAAAGAAAATACAAAAAAGGGAAACATAATCATTTCTTCAATTTTACTATTATTTGTTATCATTATCAAGTTGATAAATTACATTTGCAGTATAACATACGGTCAAATAAACTCTTGTTAAATTGAGAAGGAATAATTTTTTGGGGTCAAAGAGAAGGAAAGCTTTTATAAGAAACAAACACACACAAACAATAAAGCACACACAAACCTCACACTAAAAGATTATAAAGTGTCTATCAAATTTCTAGAGACGGCCACAATCATATTTAGTATGACGAATCTGATCACGGCCAAACAATAGTACCAACAAAACTATAAACATTAGTCTCACAACTTTTGATGGCGTTTGCAACGAACGTCCGGTCAAATAAGTTTGCACCGAAAGCCCGAGTAATCTCATCCTACGTTCCTTCACATACTCATCAATACCTTCCTCAATACTTCTCATCGAACAATCTTTTAACAAGTCCCCCTGGTCCGGACCAACTTTCCTAGCTAGACATCTAGCTAGAACGACAGCATCCTCTAGCGCAGCTGAGCCTCCTTGTCCCAAGAAAGGACCCATCACGTGCATCGCATCGCCGGCTACTGTCACAGTCCCGCGTCGAAATTTCCCTAACATGATTTCTGATGGCGCTCGGTACCTTAAGTGCGTTAATGACAATGACTCTACATTGCATATTTTCACCATTTCTTTCCATTCTTGGGACATTTCATCCACCCATTTTAGGCACAGATTCGCGATCGATTCTTGATCTTCGACTTTGTAATGATTGTCTTGCATATGCACCAGAAACCAAAAGACTTGATTCTCGGTTAAAGGAAGCCTTCCGACTAAGATGTTTCCTTTCTTTATCCTTAGTAGCTCTTGTGGGAACCCATGGCCGTTTGGGTAATTAGTAAAGCCTCTAACCGCACGACAAGAAAACGCTTTTCTCGGGCCTAACTGTAGGTAGTCACTAACGACTGAATTAGCACCGTCGCATCCAATCAAGATCTATGAGAAAGAAGCAAAACATTAGACTATATAAAAATGCAAACGACCACAAATGAAGAAACCTTCCGTTTGTGTTTGACATTTACTTTTACAAATGAACATAAAAAATTGTTTAAACTTCGTTTGAAACAAATAAGCTCCTAATTAACTAGACATTAAGCATAAAACTTTATCTTTGCAAAGACCAATCACAAACAAAAGGAAAACAAAGATGAAATTTAATTACCTTGGCTTTGATCGTCTTTCCATTGGATAACTGAACGACCGGAAACGACGTAGTTTGGTCCTCGTTTATAGAAACGATTTGGGAACCAAACCGGATGGTTCCTTGAGGAAGAGCATCGGCTAAGGCCTCAACTAGATCGTTCCTTTTAATACAACGAGCTTCATCTCTGTTTTAATTTCCATGTATATGCAAATAATTTACTACAAATAATTTGTGAAAATATCGAATTAAGAGAATAATTAGAAGTTAGGACATACGCGATGGTTAAGACAAATTCTTGTGTTTTCCCATTTTCAATCAACATGGTTCGTGCCCTGTTCACATATCCAAGAAAGATCAAAGTAAATATAAATTCTAAATCAAAGGTGTCATCAAGACTAATAATAGTAATAATAAAGATTTAATAATTAATTTACTTGTGAATAAGAAGAGAAGTGAGACGAAGACGATGACCGACACCAAGTTGATCAAGAGCTCTCCAACCATTGGTGAGAGTTCCAATTCCAGCTCCTTCTGATCTCACTTGCTCTGCTCTCTCCAACACCACACTCTTTATTCCTTTCCTACATTTTTACATATATAACCAAAACTTAATTTACATATCGAATTTTGTATATTCAATAATGAAAAATATATATTAACAAACCTATGAAGAGCAAGGGAAGTGGCTAGACCAGCTATTCCACCGCCAACGATAAGTATTCCGACTTCTTCCATTTGAGAGATTATATTTTCAGATCTCAAGCTTTGTTTTAAGTTGTGTGAATGTGTATGTATTATAGTTTTTTTTAATACATATATTTATATAGAGAAGAGAAAGAGCCAAGACTTTTAGTTAACGACAATAAATTACTTGGGTGACAATCAATTTACGTGAGCGTTGTGGTGGTGGTGGGTCATTGCGAGTCAAACATGTGCTACGTTTATCTAAGCTTAACACACTTGACCGTTGACGCAAGCCATGACGTGCCAATTTACATTAAACCATCTTTTTGGATAAACAACTAGACAAGTTGTACACATTACATGTACTTGTTGTAATAATTATATTTGACTAATGTACTTGTTGTAATAATTATATTTGACTCATATCCAATTAATATACTTGTCCTTTTTCTCCTGATATATCTTCTACATTATATTATTTTGATATTAGAGTGAATATGCATCAGAAACTAGAACAGAGCATAATACAATGCGAGTTTTCTTTGGACTAGTCCTTTATTGCTTTAATCGATTCATCTTCCACATTCTTAATTAGTAGGTAATTAAAAGATACAATTATTTTAAAAATGGTTTTTATGGAATTAATATCATAGCTCCAATACTATTGAACATAAAATAAAAAATAAAAAAAATACACACAACACATTTGCAAACAGAATCAGACAATCTCTCGCATTCAAATTGGTATGATAAATTTTATAGACGGCCACAATCATATCGAGTGTGACCAATTCGATCACGAAACAGAATCATCAATAAAACTACAAACAAGATCTTCCTTACCGGAGACGAGGCTTCAATCAAACAACCGGTAAGATACGTCTGTGTCGAGAGTCCCACAAGTCTCCCTCTTCTTTCTCTAATATACTCATCAATCGCCTCTTCGAATTGCGTCCTTGAAGCGGAGTAAGAGACATTACTATTCACACTGTTTTGACCTAACTTCCTCCACAAGCATCTAGCCAAGACGACACCGTCCTCGAGCGCAGCTGAAGTTCCTTGTCCTAAGAATGGACCCATCAAGTGCATACTGTCTCCGGCAACTGTCACAGTGCCACGTCGGAATTTACCGGACATAACGTCCCAAGGAGCACGATACCTTAACCGGCTTATATATAAAGAGTCCATATCGCAGTTCTTCACCATCTCTTTCCAATCTTCCGAGAATTCGCCTATCGATGTTAGTGTCAATCTTGTAATGTCTTCTTGTTTTTTTACGAGGTTCGAGTCTAGTTCTGTAACAAATTCATCATATATATACGTCAATGATCATTGAACAACATCATCTATTAAGAAGGCCTAGTGATTGGTTTGGGTAAAGCCATGAGAGCCAATAACAATCTAACAAGTTACAATCTTATTTTTCATTTTCTTTAGTTTTAATTAAGGATTCTAAATTAGAATAATCATATGTGGTACTTATTAGCTAATCAGTAATTGATTTTTCAAAAAAACTTCGAGATTATCTTTCAAATGTTGAAATCCTTTCGTTTAAACTACGTTTAAGGTTAAAACTGAAAACAATAATATTTAATATTTACTTTCATATTCAGTTAGTTATATATTATAAAGTATTTGTAAATTTGTATAGTACTTTTTCTTCATTTAGTTAAATATAAATAAATAGTTTCAGTATATACATTATTGATGTAATCATTTATATTCAAACTCGTATAATATATGTTTTGTAGAAACAATAAAAATGTATATAATATGAGTTGTTGTACCATGAACGTTATATTAGTTATACCTTGGGGACAATTGAGCAAAACAACAAACCAGAAGACGAGTTTGTGAGTTATAGGAAGTCGTCCGCATACGACGTTGTCCATCTTGATTCTTATAAACTCGTTCGGAAACTCATGACCGTCCGGGTAATTTGTGAACCCCCTAACGGCTCGAGCACCAAGGGCTTTAGTCGGGTTCAGTCCTAGAAATCTAGAGACTATAGAATTTGATCCGTCACAGCCAATCAAAACCTAAATTAAAAAAAGAAAGTATATTATCAGATATTAAACCAATTCATGCGAAACATGTTGCTTTCAATAAAACTATTTAAAAACACACAAACTATTTGAATGTACCAAATCACTCGTTATCAATTTATAGATCCGCTCACGTCTTTCAAAAACGTCACTGTCGACTAATCAAATCAACTAGCTAGTCTCAATAATTGATCATATGCATTAAAAAAAAACTACTGTTGCCTTAACGTACCTTGGCTTTAATAGGTTCTCCGTTTTGAACGTGTACAATGGGAAACGACGTTGTTTCGTCGAGCTGAACCGACACAATTTGGCAACCAAGCCGGAGAGTTCCAAGAGGAAGAGCATGAGCCAAAGCTCGGACCAAATCATTCCTTATTACACCTCTTACTTCTCCATACGACGCTAGCCCGACTGATTCCCTTCGTTTGATCCCTTTTTCGAACATAACATCTCTTATCCTGTTTTAGTTCCTCACAAAATATATTATTAGCAATGAATCATATATAAGAAGAACTACTTGAACTATATATAAAACTCTATATAGACGTACTGAGGAATTGGAAGAGAATTGAGACGAAGCTTATCAGCAACACCAAGTTGTTCAAGAGCAAGCCAGCCATTAGTCTGAATACCAAACGCTGCTCCTTGTGATCTTACAGACTCTGATCTCTCCAGCACAACGCTCTTTATACCCTTCCTTTATAATTATGTTGATACACAAATAAATGAGTCTATAGTATAAATATTTGTATAGTACCATAAGAGATATATAATTGAGATTAGGGATGAGAAACTAATGAACCTGTGAAGAGCAAGTGAAGTTGCAAGACCAGCAATGCCACCTCCCACTATCACTATGTCCAATTCTTCCATTCTTATATCTATTGTTACCAAAATGTTATGATCTTCAATTCTTCATCTCACTTTAGTCTCTTACTCTCTCTCTCTCTATATATATATATTATATTATATATATATTATATCTGCTGTGGTAGTGGATGAAGCCACATGGGAGATGGTCATGTGTGCCTAAATATTTATTGTCGTGGTTGCAGTCTGATGGCAACATCTGATGAGCATGTTTAATGGTAACATCTTTAATATATGTCTAAAATAATTAATTATGATGTTTAATGTAAAAATGATTTTAAACACCCACAAATGAGTCATATATTAGACATAATTCTTAATTATAGACCAAATATTTCATTAAATTTAGTTATTATATTCTAGCATGTAGAAGACTCACAAAATCACCATTGTACATGCTCAGACCAGTTGTATTTTATATAGACAAATATCAATCCATATCAAATCTTAAGTGTAAACAGTATTGGTATTTGGCAACTAGGTGAGGAAGCACATTTTTATCCCTTCAAGAGCATCCCCTATCATATGTTTATTCAATGAGTGTCTACAAAATTTGTAATAATTAATTCTTAATATTTTTTATTAGTGAGTTTTTTAAAAAAACACTTATAATTAAATAATATTAAATTTAACTATATAAAAAGTGATAGACACTCTTATAATAAGATGACCATTTTAGAGTTGGTCTAAAAATGTTTTGAAGATGCCACGCTGGAATTATATGGGCCCATTATTTGGGTTTTGGTTTTTATTTGTATGGCTATATCGAATAGTAAAATAGTAATACTTTAAAAAGGAAAGGACTAAACTGTAAATTACAAAACATCATCGGCCGCATTAGGTTTTGGTACTAAATCCCTAAAACCCTAGAAAATACCAAGCCCTCTTACTCTCTCCAAGAAACAGAGAGCTTCTCTTCTTCTTCGTCTCCAAAATTCATAATCAATCTCTCTTCCCCCAAAGATGCGTCCTTTAGACGAGACCGAGACGACCGTCGTCTTCGAGAAGCTCTTCAAATTCGTCGGCAACAACCTCAAGAAGATTGTCGAGAACCCATCAGACGAAGGACCCGAATCAACACCAGGGAGTTACTGCTTCCGCCTCCAGAAGAACAGAGTCTACTACGTCAGCGAAGCGCTCGTGAAGCGAGCCACGAACATCTCCAGGAAGAACCTTGTCTCTCTCGGGACCTGCATCGGCAAGTACACTCACGCCGGTAGTTTCCATCTGACGATTATGTCGCTCAATATATTGGCGGCGAATGCTAAGCACAAGGTATGGCTCAAACCCACTTCGGAAATGTCGTTTCTTTACGGGAACCATGTGTTGAAAGGAGGGCTAGGGAGGATTACTGATAGTATTGTTCCTGGAGATGGAGTTGTTGTGTTCTCCATGTCTGATGTTCCCTTAGGGTTTGGGATTGCGGCCAAGAGTACACAGGATTGTAGGAAATTGGATCCCAATGGTATTGTTGTGCTTCATCAGGCTGATATTGGAGAGTATTTGAGGGATGAAGATGAGCTTTGAGAGTTTAAACTTTGTTGGGGAGGTTTCTTTTATGTTTATGTAAGTGGGTCTTAGCCATTTTAGCTCGATTCTGCTTGTTTTAAGGTTTAAGGTATGTAGCTGTTACAAGTTTTGTTGAACATGGTGGTGCTGGATCTATGAAAGTCTCGATTTTTATGATTCTGTTTTGAGATGTTGTTATGCGACTGTTTGGTTATGTAAACGCTCAGCTCTTACACACATACGCTAATTTTCAAATGTGTAATCTGATGATTAAGATATGTGTTTGAAACTGCTTACTGTTGCTTTGATTTTATTGCCCCCTAAAGCTTGAAACCTTCAACTTAACTAGGCACATTGAACTATCTGTTGGTTTTATACTGCCCAATTTGAAGTACAAATGTTTGTACATTGTATACCATTATGAGTCATTACAAAATTTGTTGGATCAATGAAAGTCTCATTTTTTTCCTCCAACTGAGTATCCCCGAGGCTAAAACTTTACAAATATATGCAAGAATCAAATCTGCAAGCTGATGGTTGATTCAGGTTTGTGTTCGGAAACAGATTGATGCTTTGTATCAGTAGCCCAAAAGCTTCAAAATGCTCACAAGTTTGAAACTTTTCACTAACGAGTTATTACCAGGTCTGCTGAACTACCTATAGGTTGTGCACTACTGCCAAATACTGTGGAGAGCAGATGTTTGATCCAATAATTACGACCTGAAATCTTAGTAAGACGCATTGCATATCTCTTCCGGAAATTTTACTGTGAATAAATACACATGTTGTAGGCACTGAAAAATTCAAACATTACGGTTTTTCATCTGCTAATCTCAAATACGACCTGCAAAGTTTGTTTAAACCTGAAGTTCAATGTCTAGAAACAAGTTTGGTCGAATATATATCTTCTACGGTGATATAAGTTACAAAGCCCGTCTAGCTCAGTTGGTAGAGCGCAAGGCTCTTAACCTTGTGGTCGTGGGTTCGAGCCCCACGGTGGGCGCATTTCTATTTTTTAAACGCAATATCGAATTCTGATTTCAATGTAACCACATCGACCGTATGTGTTTTTCTCCTAATTTTAAGATATCATCACTCTTGGTTGTTATGCAACATAGAAGCTGGAAATGGTACATGTTTGTAAACCTAGACCATACTGTTTGTGAACACAAAGAAAGAACACATACACTTTTATATAATGATACGACATTCAAAGTTAAATATATGGTACCATTTTGTTCCATTCTCTCTTTCTCTCCCTCCTATCTCTCTACCAGAGACTTTTGTCTCTGTCGCCGTTTTACGCCAAAGGCTCTACGCACCACAGACTGAGCAATTTGTTGCGTCTTCAATCCGTGCAATCGAAACCGTGACAAACTGATATCCAGATTATGAGAACAAGTAATAGCAAGATCCCGAGAACCACAAGTTTTATCTTCATGTTCTGATACCACAATTTCCTCCTCACCTGCGTTCCTTGTTTCTTGTACTCCTGCGCCTATAGTGGTTCAAATAAACTTATGTCAAAGTAATGCTTTGTGAGAGAAGATTAGTTATAAGAGGTCAAGTGTGCATTCTACCTGAGAGCGTAGATTCTCGGTCTTGTCAGTAAGAACAGTTAGATTTTCCCCTCTGTCGATTGCCTACAGATTAAAAAATATCCGATAGGTATTAAGCGTAAATGAATAGTGAATTGTTTCTGCTTTAAGGCAACATTCCAACATTGTGTAATGGCTTTTCCTCAGAGACATCATTGTAAAAGGTAAAAGCAAAGAAATGATTGATTGTCTAAGTGTGCAGAAAGACATAAGAGAGAATGCTACAGAAACTATGAGAGTCATCATTAGCAATTAGCATTACCTTGTCAATATTCTCCAACATTATACTTTTAACTTCTGAAACTTGAGCCTTGACTTTTATTAGTTTTTCGATCTCCTCTGCATGATCAACAATATACTTCATGTGTTCCTTCATCACCGGCCTGCAAATTTTTTATATTATTTTTGTCAATGGTTGTATTCAATATATTATCGAACATCTTCCCAAAAGAGTTTTTTAAAACTGAAGTACCCGAACTCCTTGTTCAGACTTTTGGCGATAGCTGTGCTTGCTTTTCCACCCCCATATCTCTTCTTGAAATCAGCTTTCACACGTTCAAGAAATGCAATCGAGATTTGCTTGCTAAGAGAATCTTTCGCCACAACACAATATGCTGAAAGCGCAAAACAATGTGTCAAATTTCAAGGAGCTTATACAAGTGAAATGCACATATACTTTATTTTCGCAAGATATAATATAGCACAGTCAAGGATGAAGGATGCTCAGGAAAAGATCATTTCGAAAGAACTAGTTCTCGTTATAACATTGCTAACAACACAAAGCTTCAATCAGTTTCTATGTCCTGTAAAACTCAAATGACACCCCACATATATAGAACCAAATGATTTGTAACTGTTAAACAGAACAAGAGTAACAGCAAGTAGAATGTACTTGAATAGTAATACTAAAATAACCACTGGCTAAGAACTTGTAAACCTATATATACGTGCTAAACAGGAAGAATCCAATTCAGGGAGCAACCCTATTCAGTCAAATCCTGCCTCATGCATGCCAAAGATGGAATCATTTCATCTCCAAAACCATAACTGGTACCTATAGAAAAACTGATACAATCATCTCCAATCGGCATCACATAAAGATACCTCCAAAAATACGAAATGCAAAGGGCTCACCGTACAGCACAAAAAAAGTTACTACTACCAAAACACTCAAAATAAGTTTGAGATGTTCTGTAACTAAGTGAATGCTTAAAGAGAACAAAGTCCACAGAGATCTATCAAAGCTTAGATATACACTGAACCAAATTTGATAAGACAGCTCGATGTAGACAGCTCAGTAGTATTCCCCAAGTGGAAACCAAACCAAATCAGCAAAAAGGAATCATTTTTATTTCACATCTTACTGAAACCAATTCACAGAACAGTGCTGAATCGCTAAGTAAGACGAACCCAACATACAAAGATCCTTAAAGCCTCACTAAGATTCATAAGATGCATATCAGCTTAGCTAGATCCATACTGGGTTCAAACAAAGGAGCAATTTTTTTTAAAAACGAGACAATGTTTGTTCATTCCCCGAGAGAAGAGAGAGATAGAGAATCACAAACCGTAGCCTTCTTCGACGAGGAAATTGAAGGTATGGTGATCACAGTTGTAAGTGAACTTGCTGTTGCTGGACGAAGGAAGCTTCTGGAGACATTGAGAAGCAATAGACGGGAAATTCCCGGTGAACTCTGTATACTCGGCGAGGATCATTGTGCCTCTGGCGACGAAGCTGTAGATAAACGATTCCTGACCCATTGAGTCGCCACCGAGTTGGCTCAGGCACAGAGAGAGAGAGAGAGAGAAAGAGAGAGTTTCTGATTCTTCTTTACCTTTGGAGCAAAGGAACAAGTATTTTCCCGTGTACTCTCTCACTCGCTAACACCTTTACTCCATTCCTAATTCGTTTTTTCTTTTCTTTTCTTTTGGTATCACTTTTACTCATTTCGTAAAATTAACATTATTTTGTGATACAAAGTGCAAATTAGAGATTGGCCAATCACAATTCTTGTTTAAAGAAGATTTTAAATTAATAGATGATATAATCCATATTATTTTAAGTATATGATGCGTATTTCTGCTTATGTATTTATTTACTTGTTATTCAAAGTTTTCATAACAATTTTTATAAACATAGTTTTGATATCAATGAATTTGTTTAGCTAAAAATTTAACATTCTATTTTTCTCATAAATAATATGGCTTGCTGTAAATATTTGAGAAATCCCATGCCTAACGACCAACCAACAAAAACAAATAAAAGTCGTATCTAGTTAAAAAAAAAAAAAAAAAAAGCCAAGACACATCTTAATATATTTTTACGACCTTCTTAGTTGTAAACATACAATAATATGTTTACATGATACATGATAGTGGTTGGGTCATAAGTGGTAACTATATCTATAGATGATTTATTGTTATTTTCCCTTTTGCATATAATGTTTTCCTTAAGCGAAAAACACATGTAGCTTGTAAAACCACAAAATAGTTGTTTAACAAAAAACAAATAAATGAGTAAAACAATAAAATTTAGCTTGTAAAAGCTATAAGATTGAATAGTGAAGCTGTATTCCAAATACAGAAACGTGATATGATTTAAAACTCTCCTAAATTTAGCTAAAATGGTATTATTTATTTCAGTATCTTAGCTGTACAATATCTTTCTCTTTATATTGTCTTTGAATTTTAAAATTATAATTAATTAATTACCTTTTAAATATCGTAATATAAATTATTTTCTTAAACTAATTATTTTTTTTCTAATGCCACATGAATCTTTTTTAAATACTTCCAATATTTAGATATCTTTCCACATATACTACACCAAATTGTATATTTATGGATAACAATGTGTTCTCAATTTCTATGTTTTTCCTTTTATGTAATTACTAAATCTTTTATTTCTATCTTAATATTGTTTTCCTATGTTTAGTCTATTATACTCTTTTTTTTTTTTTTTTTACATTATAAGATGAACTTGCAGGACTGATGTTAAGCTATCGTTACAGATATGACGAATCTAAATCTAGAGCTCAAAATTAATTGTGCAAGTAATCTTCTGAATGTCAATCTCTTTACAAAGATGGACGTTTTCGCCAAAATCAGCATTCGTGCCAAAAATACTCCAAAAAAACAAAAGGCGAAAACCAGTGTCGATCGTTCTGCTGGATCTAACCCAATTTGGAATCAAACCATCAATTTTTCCGTCAACGAGAGGTTAGTCCATAATGATCATCTGAAACTTGTCATAAAATTAATTTCTCGCCGGGTCCTACGTAACAAGGAGATCGGAAGAGTTGACCTCTCGTTACTGGAGCTTTTCAATTCAATCACGCCGCCAATTAACGGTGACAGTAACAGTGAGAAGATGAATCTGATGCGGTATCAGGTGATAACTCGATCGGGTAAAAAGTCAGGAACTTTGACTTTCTCGTACCGGTTTAAATCAGATTTGATGGTGAACGTGAATCGTCATTCGGTAAACACACCACCGAGTTTTCCTCCTCAACCACAAATTGACCATCGACCTTCAAGTCCAACAGAATTGCCAATTGCATATCCACCTTCGGCTCCACCAGAATTGCCAATTGCGTATCCACCTTCGGCCCCACCAGAATTGCCAATTACGTATCCACCTTCGGCTCCACCAGAACCAATTGCGTATCCACCTTCGGCTCCACCAGAATTTCCAACTATAATTCCTAGGCTGCCTTGGCCACCGTCTCATTCGAGACACTCTTTTGCTGCTGGATCGAGCAATGGTCCTCTTCCTCCTCCAATACTCTCCGACGTAATGACATTGGAGCAATTCAATCATGCTTACAACAACACACTACGATCATTGAGCAGCCGAGGGATACCGCCAGTGATGCTAAACGGTTATGCACCACCGGCACCACCGCCGTCACCAACAAGATATGGATAGATAAGTTCGCCGTAACAACCAGCCGGAGGAGAATAGAACTTTTGGATTGGAAGCTGGGCTTTTGGATGGACTAAATGATTGGGAGAGATTGTGTCTTATGGCCCAAAACTCTTTTGTTTCTTTTTCTTTTGGAATTTCGTTTTTGTTTTCCCTTCTGTTTCTTTCTTTCTCTTCTTCTCAACATATAAACCAAAAAAACAAATAAAAATTCTTTCTCTTCTCTATATCATGAACTCTCATTACAAATTTACATACACGCTCCCCCAAGTCTTCAACTTTAATTGGGTAGCCATTAAAACAAAACACGAAAAATGGGAAAAAAATTAAAATATATGCATAGTGAAAATAAACAAAATTACAGACTAATTTCGAGATATTAAAAAATAAATAAGAGTTAGATCGGATGAACTATATAAAGACCCAAGTCTTGGGAATTACAAGACCCTATCAAATAAAATAAACATTTTTTTTTTAATTTTGGTGTTATTATTTTATTTTATTGTTATTTTCATAATTTTGAAAATTTGAGTGAGTGTGTGTGTTCTGGGCTCGCAACGCAAACGACATCACTACTAATTAGTTTGTTTGTTTGTTTTCACAAACTTTACCAATTTCTCTTCTTTTAGATCTTTCTTCTTCTTCCTCTTTTAAACTCTGTTGTCTCCTTAGTTCTATCGATAATGGCGGACCAATCCTCCGATTCAACATCTCCACCGGCTCCTCTCTCAGTATCTTCTCCTACTGCTCCTGTAATCTCTCGTTTTCTCTCTTATCGTCTTTACGCTTCATGGACGCGTGCGTAGTAGTCGTCTTAGGGCTCGTGGTTTCTGATTTTTTAAATGTTCGTATTGAGAATTTTTTAAGGTTGGGATATAAATATTTATCTAGGGTTTGTGATTGAATTGTGACATTTTTCGGAACCTTAGATCCGTGTTCTGTCTGCAATTTCGAACACATCTTTTTTTTTTTTGTATTTCTTGATCCGAATTTGAAGTGGTATAGAGTAGAAGGTCTCGTTTCTTCCGACTTTTGTCTGGAAACTTCACTTTTGTTATCGTGGATGTTTATGTTTTTGTTCGAATTGAATAATTTCAGATTCTGATTATACATTGTTATCTTGAGTTGCTTTATTTACATTTGGTGGATCTTTGGGGCTATTCTCTGACTCTGTGTATCTTTTTAGATTTGTTAGTCAGATTTTGTTTGAACCATTCTTCCATATGATGGCTTTGTGCTGTGTGCAATTGTTTTGTTCTGATTATGGACGTAAATAACAATAATCTCATTGGTCTTAAGAGTATTGATTGTCTACAAAAATTTTGTTGCCTTTCCTGTATCAACCCTATGTGATTTTGTTTATTAAGTGGTTGAATTGAAAACTGATGTTGATCTTGTTGGTTGTTGCTTCCTGTTGCAGAAGAAAGACAATACCAGTCCTGTTGATTCGAAGCTCACGGTATGTAGCATTGTTGCATTCTATTTTCTGATCTTTGCGGTTTTCTCAAGTTTGAGTTTTGTTTTTCTGTAGGAATTGAACGAATCAAGGGCTGAGTTGCTTAACAGGATCCAGAATCTGAAACAGGTCTTAACACTATATGTTCTCATCTCTGACTTTTTATATCTTGTTTTAGACATCTCTCTACATTTCGTAGAAAATGTAACAGTCTTGTATCTCTCTCTCTCTCACTGTGTTTATCGCCACAGGACTTACAGAGTTGGAGAGGTAAGTTGGATACTCAAGTTAAAGTCTACCGTGAGGTGAGTTCCATTTCTATTCCTCTTACTACATTTTTGTGGTTTTTTGTCTGTCAAGCAAATATATACTCTTTAGTCCCGATCAGTTTAAAGCGATACAAGAGCTCTCGTCTTGAACTGTTTTGACATGCGATCTTCCTTGGTGCTTTACAGGAGCTCTCTGGGCTAAAGCAGACTCTGAATCTTGAAGTTGAGCAGCTCCGTGAGGTATGTATGTGTATTGAGCCAGCATGCACATCGATATCATACCATTGTCTGTTTTCTCGATACATGTTTGATTTTGTTCCATTTCCATAAAAACTAGGAATTCAAAGATTTGAAAACCACCTTGAATCTGCAACAAGATGATGTTACTGCCAGCCTGAAAAGCTTAGGCGTGAGTCTCCCTCATACTCTGTCCTTTCTTATTATGTTCAGTAGATTGAAGATATGTATATCCCGGGGGAAAAGACAGGCTTTTATTTAGGCTTAGAAAAACTAATCTATGTTTCCTCCATGATTCTCTGTTGTGGTGCCTTTGCAGCTACAAGATAACTCCAAAGATTCAAAAGAGCAAATGGATAAGAGAAGTGAGGTGACAGAAGAGAAAGTGGAAGCTCTATCAACTGACGACAACACGAAAGAATCAGAGCATTAGATGATGATCCAGTGAAAATGTTGCTCTTGTGATCTTGTCATTACTACTACTACTACTACTCTTACCACTACTTTGAGATTGTACTAGTACGCTTTAAATATGTAGTTCTGTGGTTTATTTGATTCTAATGAATGATGCACCATCACACAACGGGTTGCAGCGGATAAGTATGCCAATGACTTGATGCCAAATACAGAACCAACTTTAGTACATATCTCAGAATCAAGCTTCTCCAACGTTCTTGACATCAAAGGAGATTGTAAAATTATGCACTTTAACAGTCCCCAAAAATCACAGAATTCCAACAATTTCCTTAAACCAATAAACAAACCGGTTCGGATACAAAACGATTAATATCAAATTTTAATGATATTTACGAAAATTGTCTTATAATTAACAATTCGTTGATGGCAAGTTTAATATGCAAAATCTTTAAGATAGGAGCTATATGCGTAACCGTAGAAACTTTTAAAATTTTGAATTAATGGATCAATCAATGAATCTACCAACCAAGTACATGATACCAATAATTTTACATAAAGTGTTCATTTTCTTAAAAGAATTTTTTTTCTCTTCTTCATTTATTCAAATTCAAAAAAATTCAATTCCTCTAAATTTACATATTTCTCTTTGTTTTTTTTTTTCTATCATAAGTTGGTATCATATGCTTCATGAATATACATTGTAAATTGTAATCTCTTATTAGAATAGTCAATTGAACCAAAACCAAACAGAGACAACACAGTAATCTTTTTCTTTTTGTTTAAACCACAATACTACTGAACCATAAGATAGAGAACGAAATGTGTAACTGAAATACCTAAAATATAGTCATAAATCCAAAATATTAATTATATATATAAGATATAGCCCAATTACCAAAACTACAATTACAAATCCGCAGATATCATAGACAAAAAATAACCAAAAATTTTCAAAGTTTTTAAGCGTATTTGTAAAAATTTAATCAAATTTAGAATATTTTTAGAATAACCATAATATTTTACCGAAATATAGCCGAATTTAAAATTTTAAATACCCAAATTTATCGTAATTCTTTTACTTGAAATTATTCAAAATCAAATGGATATATTGGAAATCAAACCGAGTAAATGAATGTATTAGTCCTAAGTTTAATAAAATGAAAGTCAAAAGACGAAGTTTTATTGGATGACACAAGGCACTTAAAAACGCGTTAACACATCCTCTCTATACTGTCAAGTGGCATGAACCCGTAAATACTCCAAACTCCTAGTGGCAAATTCAACAACTCTTTCTCTTTTTAAACCATTTCTTTCTCTGTCTTCAATAAAACTTTTCAAACCTCTCCCCAAAAAAATCAAAACTCAGAGAGAAAAAAGAAAGAAAGAAACAATGAGAGGACTCTCCACAAAATCCGTTCTAATAATCACCGCAATCCTCGCCGTCCACTTCTTATTACTCACCGCCGTAACCTCCCAATCCGCCGTCGATTTCATGATGCCGATCGAGTCGGGATGCACCGGTTCAATCGCCGAGTGCTCTTTGTCGGTGGAGGAGTTCGAGATGGACTCAGAGATCAGCAGGCGTATATTAGCGACGACCAAGTACATAAGCTACGGTGCGCTGAGGAGGAACACGGTACCATGCTCGAGACGCGGCGCATCTTACTACAATTGCCGACGTGGAGCTCAGGCTAATCCTTACTCTCGTGGTTGTAGTGCCATTACTCGTTGCAGACGATGATTTGCTTTACTTACTCTCTCTTATGTACTTTAAATATTTTCGATTCCTCAAAATTCTTTTGTTTTTAATTTTTATACAATTTTTCTAAGGTTATTATTATTATTATTATTTTTACTTGATATCTTTTTCCATTGCGATATAATTTTTGATATAGTGAACAGAAATATGTACATTTCTGATTAATATATCAATAATTATTCAGTAATGGTTAAGGTGTAGTGAAAAATGATATATATATATATATGGTTCCTTTTTTTGCATGTGCTGAAGAGGAAAAACAGGTGTTCATACGGAATAAATATGATTTATTTTTTTAATACAATTTAAAGTATAGTTGTTGTTTAGTAATTTTAAATGAAGAAAACAATCTGGTGGGAATAAATAAATCAATTTATTAGTTTGATTATTTTTTTGTCTAAATTGTTGAATAATGGAGTAAAATATTTAAATTGTGGAGAACTGTGGAAGTAGGAGAGAGAGAGAGAGAGGCAATAATTGGGGGCAAAAGAAAACTAAAAAGGGGCAGCTTCACATGCAAATACTTTCGGCAGAAACCCACACGTCTCGTATTTATTACGTTTTCTTTCTCAACTCACACAGAACATTTGTGTTTCTGTAGTGTCGATTTAATAAATGTTTTTTTAAAAAAACAACTGCAAACAGCTCCTTTGTCTTGGAGGAGCCACTTGGAGTTGAAGGACGAAGAAGATTTGTCAAAAGAGAAGAAAAACGTTACATGAGAGAAGTCATAACCTAAATTTGCAATCTCCCATAATTGAAGGGAGAGGAGAGGTCTGATTTTGGAGTTTGCAGAGAAATATAATGAAGAGTCAAAAAAACTTAATAACAAAATATCGAAGAGACGACACTTTTATATTTAATGCACTTGTTTATCCAACGGTTCCTGTTTGCTCCTCTGTCCCTCTATAAGGCTTTTGTCACATTTACGTATAAATATACCCTACAAAACTCATACCTCATCATGGACAAAGCATATACACCAACTCATCACCCATTGTTACTCGATCATGATAGGTTTGTTTTCTTTCTTTGAGACCAACCTCACACTTTTAAACAATGAGGAGCCTTATTATTATTATACACAGCTATGAGGCTCGATTCTTTTCCTGATAACTTGAGTTATGCGTTGTAATGACTTCACACACTACTCTCAATACCAAAAATAGAAAGGCATTTTTTCAATAGTTTCATAAGTGCAGAATAATGTAACGCACCAACATCATCATCAATCTATTTGATGTAAACTTAAAACAGCAACAAACTCATTTCTTAAAACACGAAATTTAAAAGTCAAATACTGCTCCTTAACAAATTTCCATAGGTTTTTTTGTTTCTTCTTCTGCAAATGCTGTTATAAGCAAAAAAAAGATCATGACCTGTCAAGCATTTGGTGAACACTACCCCCTCCTTTTTAACTCGGGGTTTTGGGTTCACTTTTGGTGGCTGGAGGTGGAGGCGTGCCTTCTACTCCCATCTCGGCTCTTAGATCGTTGATGCTTTGCTCCAGTTCATTGATTCTACCTCCCATTTCATCAAGTGAACCATCAAAGTCAAGGATTTCAAAACCAATCTCATGCACACAAAACTTGCTGATTATATATAGAGTTCCCACATACTCCAAAATTTTGTATCATTCCATGGTGAAAAAGTTGCTTTTGTTTAGAACATATAGTGAATAGCAGAACAAGTATGTATATAAGAGCGACTTAACAAGATAACATACCATAGAATGATGTAGTACTTATACTATCCTTCGAACATACTCATTTAGACTCTCAAGATTTACTTTAATTAGAAAAGACAGATTCTTTTGATAATTGTTCTTTTCTTGAAGACACTAAGAATCAATTATCACGGACCATCATCACTGCTCTAAGAGGGAAACATTTCTAATATTCTAATGCAAGCAACATTCAAGTAAAACCACAGATTGGTATAAGGATATTCTTTGTGATGATGGAGTCCGACATTGTCTGGAACCTGGTTTGCTGAAACACACAATGAAACCATATTTGATCAGAATCTACCTATTGAAGTTACAATTCCAAGGCCTAAGAAGACAAAAAAAAAGCTGAAACACCTACCATCTGATGGAGAAGGTTTTGGACCTGCATATAAGAATTCAAGGATTCAGTGATAAAACCAAGTGATATTGTCCCAAAATGAGAAACTAACCAAAACAAAGATAAGGTGTAACTCAATTAGAAACGGAAACTCACAAAAGCTGTCATATCAGCAGTGCTCTGCTTAGTATCCTCAGAATCATGTCCATCCTGTCAGCATAAGGAAAAATACAGTGAGAAGGAAGTAAAAGACACAGAAAACACAACTCCACTGGATCTATTGCATGCATCAAGACAGGAAGATGAAGCTTTTATAATAATGAGTATCATTTTGTGGACAAAAACAAACATAAACTATTGCTCATGAAGGATACTTCTATCTGAACTATCTGAGTACCAACATCAACGACAACAAACTCAATACATTTGACATTCCAAACCAAACTTATACGGTTTTACCATCAGATCCTGAACATAAAATTTCTTGCAAGGACTGAAATTCTCAAGTAGAAAATCTACAGATGGAAAAAAAAAAACCGAACAAATGCAAAAGCTTATTGTAAACCGGCAAAAAAGAAACAAGTATAAGCTATAGCTCATGGAGGAAATCTCAATCTGAAATTTCTTAGTACCAATATCAAAAACGAAAAAAGAAACTTCGATACATGAACAATTCTAAGCACGGCTATAAACAAAGGAAAAATAATACTGGATCTTCCATCAGATCATAAACTTCATTCAAGTTTCGCGATACTGAAGTTCTTTCAAAAAACCGAATTCTGAAGTATAAATCGAACAAAAAAAAAAATCCCCAAAATGGTCCAGATTTCGCTATATAAGCTCACAATTTGGACAATCGATCTACAATCACTGAACAAAAATCGAAAAAAAAATCATGCCAGATTCCGATTAAAATCGTTTCAAAACCTAATCGGAAGGTACTATCATCTGAAAACTAGTCTTAAAATGAAATCGGAAAACCAAAATAACGAGAAAATTCGAGAAATGCACACTGATATGAAGAAGGAGACGTACCATTTTTAGGGTTTTTTCTTCAGTCTGATCTTACGATTGGAGAAACTTTTGATTAACAGCGAAAAGCGATGAGACGATGGAGAGTGGAGACGAGCGATGTGTGTGTATCCGGTTTAACCCAGACTTATAGATACGAAATGTCTAAAATGCCCCGCTTCACTTTAGTATCTGTCGTTATGATTTCGATTGCGTGGGATCACTGTATGTCTGTGTATACTATATTCAAATTTCAAATTTATATGGACGTTTGGTATTTTAAATCTAGATCTTTGGATGATTTAAATTTAACCGAATTCAAATCGAAATCGTTGGTCTTAGAGATCTGTCAACTAAAACAAAAACAAAACATGTTAAGAAAATAAGAACAAATGAGATTTTAACACAATTTGGTTCATATAAAACAAGAACAAGTGTGAGATTTTATTTTCCTGAGTTTACGCTTATAATGTAGATTATAATGTAGATCTTGAAGGCGAGTGATCGATCAGTGAAGGATCTCAATGTTGCTTTAGCCTCTCAACATTTGTATTTGACTTTAGTTTCATGTACAGTACAGTATTGGAGTTTCCACAGTATTGTCAATGCAAAAACCCATAATCCAAAAGAGACGAGGAACACATCTGATATGTTACAAATTCTACAGCAAAAGCAATTTAAATGTTAAGTATCTTTTCCACCATGGACAGAAGTGAATACGGACATCAGCATAGGAACCAAACCTATAACAGGCATTGAGCCTCTCATCTTCAGCAAGATCCTCCCTTCTTCCTCTTCGTTGTTTCTACAGCCTCCGGTTCCAATGGAAAGCCCGGTGTGTAAATTGGATGTATCGAGATAGATACCCAACCTTTTTGTTGCTTGGAACCCAAGTCTTCCTCTTCTGGTTCTTACACGATCTATAACAGTTCCTTCTTCCAAACCTCTGTTTGTTTTTCCTTTTTCATGTTGTCTCTCCTCGTCTTCTGGTCCTTGATTCTCTATGAGAAGTGTTTCTTGCTCGAGACATTCTTGACTCTGTTCGTCCCAGATAATTTCAGGGTAAGAATCCAGTAATTGCCTTTTCTTCTCCTCCAAATCATCTTGTGAATGAGAAGTATGCCCTGAGTTAAGCAAAACATTCCACAAGGAACAGAAAAGAGTGAAAGAGCTACGCTGGGAGCCAAAGGCACCAGCCTTTTCTACATCGGTATTCTGCTTTTGCAAAGAACCGGCTTTAGACCTGATCTTAACCGAGCAACATAAGATCAGTAGTTTCAGTCTCCAGTCTGGACAAGTAGATTCACTGCTTTTGTTTGCCGAGAAAGAGCTCATGTTGTTCTCTGCCAGAATAATTTTAGGCATCTTGCTCTGGCCTACACAGCTTAGCTTAGGAACTGCTTGTCTGATTGATTGGTGCATAAGGTAAGACCTCTGAGCAATAAAGTCTTTGTAGCTTAAAGTATCTGGCACATCAGATGCTGCATGAGTTAGAACCACGATAGCATTTTGCCATATTGATGAGCCCAGAGAACTGGTGATGATTCTGAGTAAACCGATATCTGGAGTGTCATCTAAACGGTCAATATAAAGGATGACATCAACTGGGAACTTTCTCATGCTCCTCTTTATCGACATGAGGACTCCCTGGTTAAACTGTTTTTCAGTTGCAGAGGACATGAAACCTGGCGTATCAAGTATCCTTATTCGGAGTCCTCCTACATTCCCAACTACGTAATTTGCAGACTTTGTGGTCACCGCAAATGCACCAACAGCAGATTTAGTCTCCCCAAAGATAGAATTAACTGTTGCACTTTTTCCTACCCCAGTTTTCCCGATAACAAGGACGTTAATGGACAATTCAAGATCAGCTGGAAACTTTTGTTCAGTGATTTTAATCTTTGTTCCGTCCGATATGTAATCAAGCTCTAAGGATGCTTGATGTTCTCCACCATCTAGGCTCAGCTTAGACACAACTTCAGTATCAGATAAATTTTCACTGCAACAACCTGTGTTTCTTATAATCCTCTGGAGCTTTTCTTTCAAGAGCTTGGTTTTCTCAACTCTTTCCTTCACTTTCCCACTTATCAGCTCCACAGAATGATTAGAGGGTAATACTTCAGAATAATCCTGAAAAGTGGATTTAGAGAGTTCCTTTCTTGTATCACCTGATCCTTTGCACTCGTCAAGCTCCATGAAAGTGTTGTTGTGATTCCGTTGAGCCATCTGAGTCTCATTTTCGATGATCTCATAATCAATTACCGGAGAGTTTTCAGGCATGGTTCTCTCAACAATTACCGGAGAGTTTTCAGGCATGGTTCTCTCAACATCAGGCTCAAAATTGACCTGCAAATTAATCTGCTCGCCAATTTCCACAGTCTCATTTGCTGTTCCAGAGGAGCTTCTTAAACTTGATGCTCTATCTTCAGAAAGTGATAACTTCCTAGCAATATCTTCAGATTCGTGATTTTCTTCATTTATAGATTCTTGTTCAGTTTTCCGATCGGAAGAACCACACCCACTTACAACAACATCTACTCCTCCAGCAACATCAAGGTTTCTCGCCATTAAAGAATCCAGAGTTGGAGATACCTGAAAACTTTCAGAACTCAGATCAATTTCAGGTTCGTCCTCGCATTCAGGTTTTTCTAATTCGCTAAGAGCACCGCAATCATTTTCAAAGTATTCTTTTGCCTCCCCTATCATATTTACAGCGTCTAAATCCCCTGAGTCTCTGCTTTCTGATCCAATATACCCCTCACATGGAATCATCAATTCATTTGCTTCACAGGCACTACCAACATAAGTTCTGTTATTGCTGATACTTCCTTGACCCACCTGTTGTTCGACAAGGCTGCTGACAGTTTCATCTAATCCTATATCCTCATGAACAGTGTTTCCTTCACTTTCCACTAGAAACTCATTGCAATCACCTGGCACAGCATCAAGATTACTCTTAAAGGACACCAGCCCATCATCAGAAGATTTCTCTTGCACCATATCTTCCTCTGTGGAAACAAATTCACCTATATTAGAACCTGTGTATTCTGGTTTATCATTCACTCCCATGTTTGCTATATCAACTGCACTATCTTCTACTCTTTCTGCATCATTTGGCTTCACCAATGCATCAAAATTATGTATGTTACCACCACCATTGTCCTTATTGATAGTACTTTGAATCTCACCTTTCTCCATGAGTTGCTTGAAACTTTGACCCAATTCCATACTCGCCTCAGTAGAGTTCCCTTCATTTTCTGCCATAAAATCATTAGAACCTCCTGGTAGAACATCGAGACTCGATTCATCAATATTCCCAAAGGACATCAAACCATCATCTAATTTTTCTGAATAGTTCATTCTCACCGCTTCTTCCTCTGTAGAAACAACATCAGCTATAAAAGAATCAGAACACTCTGGTTCATTAACCACTCCCTCATCTGCAAATTGGAATACCCTATCTCCAATTTCGGCTTCTTCATCACTTGAAGCCTTTGTACCACGCAACAACACAGCCTCTTCATCACCACTACCCAAAATTTCATCAAATTCATCATCATCCAAAGACAAAATAGCCCTGGGAATGACTACTTTTGCTTTCATACTAACTCCATCAGCTTCACTAACTTCATTCTCACTAACCCCCTCAACCTCATCACTATTCTCACTCCTTTCCTCAAGAGATGAGTAATTCACCGATGTTTCCTCATCAGCATCACCTGCAAATGGTCTATAAATCACACTCCCACCTGAAAAATCACTTACATCTCCAATTTCTCCACTTAACTCTTCCCCAAGTATCCTATGAACCCTATCCCCACCCATAATCACATCCTCTAACTCAGTCTCATCATCTGCGTCCCCCGAAACAGACTCATAACCGTCATCTGTCCCAGAATCAATTCCCCTACTAGCTTCACTACTTGCTAAGCTATGTTCTTCGATTACAGAACCAGAATCAACATCATCATCGTCATCTTCATCATCAACTGTAAGAGGTGCACGAATTGGAACAGAACCTGCAGATGAAAACGAACCAGAGAGAGTACGCGTGAGAAGAAACGATTCAGCTCTTGCCGCCTCAACCGCTCGCACCGCAGAAATTGAAACGCGACGTTTCTTCGAATCGACCGTTGCTGCCTCGAGAATGGAAACAATCCCAGGCTTCTCCGACTCCATTAAACCAAAGCATCCAAAAAAATTACACAGAACAAAACAAATGGAAAACGTTAATTCGACAAAAGAGGTCTTTTGTAAGTTTCTATTTGTCGTGACAAGATTTTTAGGGTTTAATTATGATTTATGTGAAGCTTCTGTGGATATGGAAGTGATAGTGTGGAAGACGAACGAGCCACAGAGAGACTGAGAGCGATGCTATACAAAACAGGCGGCTCAAAACAAAATTAAAGATTTCACAATATGATCCACTTTTGGGGTCAATTTTGAAACTGTAAACTTTAAAAAGGAATATACGGAATATTCAAAATATTTGGGATTTATTTGTTATTATTATTTTTATTCAATGTGTGATAAGAAACTCTCCCTGGATGCACCATCGGCGCCGTAGCTATGGCGGTTCTCCGATACGCCGTCTTCTTATCTCCTTCGCCTTTGCTTCCGTCGTACCCTTCCGGAAGAAGAATCTCTTTAAAATTCATACGGTGTTCACAGAGTTCTTCGGTTTCAGTTCCATTCTCGTCGAAGTCATCAAGGAGGAAAAATTACCTGCGACCAAAAATCCTTAGAACCCTAAATCCGAAGCCTCAAGAAACCGTCTTAATCGAAATCAAAACGCCGGAAAATGTTCCACCGAGCGACGAAGTGTCTAATCAGGGAGATGATGTAGAGGAGCTTCAGGCCTTAAGTAGCTCTGTTGTGTCGAACGAGGTAAATGGTGAATTGAATAAGCTATCTCCGAAGTTAGTAGCCAAGTATGGATTGTGGTTGATCGGAATTTTCGCATTTCAAACTGTTTGTGCTGTTTTGTTTCTGGGAGACTCAACAAAATCCAATAACACTCCGGAGATTTCTAGTGATAGTGGTCAAAATGGGGAAAGAGAGAGCAATGTGATTACGCTAGAAGATCTTGAGATGAATGAGAAGATTGCAGAGATCAGAATGATGGCACGTGAAGCACGTAAAAGTGAGGGTAAACAAGAAGAGGATGAAACTGGTGTTGACATTGAGAAAGAGATAGGAGCAAAATTGTCTAACATGGAGAAACGGTTGAATTCACAGAGAAAAGGTTTGGCGGGATTGCGTGTAGAACCGTTGGATGAATCTGGAAATGATGAGAAAAGTTTGCTTTTTGAGAAGAAGTACAAGTTTAAAGCTGAGAAGCCACCAACGAGTAATGTGAAAGGTTTTGGTGGAAGTAAGGAAAACAATGAGTTAATGTCTGAGACTGAGAAGACTGGACAAAATGGGAGTGTTAGTGAATCACGAGACGGTGAGAAGAATACTGGAGAACAACAAAATAAGGCAGGGGATTCAGACTCCAAGATGGTTTCTGGTATGTTTTAGAATAAGTGCATAATACCATAACAACATCTTGTGAAGTAGTGTAGTAGTCTAGTAGTCTAGTACATTGATGAGTTGTGTTAATTTGCAAGAAACAATTGGTGCTGTTATGGATATACCTAATAGATATGGAATTGACTAGCAATGAATATGAGATTTAATGCACTGTGCAGTTATTGATTTTTGACTCGAAATACTGTAGGTATTCTGACATGATCGTTGCAATACATGCGAAGTTGATCTTGTGTAGTATAACTATATGGACCATGCTAACTAGTCATGAAGAGGAAATATCTTGCACAATCCTCAGCTTATCTTAAAATTTTAGGTGCTGCTCAGGAATCTGACCAAAGGCGACCATCAAACGAAATTAAGAAGTCAAAGAAATCTGAAAACCGAATGGGCACAACACCAAATATGGAAGCTGGTTCTGGATTTGGTAGCACTTCGTTGTCGGGGAAACATGGAGACGTCAGGAAAGGTAAACTGATGAGAAGAGGGAGGGAGAAACAATCTGAGAAAGATAATAATATGTGGTGGCTGAAACTTCCCTATGTGATGGTAGGTGATAGCATTGTTCTTGCCGGTTTTATGAATAATATTGGATTTTTGGTTTAACAGCTCTGTTTGCAAGATATAATCACTAACCACAACAAAGAACGAACTGTCACAGTATATTATGAGCCAGCACTTACAGTTTTCTCTTTTCTTCAGAGAATTCTCATGCGGAGTAAGATAGATCAGGACATATCCGAGGGATATTTTACCTTGAGGACCAAATCTATGGAACAAAATGAGGGCCAGGTTTCACACATGATTGCCTTTGAGGATCAAAGTGATGCTAGAAACTTCTCTTATCTGCTTGAATCATTTTTTGAAGACTTGGATGATTTCATTGCCGATATTGCTCCTGTATCAACCAAGGTAGATATCTCATTCTTTTACTAACTTCATTCTTCTTTCCTACTGTCTGTATCTGTGATAATTACTTTGGATATTTTATGTTCCTCAGAACCCTGAATTTCTCTTCATGATCAGAGAATATAAAGTATACTAGATTCTAAGAGCATTGAGATTGTCTTTTTATCTATTCACTGTAGGATCTCTATGACGAAGTGAGTTCTGGTGGTAAGAATGTGATAGTTGTGAGGAAGAGGCAGCTTACGTTGTATGCTGGACAACCATTCGAAGACGTTGAAAGAGCTTTGCAAACTCTGATTCAAGAACAAAGATGAAAAAATAACAACATTTACTTCGGAATGGAAAAATAGATAGTCCAGAGATGATCGATGTGGATGACAGAGGGGCAGTAAGAACATTGCAGCACACCAACATTTTTTTTAAGCTTAATGAGCCAATGAGCCTCTGGTGTACTATGGTAATAACATTGGAATTGAGAGGACAGATCCAATAGGGATAGGAAAAAGTAGAAAGATTGTTATATCATGTAAAAACGTATTTTACATGAATCAAAGAGAACAACAACTTTTAACATTTATTGAGATGAGACAATCTTGATCATGGCTTGTACGTTGAGCCCTGTTACATTCTTTTCACAAAACTTCTGCCAAGCTTCTTGTTTGCTTCCTTCTTCGTCTTCTTCTTCTGCATTCCATGTAAATTTCTGGAAAACCGAGTTGACCATACTCCTCGCTGCTTCCCTTGCCTCCGGCAACTTGTCACTCAACAAATCCGCAGCCATTTGCGCAAGCAGAACCATCCCAAACTCTTCCATTTCATTCAACTCCTGATAACAAACATACAGAGTAAATATCAATCACACAATTCAAGAATCCAACACCTTTTCTCTGACCATTTCAAAGAATTGAAAGAAAAAATACCATTTTAGAAACGCAGTTGGAAGTAGACACAGCAGCTTTGGCCCTGACACGAGGGTTACTGTGACGGACATAAGTCTGGAGTTTACTCAAAAGAGGCAAACGAGCCACCGAGTTAACCATTGTGTTCAGCGCTTTGTCTGCTTCTTCACACACAAACTTCTTGTCTTGTGAAGCTTTCATCAGCAACTGCAACAGCTGTTTAATTTTTTCACCATCAAGATACCAAATGTTAAATCTACTTGTTAACTAACAATCCACATAGCCAAACAAAAGCTAAAACGACAGAAGAAATCAAATTTACCAGATCATCCATTGATTTCAAATGAGGTCCTTCAAGTAACTTTTCCCCATAAGCATTGAAGATATCAGAACAAGTCATAATCGAAGTCTTGCACAATGCACTTCTAGGATTCTTCATTGCCTTCACCATCACAACTATAAGCTTTTCCCTAAACATTCAAATAAAACAGAAACTAAATTCATCACCAAACTCTATACGCTTCAGGTTCTGGTAAATAGAATAATTAAAAGAAACTCACAGTATTGGTAGCAACAGAGAAGAGTGATGAATTGCAAATCTCCTTGTGTTGTTCAGTGACTCGCATACTTTAATCCAATCCTTCGATGCTAATTCTTCTACTAACCTCTTCAATATATTAACAAAAACCACAAGAAAAGACAGATTCAATCTATGATCATCCAAACAATATTACTCCAAATGTAATTAGAATCGATTGAGATTCTGACCTTAACAGATGATTCAGGATCTTGAATTGGTTTGAGATTCTCGGAAGCAACGTATTCAACAGTCGATTCAGGCACAGCAACTGTGTTGTTTTCATCGTTCAGACATATCTCCGGTTGCTTTGAGAGTTTAGCCAACTTCTTAGGTCGTTCCTGTGAGATCGGAAGCGCATTTTCAATGTTCCTCAACGCCATTGATGCAAATTTTTGAGAATTCAAAGAGACAAAGAGAGATTTTTTTTTTTTTGAGATTTTAAAATTGTTCTGAGTGGAAATGGAATAATCAATCTGGTAGGGTTAAGTTAATTTATAAAGACGAATTTTTTTTTAAAAAAGTTTATATTCGAAAATTTAAAAGGAAAAAAAGCTGAAGATAAAGTTAGCCGTTGGGAAGGTTTTTGGCTCCAACGGTCATAAGCATCGGTTCGGTTTAGTGGAATTAGATTCGGTTCTCGAAATTGGTATTTTCCAATTTAGTAATTTCTGAAAACGACGGCGTTTAGATTATCTCTTCACACGCCAGTTTGGTATGTGTGACTGTTCAAGTTAGAAAGAGAGAGAGAGAGCTAATTTCTCCGTCTTCAATGGCTTCTCTTCCTCAATTGAAATTGAATCCCTAGACCAATTGATTTGAGAATTCGAGTCGTTTTTTCATGGACCAAGACTATCGCAACTCTAGAACGTCAGTGTCGCATCATCATCAAATGAGGATGACGGTTCCACCACCACCGTCTCCTCAACCTTCGCCTCCGGTTCTTCCTCATGGTGAAAGTGATCAGAGTACATCGGAGCTTCGTTCTCTCGATTGTAATCTTACTTCTTTGTGCGATCATATTCAATCCGAAGGTTTCGGCTCTGGTGCGTTTTCCGATGTTGTTGTTAAGGCTATGGGATCCAGCTACCATCTCCATCGGCTGATTCTATCTCGCAGCTCTTACTTCAGGTATGTGATTAAAATGGTTACTTCATAATTTCCGATCTACAAATGGACAATCGACAAAATGGTTCAGTGGTGTTATGAGGAGTAGAAGTGGGCATAGGTTTGATTTTGATATTCAGGTTTTGATTATAGTGTATGCAATGTTTGATATAGGACTATGCTCCAAGGTCCATGGAAAGAAGCAAGCTCGCCGGTTGTAAACCTACTTGTGGATGATAAAAATGTTAATGGAGATGCAATTTCCGTTGCTTTGGCTTATCTCTATGGGTATCATCCGAAGCTTGATGATGATAATGCCTTTCGTGTTTTAGCTGCAGCTTCTTTTCTTGATCTCCAGGTATTCTTGAATACTTTTGACTTACATCAATATGACTAGGTTCTTTTGGATCAGTTTATCTAAAAACTAGAGGTTTTTGTCCTACAGGATTTGTGTGCAATATGCACTGATTTTATTATTACTGAGCTGAGGACTTCAAACTTCCTGGCATATCAGGTTTGAGAAATCTCAGTCATGTGTATTTTTCAGCCTCCTTGGTCTCCGTGAATCTTGAGTACACAGAGCTTCTTTCACTTGTGACTCAGGTGTTTGCTGAGAGCCAAGACTATGGCATACATGGAGAACGTGTAAGGAATGCTTGCTGGGGTTATCTCTGTCAAAGTGGTGCTGTGGAACTGAGAGAGGTAATATAATGTCTATGCTTTAGACTTACATAATGATTTTTATGTTGTTAGTGATTGTCTCGTTTCTTTTTGGGAATCTGTCAGAAGCAAAAATATCCCCATTCTAGCAATATCTTGTTCCAGCCATCTCGTTGCTAAATCTTTTTGATGTATCTAGAAAGATTCACCTTCTTCCATACTTCCATCCTAGATGCCATTCTATCTAGAAAGCATCTCATAGGGAATTTGCACAGTAGTCAACCTTGTTTTTCTGACTTGCTATTTATTTAATCACATTTTATTGTCAGATGCTGCCAAAACTCTCTGCGCAGACTCTATGTGCATTGTTGACATCTGATGAATTATGGGTCCCTAGTGAAGAAAAACGGTATGGAGAATTGCATAAACTAGTTGAATTATAGTTCCATACTGTATTTCCGTTTATTGAGTTCCTCAAACCGTTTTTCTTAACATGTCCAAAAGGTTTGAACTTGCACTGTACGCCTTCATTACAAATGGTGCTCTTTCCAACTCAGAACATTCCAATCAAGATTCCAGATTTGAGAGAGAGACAAACTTTCCTCTTGATTCTGCTATGTCGAAGGGAAAAAATATGATGGATGATTTCTCTTTCAGGAGTTTGGACAGTAAGATAGGTCATTTAGATATAGAAGGCGACCTAAGAGATTCTAGTGATGACGTGATTGTTCCACTCACAGAAGGTGTTATTGATTTCCAAAGAGGTGTTTCTGGTTCAAACCTCGTATTTCAGCAATCTGCTAGCTCACAAACAAGTTTTGGTCGTACTTGCACCAGTGTTGTTGATAAGACAGAAAGCAGTGGGGTGGCAATTGAAGGACCTTCTGAAGACGCATACCATTTGGGTAATGATAGTTGGCTATCAGGAGCAGACTCTAGAAATTCTCCTACTTTAGGTTCTTCTTCTGATGGGTTTTTGGTCAATGACTGGGGTAACTGTGGTGTTTCTGCTCTAACCTGGGGTGGACGGGTTGTGGGGACAAGGCAGGGTACCGGCTCTGTTAAAGGAAAATATGGATTTACTGAGGAAGAATATAGTGCATTTGTTAACACTTTTGAAGGTGGTTCACTTCTGTATTGCAATATGTCATTTGAAATACTATTGAACGCAAGAAAAGAACTTGAAGAGCTGGGGTTCCCTTGTAAAGCCGTGAATGATGGCCTCTGGTTGCAGGTTCGTTTTCCTTAACATTGCTTGCATTCTCACTCAGCCGGTCTTCGAAATGTAGGGGCAGTTGATCCGCTTAGCTTTGTACATTTGTTTTAATGTGGTGTAGTGATTTTATATCAAAATGGAGGCATTTATCATGAGCAATTCTACTCTATTGTTACATGTTTGCTTACATAATTACATTAATGTTTTTATGTTTGACTACTATTTAGATGCTTCTCAGTCAAAGGGTGCAAGAAGTTGCTGCCAACACATGCAAAAGGTGCTGCCTTATCAGTGTTGCATGCGCGTGTAAACAGGGATTTGGGGTTTCACATGGTGCAGCCTTTAACAATTATTATTGCCAAGACAATGTGCAGAACAATATGATGGGAGACATGGAAAATGTGTATGTGACGGAATCTTCTCAAGGCGAAGGAATAGGAATCTTTAAGCCTGTCAGGATCAGTGTCAGAGGACAACACATCGATGGACTTGCAGGCATTGGATGCGAAGCTACATTTGTGCCACCACCTGCTTGGCCTCCTACACCTTTCGTGTACTCTCGTGTCCCCATTAACAGAAACGGTCAACAACCTATTGCTAGTGATGGTTCTGAAGGTAGAATTGATCAGAGTGGGGAAATCTCAAAAGACGGCTTGACGGCGCTTGTTGGGCTGAGCCAAGGGACAAGCCGTGTTGGTAATAATCCCCGTGGTGATCAACCCGAGGGAGGGAGTGGCAGTGGAAGTACTGTTGGAATGTCAGAACCAAAGGAACCTTCAGTAGGGACTGAGTGGGAGAACGCAAGTTGTACCATATCACTTGATACAAGGACACCTTTGTGTCACTTTCCTCCCTTTCGTTTTGGGTAAGGTTTCCAGTTTTGTTTACTTGTAACTAACTCGCTTGGTTTATTCAAATTTGCTGTGACTCCTTAATTTATCCTGTTTGGTAAATGGTTCCTCTCGGATGTATCTATTTCAATGTCTGCAGAGTTGAATTTGAGGATGTGCATAGACTCGCTAATGGTCATGTAGAGCATTCTCCTGAATTCTTTTATGCTGGTTCTCTGTGGAAGGTATTACAGACTCACAACTTGGTTGTCAAGCTTTCTCTTGGAGCTGTTTTGGCTTTCTAACTATGAAATTTGGGTTATGATGAGATATTTTAATACCATATCCAGATTAGCATTCAGGCGTTCAATGATGAAGACCCTCAAGGACGTCGAACTATTGGTAACCCGAGTCAACACAATGACAAGATCACATGTTTTTCTCATATTAGCTAGTTTTGTGTGTCATAATACATAACTTGATAATCAATTTCTACAGGATTGTTTCTTCACCGTCGCAAAGCAGAGATACAGGATTCAGCAAGGAAGGTTAGTATTCTATGGTATATTGTTATAATAGAGCTATAAGAACTACTTCAGTAGTCAGTTCTTGTGATTAACAATCTCTCCTGCCTCATTTCAGGTCCATGTTTACATCGATCCTCGTGACAAAGTGACTGCACGTTACCAGGTATGTAGATATTCATGAATGATTCCATTTCTAAGCGGAAAGAAAAAATCTAAGGGTCTTGTTGTTGATTCATCTAGTCTTAGTTTCCTCATAAGCTATACTATTTTCATTGTTCTTGTAGCTTATCTGTCCGTCAAAAAGAGAAGTGATGTTGTTTGGGAGCTTTAAACAAAGAGGAACTCTTCTGCCTAAAGCTCCTAAAGGGTGGGGTTGGCGTACCGCATTGCTCTTCGATGAGCTCTCTGAACTTCTCCAGAACGGTGCTCTGAGAGTCGGTGCCGTGGTTCAGCTCGTTTAGAAGTCTCTTAAACAGTTAAACTCGACAATTGTATGTAAAAACTCGACTACTAAGTCCGCATTTTGGTAGTTAACCCTCTTAATAACTTATAATCTACTCCCTTGGATAGTGGGTATGCTTGTATAAATGAGTCAGAAATTATATAAGGGAAATATCAAGTTTCCGTAATATCAATTTGTTCTTTAGCACTTAGTTAAAGGATACTGTAAAATGATTCTTAAGCTTGTCTAAGATTGGGTCTGTCGTGATGAACTTAAAAAGCTTGTCTAAGAGAGACTCTTGTTGCTTTGCTTCACGCTTTACATCATGAACCGGAACTGCCGGTTTAACCGATCGGTTCATGGTTTAACAGGTAAAATGTGAAAGAACCTTATTAATTATCGAAATCGAAAGAGGGTTTTTGGTTTGCCGGAGAGAAGGTGCTGCCTCGCATTCACAGTCACGGTTTCTTCCCTCTCGTCTTCGTCGCCGTCGGAAAGAATCGTCACAGAAACGTTTAAGCTGAGTATGGGAAGAGATAAAGAGGATGCGGCGGAGAGAGAGATTGATTCTGTTGTTCCATGGATGAGAGCTCCGATTGACGTCAGCAATGTCGAAACCTGTGCTCTCGAAAGCCTCCCTTGTCTTAATCCCAGGTAACAGCTTCGACATGTGTAAGCTTTTTTTTTTTTTTTTCCGTTTAGATTGAAGTATCTCTGTTACAGCTTTTTGAAAATTTCTTAGTTTCTATGCTTTTTAAGCTAGAATATGTATGTTCTGAATTCTCTTATGATCTTGAATCTTTTTATTTGCGATAAGGTTGAAGAAGGCATTGGAGGAAATGGGTATCTCTTCACTATTTCCAGTGCAAGTTTCAGTTTGGCATGAGACAATAGGGCCAGGTGGTTTCGAAAGAGACATCTGTGTTAACTCTCCAACAGGAAGTGGAAAGACTCTCTCTTATGCTTTACCAATTGTGCAGATCCTTGCTTCTCGTCCTGTCAGATGCCTCCGTGCTTTAGTCGTATTGCCCACTCGTGATTTAGCCTTGCAGGTAGGTTCCCCGCTTAAAGTCCCCCCTACTTATGCAACAACTCAATGGTTTTACTGAAGTCTTCCGTTTTTGTTATTTTGTAAGTTTAGGTTAAGGATGTGTTTGATGCTATAGCTCCAGCTGTGGGATTATCTGTTGGTTCAGCTGTGGGTCAATCTTCTATAGCTGGTGAAATCTCACAGCTCATCAAGACACCTGAACTTGATGCGGGGATTTGCTATGATCCTGACGATCTTTCCCAAAACCTCGAGAGTGCTGTCGACATATTAGTAGCAACACCAGGAAGACTGATGGATCATATCAACAACACCAAGGGATTTACGCTTGAGCATTTGCGTTACCTTGTATGAAGAAATTCCAGATTTCACTTCTTAGTTCAACTCGGTCTTAGTTTCCAAATTTTTTGATGAAGCAAATTGTTTCAGGTTGTTGATGAAACCGACAGATTACTAAGGGAGGCTTATCAATCCTGGCTACCGACTGTTCTGCAACTGACTCAGTCCTCTGATGATGGCATATTTCCTACAGCGTTTATTCCTTCCGCTTTTGGTGCTCTGCGGACTGTTCGTAGACAGTGAGTTCCATCTCTCGAGCATATTTCCTTTCTTATACTATATTAGTGTCACATAATAACGTCAGCAGGTTAAAGACTGCAGTCAAAACTGATGAAAAGTAACTAATGTGTTCGTTACTTCAAATCCACAGAAGTGTAGAGAGGGGTTTCAAGGGTAAACCATACCCAAGGCTGGTGAAGATGGTATTATCAGCTACATTGACGCAGGATCCAAGCAAGCTAATTCAGCTTGACCTGCATCACCCATTATTCATGACAACTGGAGGAAGCCGATACAGACTACCCGAGAAGTTGGAATGCCTTAGACTGGTATGTTTATCTATTAATGTGTTGTTTTTCTTCAAACTTGTGCTTGGACACAACATTTATCTGCAAAATATCTTATCTCCTGAATTTACATCACATGTCATTGACAGATTTGCGAGGCCGGGATGAAGCCTGTATATTTAGTTGCTCTCCTAAAATCATGGGAAGGTGAAAAGTGTATCATTTTCACATCCTCCGTAGAGACAACTCGTCGTCTATGCAAGTTACTCAACTTTTTCGGTGATGCAAAAATAAAAGCAAAAGAGTATTCCGGTGGTCTTAACCAATCAGTCCGAAGGTCAGATTTGAATATTGCATTACTTAGTAGCACCGTATACTATCTGTAGCACTCATAAATAAAGAAATCTGCTCATTTATTGAACAAATTTTGCCTGCAGCAAAGAATTAAAGGCCTTTAGAAAAGGTGATATCCAAGTTCTTGTTGCATCTGATGCGTTAACACGTGGAATGGATGTTAAAGGGGTAACAAATGTCATAAATTATGATATGCCTCCATTTGCAAAGACTTTCATACATCGTGCTGGACGGACAGCTAGAGCAGGTCAGGCTGGCCGGTGCTTCACATTGCTGAGTAATCATGAGGTAAACTGAAACTATATTCTGCACAAACGCACCTACATTATTTCTCTATCACTTATGTGCAACACAAGCTAGAGGTGCGTCAGATAATAGATACTAGATGACGAGGTGTCTCTCAAACAGGGGAAGAAAATACAACATAATCATCTTGTGCTCATCTCACTGAATCATTTATCGCTTAAAATAGTTGTATAGGACAATTAGTTGGAACTCTCTTATCTAATTCTAATTTTCTGTTACTTTGGCCATGCTTGAGCTTTTGACTTTAGCTCCATTTGTTAATGTGGATATTTAAAAATGTCAGGTAAGGCGTTTTTCGAAGCTCCTGAAGAAAGTTGGGAGTGATTCATGTCCTATCTACCCAATCCCGCCCACTTCATTAGGTTCCATTCGTGCGACTTACACACCCGGTAACTTCCTAGCCTTGTGCATATAGCTCTTGGAAACACTCTACGGAAAGACAAAAAAAAATAGGGGACTTATTTGTAATTGAGAATCTGCACGGCGGCTTAGATGTTAAATCTCCTTAATGACCGTAAATTTAGATAGAGAGCATTACTTTTCCAACATTATTGATGTAGATTTAGATATTTATGGTGCATAGGAAACATTATGAGGCCATTGTATCTGTAAATTGTATATTTGGCAATGATGAAGTAAATTTCTCATTTCAGCACTAGAGAAGCTCAAGGAGTTGGTTGAGTCAGAAGCACCTAAGAAAGGAAGACAAGCTTTCAGGCACAATTCAAGAACCGGGAACTCCCAAACCAAAGTCAACAAAACGACAACGGAAACATAGGTGTGACGTGTGTGTTTTGGTCAAGTACTCGAACGGGTCGTGTGGGTTCCCGTAGTATTTGGATACGAGGTTGTATTAATTCTTGAAAACTGATTTTTTCTATTAATTATTTTAATTTTATAATTCAAATTGCGCTTCGTATAATTAATATCGCAGATGATTGTTAAATCAATTAAACAGAATTTTGATCACTGGTAAAGCATAAGACATGTAATATTTGAGTTTATCTTCCTTTTAAGTATAATATATTCCTCTTTTTAAGTATACTTTTTAAGTATATCTTCCATACGACTATCTAAGTATATTTTCTTTTTAAGTATATCTTCCTCTTGATATACGATTATTTCCTTTTTATTTGAGGAATTGGATATAAACGGGATATATAATAAGTAAATACTGTAGCTAATGTAACAGTTGACCTTAAAAAAAAGAAGCTAATATTCTGTAAACTATTAATACTCTCCGTCTACTTCATCTGTTCTTCAGAAAATTCCTGTCAGGAGAATGGAAATCAATTCAGTTGTTGAACAACCAATGAAAGGAAGAAGTGCGATTCAGGGATTGAAACCATGGCACAATAAAAGGACGAAGAAGAAGAAGAAGAAGAAGGACGTTTGTGGGTTAGAGTGGTTGCCAGATGCCGTGGTTGTGAGCTTCCTGGCTCAGGTGTCGAGATTGGACCTCGCGGCTTTGGCTATCGCCTCCAAGAGTCACAGGTCTCTGGTGGTTTCCTCTGAGCTCCAGGACTTGAGATGGCAGATGAGTTGCGCGGAGCAATATCTCTACGTATGCTTGCGCATCTTTCCAGAACCAAGCGCACGCTGGTTCATCTTCCAACCCATGCAACGTACGCTGAAACCACTCCCTATGGACTTGGATCATCATGGTCCGAAACCAGCCTCCTCTTTCGTGCGGGTGTGTCATTCGATTTATGTTATTGGTGGACTCGTAGACGGCAACCCCACTTCGGAAGTCTCGTTTTTCAATTGTTTCCAGCACAAATGGTACCTTGCGCCGCCAATGAAGATGGCTCGTGCTTGCCCATCTGTAAGCATGATGATGACAGACTCAGGCTGCAAGATATATGTGTTTGGAGGGTGCGGGGTTGATTTCGCTGATTCCTCAACCTGGGCAGAGGTGTTTGATGTCTCCACCCAAACATGGGATTTCTTGCCTGTCGCTACGCCCCAGATGCCCCTTAGTATCCGACATAGTGTGGTGATGGTAGAAGAGGAGGAGGTTTATGTAGTGGATGAGTATGGTTATAACTTCTCCTTCTCACCAAGTAAATGTATGTTTGTGGCAAGGGGCAAAATAGATTCCATGCCAGGTTTCATTTACAGAAACGATTGGTGTGTCATTGGGACATTCTTATTCTGCCGTGGCACCCGCGGGAGAATACTTTGGTGTTTGCCCTATGACTTGCGTTGGAAGGAAGTGAAGGGTTTGAAAGATCTGAAAAAGTGGGGATCTGATATCACCAAACTCTGCATCAGCCCTGCTGGGAAGCTTGTTATCTTCTGGAAACCGCATCCCCCGAGCATGGAGCTTCACTCTACCGAGATCTCTGTTTCCTGTGTGAAACGAAAAAGAAATAGACAAGAGATTTGGGGGAAGATTGAGTGGTCTGGTGCTGTTTTCAAACACGAACCTGTCACAGACTCATCATATAGCTTTGATGTCTTATATGCAAATTATGTCTATACCTGAAATTCTCTCATCCTTTTAATAAGTGTTCATAAACTATATATATATATATTCATTTAGATTTTTACTCTCTTAAGTGTGCTAGTAATGAAATAATGTTATTCGAGCAATAATTAATCATTCCTAAACATGCTCGAGCTTTTGACTTTAGCTTCATTTGTTAATATCGATATTTAAAAATGTCAGGTAAGGCGTTTTTCGAAGAAACACTCTACGCATAGACAAAAAAAAAAAAAACAGGGGACTTATTTGTAATTGAGAATCTGCACGGCGGCTTCGATGTTATATCTCCTTAAGAGCATCATTAAAGGTATAGATGTATCTTAGAGATTTTATAGTGTATTAATATTGTAAAAAAGTAAATTAAGATGTTCAAATATATAGGTTATTATTGGTTGAACTTCAAGGTTCTTAAATTGTTAAAAAAAAAAAAAACAGATTCAAACCATTTCTTCTTCTTCTATAACAAACAAATTTCATCTCCACAAATCCAAATCCGATCTCTTCATCACAAAATCAATCAACAAGAGCTATCTCTCCGTCAAAACGCCTCAGCCGTTGATTCATCAATCCGCCGTCTCCACTCTACTCTCGTCGTCGACAAAAATCTCGATCCTAAACTCGTCAAGAAGGCATTTTGTTTTTTTATCAAATCTTTTCCTTTTGATTTTGGATTCTCGATTATTGAAATTGGAATTGTGATTTTGTAGCTTGAAGAAGATCTGCATAGATGTTGATGAAGAGATATTGGTTCGTCGTTCTCTGTCGCGAGTCTAGGGGAAGAGGAGAAACTATTGAAAGAGAATAAGACAAATAATATTTTTTTTACTCAACAATTACCAACCAATAACTCTTTGCCACGTATGCTTATGAACCGGTTATTAAACTCCTTCGAAAACATCTTGAGATAAAACCGAATGTTTCTTAACATTTCACTACTTTAATATTTTGGGCTTTGTTTATTCACATAAGACCCTTGAGGATATGCCCATAAAGATGCCCTAATGACCGTAAATTTAGATATAAAGCATTACTTTTCCAACATTATTGATGTAGATTTAGATATTTATGGAACTCTGTGAGTGCATAGGAAACATTTTGAGACCATTGGATCTGTAAATTGTATATTTGGCAATGATGAAGTAAATTTCTCATTTCAGCACTAGAGAAGCTCAAGGAGTTGGTTGAGTCAGAAGCACCCAAGAAAGGAAGACAAGCTTTTAGGCACAATTCAAGAACCGGAAACTCCCAAACCAAAGTCAACAAAACGACATCAGAAGCATAGGTAGGTGTGTGTTTTGGTCAAGTACTCAAAAGGGTCATGTCGGATCCCATAGTATTTTGATACGAGGTTGTATTATTTTCTTGAAAACTAATTGTTGCTATTAATTATTTTAATTTTATTATTCCAATTGCGCTTCGTATAATTATATCACGTTTGTACGATTCAATTATGGTTGACAACAACATCTCTTAGAAGATTTGGGAGTATGAGAAACACATTCTCCATAAATGTGAATCTAAACAGTCAGTTAACATTGAAACCATACATAGCATATTAGATTATTTTTTTCCACCACCGCCTCAACACCTGCACAACAAACCCACATAACTAATATATATATATATTAACATCTACAACAACATTAGACATATGGTAATCACAAATTCTACATGACTGATTTACCTATTTCTTTTCGAATAATCAAATACTATACTAATCTCAATTAATAAATCAAAATTTAAACAGTTCTGAAGCAAAAACGTTGCTATCAAATCATGGATCATATCAAATCAATACACATCTAGCTGAAATAATGGAGGCACATATTAAGGACTCAATCGCCTAAAATGTTACTAGTTAAAAATAAAATAGACAACAAAATAATTATATAAATAAGATTTTATATGAAAATATTAAGTTTTATTAAAAGTCCAATCTTTATTAAAAGAAATATACATTTTGTAATAAACCATATAAAGGGTATTAAATTACATTATAATACCAGTACAAATATATGTTTTAAAGAACAAATTTATAATAGTCACTATGAATAAAAATGTCAAAAAACTAATTTATAAAATTTAATTAAATTATAAAAAACGAAAATACCTTTTGATTTAAAAATAAAGAACAACCAATCAAAATAACCATATAAGTTTGATATATAAGTTATCATATTAAATTTTTATACAATCATTATAATTCACATCTCATCTTTATATAATTTAGATTTGTTTGAAACAAATTAATCATCCTATCATCCATATAATAATAAAAAATTAATACAAATTAATATGGTAAACTAGATATCAAATCTTATATGTATGTTCAAATCTGGTTCAATTGGTAAAGTCATGATTGGAAAGTGGGAGGAAAATAAGAGATATTGTAAAGGATTGGGTTTGGGCACTTGTAGCAATAGAATGCTAGAACCTATCTCAGTAACCGTACTTCCACGAAAGACATATTTAGGCTATACTCTTCGGTTCATTAAGATAGATTAAGATTTAAGAAAAAAAAAATGATTAGAAGTGTTTTTTTATAGTTTACACATAGGAGGCGGCGATGAGTATATACAAGAACAATGATTAGCAGTTTAAAGAGAAAAATGATAAGAGCATCCACATCGGTGGTGGTGTCTCAATTTTTTTTTTCAAAATTATATATCTTATTTTTATTATTATGTTATTATTTAATTAAATTAATTGACTAAAACTAATCAAATTAAAAAATTTTTAGGCATTTTGCTTTATTTGTATTTTCAAGTGTTAGCTTAAAGACACCTTCGTCATTTTCTCTCTTTTTATTTTATTTTTTAATTACAATATTCTAAAGACCCCTTAAGAAAATGACCAATGAAGATAGTCCAAAGGACAAAATATGCATGCGGAAGCCATTCGATCCCAAGTTGGGTTACTCTATTACAACCCTAACGTTTCAAAGGAAAAATTAAACTCTCAAAGGACAAGAGCATAGAATAGAATGTCTCAATGGAGGATTTTGAGTATATTAAGAACAAATAAAGTTATTGCAAGAATAAAAAGAAGAAAATGAGCAGAAGTTGGAAAAAAGAGCTTGAGAAGAAAGCTCGCAGAAGCATCAAAACAAGAAACGGTATTGTATTGTTGGTAATAAATCTATTTCCACATTTGAATATCTAACCTTACGTTAATTTTGTTGTTTCACATAATAAAGCAAACAACATATCCGAAGAGAAAGAGCAGCAAGCGATACCGGCCCAAAAAGCAAAAAGCGAAACCGGCCCAAAAAGAAAAGGCTGAGAACCTCTACAACAAGGAAAAGGCAGCAACGAAAAGAATCATAAAGTCGTGTGAAGATGGCCAAGCAAATACGATATCAAATATGGGAAGGTTTTGAGCAAATCCCAAGAAGATGATTTTGTGAATGGCAACACTTCGGTGTTGACTGTTGAGTTGGGATATGCCTTTGTTACAAAACAATATATATGTTTCTGTTGCTGTACCAATTTTCCAACTACATCGTTGACCTGTATGATAGCTCACTGCTCTAGCCCTTTTGTTTTCATTAGTGTCTTTATAAGGATTTCTTCTGGATTTATGGTTTTCTTTGTACTTATTAGCCATGCACAGTGTTCAAAAAATCGCTCTAGGCGCCGCCTAGGCGGAGGACTAGGCGCTCATATTAACCCAGCCGAAACGATTTTCTCATAATCGGCAAAAACAAATCGGACATCTGGTACAGGCGGTCTATTTCGGTCAAAATCGGTCTAGGCGCCCTAATTTCTGGTTTAACACTTGGTTTATTTTAATTATTTCCCTGGTAAATATATGAATACGACCACGTTTAAGTTTAAATAAAAAAGCTATAACACAAAAGAAAATATTTTCACGAATCACACAATTATGTTTGGTCTTGCACTCTTGCTTCTCTATGTTTCTTCTAAACGGCGGCGACACTAATACCTAATACTAAGACATAGTCAACTCCCCTTATCTCTCACAGTTATGATCCTTCCCGACCTTTGTTCTTAATTTATGTTTTAATCAATTATGACTATACTTATATATTTAATCAAGTTTCAACTTCTTTCATTTTTTCCAGATTTAGAATAAGATGTTTTTAGGTTTCTTTCATTTTTTTCTACCTTCAAAATTATTTATAAATAAACCTACGAGAGTTGGGGAGAAGGCATTTCACCATCAAAACAAGATTTTTGAGTATGTCACATAATTATATATTTTAAAAATGCTAAAATATATAAATAATTTATCAACGCCTAGTCCCCGCCTAGTCCCCGACTAATCCGCTTAGGCGCTAGGCCCTATGTAGCGTCTAGCTACCGCCTAGCGATTTTTTGAACATTGGCCATGCATGAAGCGAACAATTCATGTTTTTTCTTTGGTTAAGTTTGAATATTTTGAGTGTTATCTTTCTTATTGTCTAAATCCAGTTCAGTATGTTTTTGGTTCGGTTAATTCGACCAGTAGCACTCTTACAAAAGCTCTATCATATTTATTTATTTTCCTAACAGCAGTTTTATTTTCTTCAAGACAAAAAAATAATAATTTATTTTTTGGGAAAAACCCAAATTTAATAGTAAAGAGAAAAATCAATTCAGTCACCTCTGAGCCTTTTTTCCCTTTCTTCTACAGAACAGAACCCTAATTTCATGATTTAGGTTTCGATATCTCTCAATCTCTCATCTCTTATGGTTCTCATTTCATTGATCTCCAAATTTTTAGGGTTTAGTGATTTACTCAATCTCTTTCACTAATGGGTGCCGTAGTGATCAATCGTAAGCGAAGCGAAGAACCCTTCAATCTCAATCAACAATCAACCAACCCTTTACGAAATTCTCCTTATTTCCAAGCTTCTAAGAAACGTAGATTCTCATTCGGTGGTATGTCTGAAGATTCAGGTAAACCAGCAGCTTCGTCTTCAAACCCAACAGTTTCGAGGATTTCAAGGTACCCTGATGCTAAAGCTCCTCTTAGACGAGAGGTTCATGCTCCTAGCAGAGGTGTTCTTAGATACGGCAAAGCGAAATCTAATGATTACTGCGAAAAGGATGGAATTTTCTATGCTCGTAATTATGATGATGCAAAGAGAACAGCTTTGGAGGCTTTGAGATTTGTTAAGAATAATAAAGAGTTTGTTGATTTGAGTGATGATGGTGAGAAGGAAGCTGTTTCTGAAGATTCGAGTGTTGAAGAAATCGAAGTTGTTGATTGTGATGATGAGGAAGAGAAATTTGTAGAGGTGAAGAAGAAGAAGGCTGAAGATCCTTCTTCATCTTCTTATGGTGTTACGGATGTTATGAAAGGGAGCAACTTTAGAGTTGAGGATACTAGTACCATGCTGGATTCGTTGTCGTTAAGTAGAGATGTGAATGATGATGCTTCGAGTCTTGAAGCTTATAGAAAGCTTATGCAAAGTGCGGAGAGGAGGAATTCAAAGTTGAAAGCTTTGGGGTTTGAGATTCTGTTGAATGAGAAGAAGTTGTCTCAGTTGCGTCAGTTTCGCCCAAAGCCTGTGGAAAAACTTGTTGAGGTGATGCGATTTATATTAATCTTTCTCGAATTGGATAATAATCAATGCCATTGGATGTAATCAATGTCACTACTTTATTTGGATTGATTTTCTAAAGTGCATATGATGTTATTGCGTACTGTTTTGTAGTGTAGACTGAAAATAGTACAATGCTTGTTGGTTGTATTGGTCATTTAGCTGCAATTATTGCTTATGCCCACACAGCCAAAGTTCTTTAACTTATGACTGAGCCGAATCACTATCGTTAAATTATATATTCATTGTTGGTTTGGCTGCTGGTCTAGCTATATTGCAATCTTTGCTTTGAGATACATAGTGAGTTATCTGTCGTTGGAACACCTTATTAAGAAGATTATTCATGTTTTTGCTGTTGTTAACATTGCTGTTGTTTGTTTGATGTGTTATTGATCTAAAGGTGCCTCGTGAACCATTTATACCTCTCACAGAGGAGGAAGAGGCTGAAGTCTACCGTGCCTTTTCTGGAAGAAATAGGTATGGTTTCTTAAGAGGTAGAAATAGCGTGTTGGGTGATTTTTTTGTGTGTAACCAATATCAAATGTGTCCCTTTTTCAGAAGGAAGGTCTTGGCTACTCATGAGAACTCAAACATTGATATTAGTGGAGAAGTTCTACAATGCCTTACACCATCATCATGGCTCAACGATGAGGTATTATTTGGTTCTCATAATATCGTGCACAATTATGAGCTCTTAATATTTTCTTATGCTGTGTTCATGTTCTGTTTTGTAGGTTATCAATGTCTACCTTGAACTGCTCAAAGAAAGAGAAACGAGAGAGCCCAAAAAGTATTTAAAATGTCATTTCTTTAACACCTTTTTCTACAAAAAGGTATGTTCTCTTTTCTGTTCTCAGATGATTTTTTTAGAAAATGTTGATCTGTTTAGCCGCATGTCAGTTAGTTTGTGTAGCTGCTTTTTGCTTCCATAAAAAATGATGAGCACTATGTTAAAGAGATCTTATATGTAAGATCATCAATAGATTTTTGCTCGTTTCTCCCCCATGGTACTCAGCTGTCTCTGGCTTCTTTATCCCATAAATGGCAGTGAGTAACCAAGACAAGCTGTGGCCTTTTATATGTTGATGATTTTCCTGGCACTTACGTTTTTCTTTCTCTAAATGCTTTTTTCAGCTGGTAAGCGATTCTGGTTATAATTATAAAGCTGTCAGGAGATGGACTACCCAGAGGAAGTTGGGATATGCTCTTATTGACTGTGACATGGTACTTTTCGAAGAACCTGAATATTAAAAGTTTCTTTTGTTTAGTTATGTTTAAATTAGTCTTCCCTCTGCAGATATTTGTTCCCGTCCACAGGGGTGTACATTGGACCTTGGCAGTAATTAACAACAGGGATAGCAAACTCTTGTATCTTGATTCACTGAATGGAGTTGATCCTATGATTTTGAATGCTCTGGTATATTTTAAGTCCAACTTTTTTTCTCTTTATATTGTCTATTAATAAATGACATTTGGATGCTTTAGAAGATATTTGATGCTGGTCTATCTCCATCATTGTTTCTTGATTCTAAAATCTATCTAGACATTTTGGATATGCCAGAAGCTGTCATTGCTTTTTTCTTAGTCGGACACCACTGTGAAAATGTTCTAACCATATATACTAGTCATTATAGCTAATGCCACATCTGATATTGTGCTTCAGGCAAAATACATGAACGACGAAGCAAAAGAAAAAAGTGGAAAAAACATTGATGTTAATTCTTGGGACATGGAATTCGTTGAAGACCTTCCCCAACAAAAGAATGGGTACGGACTGAGCACATTTGTTATACAAGTTTCTTCTATGAATTTAGTCATAAAAAGTGAAAGTTACAGCCACATTAAGATAGTGGGATCATTTGAACCATATGTGCTTATGCTCTTTAGCTCGCTGCTAACTCTCATCTTGTCTCTTTGTTGCAATTTTTATATTCTCAGGTATGACTGTGGAATGTTTATGCTTAAATACATCGACTTTTTCAGCAGAGGCTTTGGGTTATGTTTCAGCCAGGTAAGCGATAAGAATCCAAACACGTAACTGTTTCATGAAACTGTGTTGTTAGTTAACTGGTGTCTTGAATCAATATAAAATTAGTATATCGCCAAAGCAGTTTATATCCTTGGCATGTTCTAGGAATTGATATAAAAAACATTGTATTACATTGGTGCAGGAACACATGCCATACTTCAGACTAAGAACCGCGAAAGAGATTCTGAGACTACGAGCTGACTGAAGTTTGCTTGGTCTAATGTATTTTCAGCTTTCTAGGGATGCTAAATTTGTTTGCCATTGTTGATTTGTTCAAACTAGAAATTCCACTCCTTCAAGGCAGTGAAGGCACTCAGCTTCAAAAGCAGAGTAAAGACCGAGCAAGCCCCCAAAGCTCTTTGCTCCTTCTGTATGATATTATTTTTTTTGTTTGTCTTAAATTGTAGATGGACGTGTTTCGGATCTCTACTGTTTATTTTATATTCGATTAGTCTAACTGAAGATATATGAATAGTTGAAAACCTTTAAGGTTCGAAATTGGTTCATTTTTCACTCTACTGTCTCGTTAGTCGTTAGAGTTACATCTTAACTACATTGCCAAGTTCTGACAAAAAAATAAAAACTACATTGCCAAGTCCATGAATCAACTATTATATCAGATACTTGGTGAAAGCATTGTTCGTTTTAAAATGATCTGCACAATAATACACATATACATACGCAAATGAATGTGTTACATCTGTATCATATATTTTTATTTGGTTAGGTTTATGCCATCTTTGATGAAGAACAGAAAAAGCATATGATGATAAATCCACACAAATGAATTCTTAAAAACAATATAAGATATATTACAGTAAAGGGGTCTGCGTTTTCTCGACATTTTAAATTTGCCCCAAAACTTTATTCTTAGTCCCACTTTGAATTTTGAGAAGAACGAACAGATCGCGGGAAAATCCATAAAGTTTTGAAACCATTTTACCTAAAATTCTGTGAAATCCCAGTTTCGTCTCAGTAGAGAGTGTCGCCATGGATGAAGAGCTTTTGCTTACGAGAATCATTGCAGGAATCGAAGGAGGAGGAGGAGACGATGAATCTGACTACCAAGACCTCGTCACGGATCTCAAATCTCTACTTGACACAGACGACGATGAAATTCTCAATCGATTTTACGGTAGCCTCTCCTCAATGGCTTCGTCGTTTCTCCGCTGTGTCTCCGCCGCCATGGATTCGCCGGTTGAATCAGTCCGTCTTGCTATTTTAGCCTCCGACGCGTATCTCAGTCTGCTTCTTTCCACTAATTGCCCCGTTTTCACTTTCTTCTCTCCAATTGCGTTTCTCTCTCTACTGGGTTCAATCCGCCGTTACCTCAAACGCCGTAAACGTGACGATTCGGCTGGTCAAGGGAGTAATTCGCAGCGGGAGAAAGGGAATAAGAAGAAGAGAAGTCGCGGTAAGAGAAATCTAGGGTGTGAAGATGGGGATGAGACTGAAGAAGGCGGATTCGATGCGAAATTGCTGTTTAGAGTGCTCGAGCGTTTAGGCTCAGTTCTGAGTTTTGTTCATTTAGATAGATTTCCCGATAGCTTGAAAACTTTGGTACAAACTGTGAGTGAGATTCCTTTATTGGCGCTGGAACACTCTGGGTTTTTGAATTATGATCGATTGATGGAAATTTGTGGGAAGATTCTGGGTGGTGTGTTGAATTCCGATCATGGAGATATGGCACTCACGGCGGCTGAGATTTCAAAGTCTTTGACACCATTGCTCCTTATGGGGAAACATCAAGCGAGAAGCTTTGCGTTAGGTTTTGTGTCAAGGAAATTGATGGGTTTGGCTAAAGATAACTCTGAATTGAAAAAGGTTGTTTCTAGTTTGCCCAAGTTTCTGGTTCATAAGGCACCTGAGAAGGCCGAGCCACGTGGTTCCGCAGTGGAGGCGATAGTGGAGATAGTAAAGGCAATGGAGGTTGAGGACCATTCAGACTTTGTTGATTTTCTAATGAAGATGTGTCAAGGGAAGTCTAATTTTAGAATATTAGCTGTTGATCTTATACCTCTGTTGATAAGCTCGTTAGGAAATCCCTTAGGAGTTATTGGTTCAGAGGATGGATCGAAAGATTCTTGGGGGTTAAATTGTCTTGATGCGTTACTTAAGCGGTGTTCAGACACAAATGCTTTAATTAGAGCTCGAGCTTTGTCCAACTTGGCTCAAGTCGTGGGGTTCTTGTCTGGTGATGCAAGGAGCAGGTCGATCCTGAAACAATCCCTTGGGTTTAACGGTGAGACTTCAGAGGGAAAAGGTGTAGTAACTGACCTTTTGAAGAAAAGATGTGTGGATGAGAAAGCAGCTGTCAGGAGAGCAGCTCTTATTCTAGTGACAAAATTGACATCCCTTATGGGTGGTTGCTTTGATGGTAGTATCCTAAAGACAATGGGTACTTCTTGTTCTGATCCGCTCATAAGTATTAGAAAGGCTGCAATTTCAGCTCTTTCTGAGGTATGTTATCTGTAACTCAGTGTCTTCTTTCTCATTTACCCAGTCATACTATGTGCAAAGTTAATGGAATTATATATGGGTGTGCTTAGTCCATTAGCTCAAAGTTAAGGAGACTAGATTTTGTGAGCCAAATATATTTTAAGATGACTGAATGAGAATACATAGCAACTGTTTCCGTGGGTTCATCCTAAAATCCGATGATTCTTATACTTCTCCCTTTATATTATAAATTAGGCTAATGACTTGTTATCATATTTCTTCTGCTTCTTTTTCTTTTCTGCTGATGCAAATTCATTGTCTTCTTTTGTTCACTGTAGGCCTTCAGAATATGTACAGATGAAATTGTGACCACTGAATGGTTACATTCTGTTCCTCGGATGATCATGGACAATGAAACTAGCATCCAAGAAGAATGCGAGAATGTCTTTCATGAACTAGTTCTGGAAAGAATATTACGAGCTGGAAATGTGCTTCCCGACAGTGCTTCTCTCCCTAACAACCAGAACACTACTTCAAAAGATCTAGACAGAGACATCGAATCCTTGTTTCCAGAAGGAGTTTTGGTTCTCTTGAGGGAGCTTTGCAACAGCGAAGTTTCTCCTTGGGTTACGAAAATATGTGGAAGTTTGGGAAAGAAGAAGCGACTAAAACCAAGAGTTGCCTTTGCTCTCCAGAGTATCATAAAGGAATCTGAATCATTGTGGTTGAGCCGTTCAATGCCAATAAATAAATGGACAGCTCCTGCTGGTACTTGGTTCCTTTTATCAGAGGTTTCACTGTATCTTCCAAAGTCTGTCGAATGGGAATTTCTTCACCATCACTGGCAGTTGCTTGACAAGAATGATGTGCAAGGTTTGTCAAAACCCAGTTTATCCATCTTTAAACATCTCAATTAACTACTTTATGTCTTTACTTGTTGCTACTGGTAGTTTTGTTTCCTGGTTTGAATCATAACTCCTGCCCAAGCTAAACCAATCATAAATGTATGTATGCTGTGGCTAATTTCTAAAGGTCTAGATGAACAAGGTGAGGAACAGAGTGTCGAGTGTAATTCTTCTACATGGGCTGGCGATCGAGTTTGTCTTTTGCAAACAATCTCCAATGTTTCCCTTCAGCTGCCAGCAGAGCCTGCTGCAGACCTGGCTGACAATTTGCTGAAGAAAATCGAAAAGTTTAACCTCCATTCTGCTGAGGTAATAATAAATACTTAACCTGATATCTTTCGAATGCGCAGAAAGTAAGTGTTTATTGTCTTAAAGAAAATATTCTTTCAGATTAAAATATATTTTCTGGTACTTCTCTTTAACTGGTACCTGGAACGCTTGAATTGAGGAGATCATTACTCACTGGTTTGAAAATGGAAAGGTTGATGATTAATTCATAATGGTTCATTTTAGTCTATGCCATTGAATGACAGGTCGATGCACATGTTAAAGCATTAAAAACTTTGTGCAAAAAGAAGGCATGCACCTCTGAGGAGTCTGATATGCTTGTCAAGAAGTGGGTAGAACAAGTTTTATCTAAGGCATCTAAGGTCACTGAGAAGTACATCGAGGGGGTCTCTAGTAATAATCATTCTTTTGTTACTCCAGCAACACTTGGAAGTAGAAGAAGCAAGAGACTGGATTCTGTGTCCAAGAAGTTATCAAAAGTAGTCACAGCAGTATATACCATTGGATCTTGTGTCATTATATATCCTTCTGCTGACACGACCAAAATTGTTCCGCTGTTACATACTGTCATCACTTCAGGAAATTCTGATTCAAAGCTGAAAAACAAATTGCCACAAGCTAATGTTTGCTTGAAGCAAAAAGCTCCTCCTCTCTACAGTCAGTCTTGGTTGACCATGGCGAAGATGTGTTTGGCTGATGGGAAGCTTGCTAAAAGATATATCCCTCTCTTTGCGCAGGTCGGTCAAATTTGTTTGCTGATCCCAGTGTCCATTTATAATTTTTGATTATTCTGGAAAAGAAAATCTAACGTAGGAACTGAGTTCAATGGACAGCAGTTTCCTTTATCTCTGCAGTTTATTGTAACCTATTTGACCACGTTGATGCCTTACTTTTGCAGGAGCTTGAAAAGAGTGATTGTGCAGCCTTGCGTAATAATCTTGTAGTGGCAATGACAGACTTCTGTGTTCATTATACAGCCATGATTGAGTGGTAAATCATTCACAGCACATTAACATATTATAAGACTTTTCTCAAATGTTAAACATGACTGTTACATGCTAATTGATTTGTTTACCTGGATAGTTACATACCAAAGATTACGAAACGTCTTCGAGATCCTTGTGAAGTTGTTAGAAGGCAGACTTTTATACTTCTCTCAAGGTTATTACAGGTATTGCTATTCTACACAGATTCTTTATCTTCCGTTGTTGAAAAATTCTAGGCCTGAAGATTAATAAGCAGGCTTGTTGTTATCTTGATTCAGAGAGACTACGTGAAGTGGAGAGGAGTTCTCTTCCTTCGGTTCCTTCTATCGCTAGTGGATGAATCTGAAAAGATACGCCGACTTGCAGACTTTTTATTTGGAAGCATCCTTAAAGGTATGAGAACTCATGGGAGCAACATGAAATGCATTATTTTTCTATTATAAATTCTTACAGGGAGACATGATCTCTAGGATTCTGATTATTGTTATGCCCCATCTTGCTTATAGTAAAGGCGCCACTTCTAGCCTACAACAGTTTCGTGGAAGCTATTTATGTCTTAAACGACTGCCATGCCCACACTGGCCATAATAATCCAGATTCTAAACAATCAAGAACAAAGGATCAAGCTTTTTCTGTCAGGTACTTGTGTTAAAGTTATATAGTCTATGCTCATACCGTATGGGTCATACACAAACTTAATATTTTGGTGTGGAAGATTTTAGTGATTCTCTTTGCTACATTTGTTCTGTAGAGGGAATGATGAAAGGGCTAGGTCTAAAAGAATGCAGATCTACATTACTCTGCTTAAACAGATGGCCCCAGAACACCTATTGGCCACATTCGCCAAATTATGTGCAGAGATCCTCGCAGCAGCTTCTGATGGAATGCTCAACATAGAGGATGTCACTGGTCAGGCAGTCCTACAGGTAATTTCCAAATTGCTCCACAGCTTGTTTTTTTCTTCTTCTCATAATCTGCCTGAGTTCTTACTGGTTTTGTTCTCTCGGTGTAGGATGCATTTCAAATCTTGGCGTGCAAAGAGATCCGCTTATCAGTTTCCAGAGGAGCATCGTCCGAAACAGTGGAGATGGATGAAGAAGGTGGTGATTCCAATGCAGCGGCTGCAAAAGGAAGAGCCATAACGCAAGCTGTTAGAAAAGGTTTGATTCAGAACACTATTCCAATCTTCATTGAGCTCAAGAGGCTATTGGAGAGCAAGAACAGTCCTCTTACAGGTTCGCTCATGGACTGCCTCCGTGTCCTCCTCAAAGACTACAAGAACGAGATTGAAGAAATGCTTATCGCTGACAAACAGCTTCAGAAAGAGCTTATTTACGATATGCAGAAGCACGAGGCTGCAAAGGCAAGGTCCATGGCTAACCAAGGGGTTGCCTGCGGGACGAGTCATGGAAATGGTGGACCTGAAGAACCAGCAAGAAGTGAGAATGTTAGAGATTCGGGACTGGAATCAAGAGTGGTTGCTGCAGCTGCTGATGCGGTGGCAGCAAAGGCGGCTAGGTCGGTGTTGAAAGAAGTAAATGGTGGAGCTGCAACTCCGCCTCTGAGCGCAATGAGTGTTCCGAAGCTAAGGTCGACCCGTGGAGGTATCCAGAGTGGTCGACCATCGGCTGATGTGTTGGAGTCTTTGAGAAGAAGACCAACTTTCATGTCTGATGATGAGAGTTAGAACTTAGAACCTAGAACGAGATTCTAACTAGCTTCTTGATATAGCTTTTGTTGTAAATGCATAACTTTGACATTTTCTATTGGAAATGTCATTAAAATCATGGACAGTTCATTTTCCTTGATTTAAAGCATGAACTCTCCATTTGTTGATTTTAAATACATATAATTTTTTTTTGATTTCTTTTTAAAATTTAAATTTTGGTAAATTTTGTTAACATCTCGTTACAGAGATACATTAAAAACAAAACGACGAAGTTTTAACCTAACTAAACTTTAATCAATTTTCATTTCCCTCCAAAATCCCCAAATTGAAGTTTGTCATCAAGAACAACACTTAATCATAGTTTTATTATATTATTGTCTTTGCATATTTGCAATATTTCACTGTAACTCCTAGAAAAAGATCAAACCATTACAAAAATTATTATCATAACTGATCTTCCAACTTCGTATAGAGAAAAACAATCCTTCTGTTTAACCAAAAATAGTTAAAAACTAAATTTCAAAAAAATAGATGTTCTTTTTCGACTGTTTTTCAAAAGAGAAAAAAAAAGTAATTGAACAACTGAAAAATAGATTAATCGAAACCAAAATAAATAAAATAACAAATGACAAAAAAAAAAGAACATGAGTGAGAATAATAGTAAACTCTTTTATTATTTGCAGCAGAAAATTATATAATAATTACTAATTTATAATTTATTTCCACAATTCCAGTAAAAAATGTAAATTTAGTAAACTCTTGTCCTTGTTACTGAAAACCTCTTGTAAACATGTTTCTTATTGGAAGGGGAAAAAAATAAAAATGTAAATTTCGGCGCAACAAGTCGGTGAAATTGAAGTGAGAGATGGATAAATAAAGATACACTAGACAAAGTCGCTTCCTGTTTCTCTCTCTTACTCTGTAAACCCTAAACCAAGGACGATGCCGGCTCCGACGACGGAGATCGAACCTATCGAATCACAGTCGCTGAAAAAGCTCAGTCTCAAATCCGTTAAACGAGCACTTGATCTTTTCGCTCCTGTCCATGGCCAATTCCCTCCTCCTGACCTGGAAGCGTTAATCTTCTACTATTCCCCCAATTTTTCAATTCCAGTCTTCGTTTTTTTTCGAATTTTTTACAAGAGTTCTTGTTTTTTTAATTTTGCAGCAAGAAGATTCGCCTCAGCCACAAGGTAAACATAATCGTGTTTCGTTTCTGTGTAAATCGTTATTTGAGTGTATTTGATTGGATTGTCTAAAGCTTCGAATTTCAGGCTTATTAGGTTTACTTGTTTTTCGATAATGTAGTTAGCCTTCTTAGCATTTAGGAATTTCAATCATCAATACTAAATTAAGATGTTTGATTTGCTTTTAACTCTCTGTGATTCACTGATTGAACTGAGTTCTCGAGCTGTGTAATGATTTTAGAAGTTTTCTTTGTACAGATGAAAGTTGCATATGGAGGTGTAGAACCTGTGAGTCAACCTCCACGTCAACCTGACCGCAGCAATGACCAGCCAGGAACCTCCAATGCCCTTGCTCTCCCAGGTGTTTTTTTCATATCACATGTGTTGCTTATGTTGATGAAAGATAAAAACTTGTTATTCTGTTTCCTATTTTAATTTCGCTAAGCATCGCATTCTTGTTGTGTCTGCTCGATGAATTCTGCAGGTCCAGAAGGGTCCAAGAGTGTGCAAAAGGGTGTGGCAGAGAATGCCCTTGTTGTTGGTCCAACTTTACAGCCTAAAGACTCGTAAGTATTACCTTTAGCCGTTGGTTTTCTTGATCTGATATGCTAATTTCTGTTTACTTATATCACGAGGATGCTCATTAAAATAATTGGTTCTCGAATTGAAGGAACAATATTGGTTCCTCAGGCAAAAGCACCACCATTATACCTGCTAATTTGTCCTCATATCAAAGGTATTTTTGTCTCGTCCTTATCCTTTGTTTTCTTATTCATCTGGATTGCAATTTATTAATCACATCCATGCAAATTAGACTTCCCCCAAAACCTGAAACTCTCTAAGCTTGTACCTATACAGTACGTTCTAATTCTAATTCCTTTACTGTGGTGTGCGTCTTCCTGCGCGTTAAAGGAATCTTTCAACTGCTGCATTAATGGAGAGGATACCAAGTAGATGGCCACGCCCAGAGTGGCATGCACCCTGGAAAAATTACAGGGTAAGATATGTGGCATCGCACTGTTGATACATCACACTGATTTTGGGCCTTTGTTTCATCCCAGAAGGCCCTTTCTGTTCATTTAAGATGTTTCTTAACTTGCGGTTAATTATTGATTTCACAGGTCATTCAGGGGCACTTGGGTTGGGTCAGATCTGTCGCGTTTGACCCGAGTAATGAATGGTTTTGTACTGGTTCAGCTGATCGTACTATCAAGGTAATTGAGAGGATTTCCTATTCATATGAATTGTTCCAAATCTGTTTTCTTGTTATATGAATATCTCATGGTTCAAACTTCCATTATGTGGGTTACCATCCACAACTCTAGTGCTTGTAGATGCAATCCTGAGTGTAGTACACTTGCTAAATTGCTTGCTTGTGTTATATTCACTAGATATGGGATGTAGCAACTGGAGTTCTGAAGCTAACACTTACTGGGCATATCGAGCAAGTACGAGGTTAGCCTCTTAAATTTCTTGCAGTTTATTTCTTTAAACATCTCAATGATTATCACTCGAGAACAAGTACAAGTTTAGGCTTTTTTATTTTTTTGAATTTTGTTACAGGCCTTGCTGTAAGCAATCGACATACCTATATGTTCTCTGCTGGTGATGACAAGCAAGTCAAATGCTGGGACCTTGAGCAAAATAAGGTAACAACTCTATTTTTTTCCTTATCTGAACTTCTCATATCTAATCTAATGCGCTTGATTTACTTTGATAGGTTATCCGATCTTATCATGGTCACTTGAGTGGTGTCTATTGCTTAGCTCTCCACCCAACTTTGGATGTGTTACTAACCGGAGGGCGAGACTCTGTCTGCAGGGTAAGAAAATATATTGCTTCCTGAGCTTTCCACCCAACTTTGATGCTTATGCTTTACTGAATTTTTCCATGTTTGCTTATTTGCAGGTCTGGGATATTCGTACCAAGATGCAAATTTTTGCACTCTCAGGACATGAAAACACCGTTTGTTCTGTTTTTACTCGTCCAACCGTATGTTTCTTTTCATATGGATCTTGTTATTTGTTTTGGATTTCTATCAGAATCTTTTTATCATAGTAACTGGAACTCACTTTGATCTGTGATGTTGCAGGATCCACAAGTTGTCACTGGATCCCATGACACGACGATTAAATTTTGGGACCTCCGATATGGTATATCTTATCTTTCTAACCATTGCTTGGACTTAAAAGCCATATCTTTTAATCCCTTCTCATTATATAATCATTGGTGCAAGTATACGGTTTCATATGAATATCGCTGGATTATTATATGCAGGCAAAACAATGGCAGCGCTAACACATCATAAAAAGTCTGTCCGAGCAATGACCCTCCATCCTAAAGAGTATGTATAGTTGCATGGCATCCACTTTATCTTCTCAGCAGCCGAGTCTTCAAGCCGCTCAACCTACTTTTCCTAATGTATCTCTTTGTTTGTAGGAATGCCTTTGCTTCTGCATCAGCTGACAACATCAAGAAATTTAGCCTCCCAAAGGGAGAGTTTTGCCACAACATGCTGTAAGTCTCTACCGGATGAGATATATACTCATGCCTTGGCATCTCTAATACTTGTGAAATGAGAGATTTCATTATAAATTAAACAGTGTTAATTTTGTGATGTGTTTGAACAATGTTGTCTTTCTTCATGAACCAGTTCACAGCAGAAAACCATAATTAACGCAATGGCTGTGAACGAGGATGGTGTAATGGTCACTGGAGGTTATTAATCTTATTACTGAATCTGTTTTAATTATTGGTTTTCTTTCGTTATCATTTTGAACTAAAATTGATTCTATGTGTGAATCAAGGTGATAACGGAAGTATATGGTTCTGGGACTGGAAGAGTGGTCACAGTTTCCAACAGTCAGAAACTATTGTACAGCCTGGTACGTACATTCATATTTGTTTCATGTTCTTGCTTGTAAGTGTAAGATGTAGAAGTAGAAGTCTCAGTAGGTTCAGTTAACGTAGTAAAGTTTGAATCTTGGTGAAGACCCAAATGTTAGAAGTGTACGATTGAGCTCTAGGGAAACCAAGAAAGTTTTCAAGACGTAGGAAGCAATTGTAAAGGTATCTTAGTTTTTAATGTGGTTGGGCATAATATGGCAGGTTCATTGGAGAGTGAAGCGGGTATATATGCAGCGTGTTACGATCAAACAGGTACGAGACTGATAACATGCGAGGCAGATAAGACGATAAAGATGTGGAAAGAAGATGAGAATGCAACTCCAGAGACTCATCCAATCAATTTCAAACCACCGAAGGAGATTAGGCGCTTCTAGTAAACCTGAATTTTGTATCTCAAAGCTCTTGTTGGAGTCTCACTAATCTTCATGATTCTGTTTTCTGGATCAACTTGTGACAGGGCCGTGTTTTGGCTGGGGGAGAAAAAAAAACAAAGAGCCATGTACTTTTATGTAATCTATGGATCATTTAGATTTTTGGTATATGCGTTCGTGTACTTGGACCCAAGTTAACATCAGAACGAAGATACCAAACAAAATAAAATGATTAAATGGAAAGCACTAAAAGAGAGAACGATGACACCTGTGCGTTTGTTATATGGAACGTAAGAGGCACGTATTAGGTATCATAATTCAGATCTCACCGACCTACCTCTTCTGATATTTTGTACGTAAATTAATTGTTTATTCGCAGATCTTTTTATAGCTTTTTTCATATTTTAATAACATTAAGTCCCCGTTAAGTGGAAGAAGTACATTGGTGTTTACATATTTGTATTTGTTCCAATACAATCAGAGCAAATCACACCTTCATGACTACAAAACAAACCAACTTAAAATGTGATTTTATCAAATTATACCAAATTACCAACAGCTTTTAACCTTCTCTTTCTACTTAGGGAGTAATCATGAGCAGTGGGCCTAGAGTAAAGCCCATGAGCCCAAGTTTTTTCTCCCGTTGTGTATATAAAGCGCGCTTCAAACCCTAACAAGACTCTCAAAAACCATCACCGGAGAAAATCTGACGGCGGCTTAGCACCGGAGGCTACTGCGAAAAAAGATTGTTTTCTTCTTAGGCTCAACACTCAGCCTTTGAAGAATATAAACGATCTTTTCTCTTGCAGTAGCTAAAACGCTAAGCTCTATTGTCATATCTTGATCGTAAACATACGATATATATATACTATTAAAATAAGAAAATGGCAGCTCGTTCACTCTCCGGCGCCGTCAAATCTCTTTGCTCCGCTGCATCCGGCAGTCTTTCTGGTTCCATTGTCTTAAGGTACTTATGTTTGGCAAAATATATAATATGAAAATAAACATATATATATATATATATATTTATGTAGTGTGTGTATTGTTGTTATTGGGAGTGTAGGAGGGGTTACGTTGCGACATCTCAGAATGTGACAGCAACAGGATTGAGTAAGGGAGGTTCCACCAGAGTTATGGTGGGGAAGAAGATGGAACAAAGAGGAGCGTTGGATCAAGAGGCAGAGTCTGCTTGGGGACCTGATCCAGTCACGGGATACTACAGACCTTCTAATCGTGCGGATGAGATTGATCCAGCCGAGCTTAGAGAGTTGCTTTTGAAAAACAAATCCAAGTCTTCTTTCTAAGTGGATTCTGATTGGTCAGTTCTACAGGAAGGTTGCCGTAGGCGATTATGTTGATTCCGTGTATTACTATTACTGTGTCTTTTTGGTCTTATATGAGTCATATCTGTGTACTGGAAGTGGAGGTTAATTAAGTAAAAAATAAAAATGATATTAAATAGTTCAAAGTTGAAAAGTATAATGTGTATTTTTCACTACACTTATATCATTCTCGACCAACGTCAACAAAACAAGAAACTTTCACTATCGAACGACATTGTTGTCAACATCAAATCTAACAAAGACTCTGTGTACTAGTACAACATGAGATTTGTTTCATGCCCATAGTTTTGTTAACGCTGCTAATACAATACAACCGGGCTATGAAGATTGATAATATGAAACATATGATGTTATTTGGCCCATTAATAGGCCCTTGTCGAGTAACAACATATGAGGATTGAGATTATGAATCGTTCATGTTAAACTGTGAAAGGTATATATCAGGATCTTAGGATCATCTAAGGTATATATACGTACCGAGATCAACCTTTCGGATGCTGTGCAACATGTGAAAACGTTTATGTTGTGTAGACAGTGAAAGTGAGTGGTGGTTTCTTAAACATCCTCTGGATCGGATATGCATGTCGCCGGCCGTGTTTTAGTTTATATATGTTTATGGTCAAAAAAGTAGTATTTGGTATGACATGTGCCTTCTTGTTCTCTCAAGAGCCATATATAACTAACCAACATAATGGACATAAAACATATAAAGATTTTATATTTATAAGACTGATCATGATTAACAAATTACTCTTGACGATATATATATTAAAATAAAAGAAAAATCTAATAAATTGGAAATTAAATCACAACACGAAAGAAAAATACTAGCTAGCTAGATTTTAAGAGAGGAGAGGGACAACACGTGACGTGAGACCTTCCTCTTCATCTTGGTCATGAACAATCTCAGTTAAGCCGTTGCTTAAACCCACAGGTTTGGCATTTCTATAAATTCCATAAAGTATGAGTTGCATTGTCCCAAACACGAACCCCACTCCATTTGGCACCTAACTCATTTTTCACCACACACAAAAAAATATTATTAATATTAAGTAAATGAATCATAAATTATTTCTCAACAGCTCAAAAAACTTCCAACGCCTATCCGAAATCTCAAGAAGACGCATTAGGCAAATTCAAAAGACCCTACAAAATAGTTGTTGTTGCATCTTGTAGACCAGACACTTTTCTTAATAGTCCAAATTGTTTGAAAATATCACCTATTGGGATATTATTTATCATAGTAAATCATATCCCACAATTATCGTACATAAACTTATTTGTTACCTATTCTGCAATGTAAATTATCTGCATATCTTTACTCTTTAGACTAGGTCATCAAGTTCTTGTAATATATAAGTATGTAATGGCCTCTCAATAAAATACACAGAACACATTCATTCTCTGTCTGTTTATGGTATCAGAGCAGGTCGAAACAGTTTTTTGATTTTCTCTTAGTTTCTCTCTGCAACTCGATCATGGCTGCAACCAACGAACCAAACGCGAACACGAACCCGATGACCGGCGAGGTGAGACGCAAAATCTCTCCCTACGACTTGAGTGCTGCGGACAATCCGGGCGCTGTGATATCACTACCTTTGTTGAAAGGACCGAATTATGAAGAATGGGCTTGTGGATTGAAGACAGCTCTTTGCTCACGAAAGAAGTTTGGATTTCTCGATGGCTCCATTGCTCGTCCTGCTGATGGATCTCCTGATCTGGAAGATTGGCTAACCATTCAAGCTTTGCTCGTATCATGGATTCGCATGACAATTGATCCCTTGCTGCGGTCCAACGTTTCTCATCGTGATGTGGCTAAGGACTTGTGGGATCACTTGAAGAAACGATTTTCGGTGACTAATGGACCACGGGTTCAGCAATTGAAGGCAGAGCTCGCCTGTTGCAAGCAAAGAGGTCTCGCCATTGACGCGTATTACGGAAAATTGAATCGCATTTGGGATAACATGGCGCATCACAGACCTTTGCGTGTTTGTAAATGCGGTAAGTGTGAGTGTAATCTCACTGTGCTTCAAGAACAAGATCGTGAGGAGGATAAGGTTCATGATTTTCTGGCTGGTCTTGATGATGCATTCAAGACAGTTCGATCCAGCCTCGTGTCTCGTCTACCCATTCCGTCCATGGAGGAGGTGTATAATGTTGTTCGTCAAGAGGAGGATTTGAAGACAAATGTCAAACAAAGTGAAGAAGTTGCTGAAGTCACAGCATATGCGGTACAACAACGACATCGCACCATTCCCTCTGCTCGTTCTGATGACGCTCAACCAGTGTGCAAGCACTGCAGTCGAACTGGTCACTCCTCCGATAGCTGCTTTGCGGTTGTCGGGTATCCGGAGTGGTGGGGTGATCGTCCAAGGAGCAGAACGGTTCAAGGTCGTGGACGTGGACAATCTGCTGGACGTGGTCGTGCCTATGCAAACGTAGTTCATGTTCCTAATGTGACGACTCAGGAACATGCAAATTATGTGATCACGGACAAAGATCGTGATGGAGTGACTGGTTTAAATGAGCTTGAGTGGCAGAATCTGAAGAAGCTTTTAAATGGTGGTGCAAGCACAAGTCATGAAAAACTTTCTGGTAAGTGTTTTTCTCCTTCTTGGATATTAGATACAGGAGCTTCACATCATCTAACAAGTAATTACAAAACTCTTACCAATGTAAGAGAAATGGAACCTGTATTGGTGATTTTAGCGGATGGTCGTGAACGCATATCATGTCAAGAGGGGACTGTTGTATTGGGTAGCAATCTGGTCTTGAAATCAGTGTTTTTTGTGGAAGAGTTGCAAAGTGATCTTATTTCAGTGGGGCAGT